ATCAAGTGACAAAAATTTACAAGCTGAAACAGCGATTTTCATGAGAAAACTTGCACCCACTTGTGAGCGCATACCCGTTCATCGACGGTGCAGCAGGGAGTTCGTTGCACGCTCTATTCACGAAATGCTCCGAGCACACTCAAAAGGATGGCGTCGGGGAAAAGTCTTTTCTGTTTACGGACGCAACCCACTGCTGCTAAAGATTTTGGTCATTTGGAAAGCGATGGAGTTATAAGACATTGCAGCCGCAATTGCCTTGTCGGATCAATGGAAGACACTGCAGCCACAATTGCCTTGTCGGAACAATGGTCGGCGGTACTTGACACCTTTATCAAGGGGCTATAGTGGGGCTAGAGCCGTGTGTTGGGAGAGTTTGGCCATTAATTGGTTTGAATATGCGAGCATTTCGTGGTCCAAAACTCTAAAAATACAAATTGACTGATTTAAGCCATTTTAGCATTGCTAAAGTAAAAAGGGGTAACTGTTGGTGAATGAGAGCTTGGTGCAACTGAGAACTTGGCGGAAGCACAAATGACAAAAAATGTTTGTCCTGTCCGTCCTTTTCGTTAAACTCTTTCGTATTTTTAAATCTATTACCAACGCGCTCAATCGAAGTTTAATAAACAAATGTGCGCTCCAAAGAGCAAACAGCGTAGTTGCAACATTGCTGCTGCTAGACTGAATGCTTCTATTTCACGCTTTAAATGTTGTTTCCAATATTGCAACGTCCAGGTCTGCTGACTGGTCGACGCTGTGTCACACTTTTAGTTTACGCTCTAACTGCAAGGGGAATATTCGGCACTGGCAGCGGCCTCTGTTGTGCCCATTTGCCAAACTCGCCCAATGTATGGATCTGGGCGCAGCCAGAGCCGTATATTTCATTTCATTTCATTTATTATACTCTCAGGGCCCGAAGGCATTACAGAGAGGAGTGGAAATATATACATCAATATAAGATGAACAATAAAAACAAAACGCAAAAAACAAACAAACACAAGGTACAGAATCGCTATGGAACATTGTTAAGAACATCAGTTATGGCGGTTTTAAAATCAGCAGCGTCAGTAAGTGAGACTACGGATGCGGGAAGGCGGTTCCAGTCGACGGAGGTCAGAGGTAGGAAGGAGGCATAAAAGGTGGAGGTGATGCAGTAGGGGATTCCTACTTTTAGTGGATGATCGGTGCGCGGCGATATGTATGATGGTTCTGAAATTAATGAGGCTCGAAGTGCTGGGTTAGAGTGATACATTTTGTGAAATAAGCAGAGGCGAGCTATTTTTCTACGAAAGGAGAGATTGGGCAAATGTAGAGACGCTTTCATGGAGGTGACGCTGGCTGTACGGTGATAGTTAGAAAGTATAAAACGTGCGGAGCGATTTTGAATGGATTCAATGGATGATGCTAGGGATACGCCAGGGTTCCAGATAGAGCCTGCATACTCAAGCTTGGTGCGCACTAAAGTTTTATAAAGGAGAAGTTTAAGTGAAACAGGGGCAAGGGAAAAGTTTCTTCTGAGATAGCCTAATAAGCGATTAGCGTTGTTAGTGATATAGTCGACATGGATGTTCCAGGAGAGATCGTTAGTTATATGAACACCGAGATATTTATAGGTTGACACAGAAAGCAAGGTGGAGTTATTAATACAGTAGGAGGGACAAGTGTTATTTTGACGGGACACTCTCATAGATTTACATTTAAAGGTGTTAAGTTCCATAAGCCAATTATCGCACCAGCGGGTGACGTTGTTAATATCGGTCTGAAGAGCAGACATGTCAGAGTCGTTAATGATTTCCTTATAAATTACACAGTCATCAGCAAATAGGCTAATAGAAGAAGATACATGCGTGGGAAGATCGTTAATATATATAAGAAATAGAAGTGGACCTAATACGGAACCTTGTGGGACACCGGACTTGACAGGTGAGGTTGAAGAATTAGTTCCGTTAGCGTGAACAAATTGGTAACGGTCTGATAGAAACGATTCTATCCAAGCGATTATATTTAGATCTATGTTAAGTTTACGGAGTTTATGTAGAAGCAGCGCGTGAGGAACCTTGTCGAAAGCTTTTGAGAAATCAAGAAATATGCAGTCAGTCCTGGAACCCCGGTCAAGTGTTACGTGAAGGTCATGAGTAAAGGTTAGGAGTTGAGTTTCACATGAATAAAACCTTCGAAATCCATGTTGCGCTGAGTTAAAAAACGAATTTGAATCTAGAAAATTGAAAATGTTAGTGTAAATGATGTGCTCAAGGATTTTACAAGGAATGCTCGTTAAAGAAATGGGACGAAAGTTTAAAGGGTTATGCTTATCGCCACCTTTGTGGAGAGGGATCACCTTCCCCACCTTCCAATCTTTTGGCAATTCTCCTTGTTCGAGTGATTGCGAAAATAATTTAGATAAGATAACGCATGAGTACGTATTAGTGTTTTTCAAAAACTTAGCATTAATATTATCAATGCCTGCGGTCGTATTGGTTTTAAGGTTTTCAATAATATTAGATACACCTTCACAGTTTACAATAACAGGAAACATGGGCAAAAAATCACAAGTTCTAAATACAGGACAATCTGAGGTTACCGTGCATGAAAAAGATCCAACAAACACATCATTTAACAAAAAAGAACAGACTTCACTTGGCACCTCCTCTCCATGGGTGTCCCTAAGCACTATGCCAGTACTAGAAGGAGGGTTAATAACTTTCCAGAATTGACGTGGATTGTTAAGCAACATTGACGGCAGCGTATTGTTAAAGTAATGTAATTTTGCCTCTTCGATTGCTTTCTTATATACGTTAGCTGCAACATGGTAGGCCTCCCAGCGTTGTACATGGTCCGATAGCTTTGCAGTGCGAAATAATCGTTTCTTTTTATTTGACAGCTTTTTTAATGTCACGCTGTACCATGGAGATTCTGGTGAAGAAGATACCACGCGAAGGGGAACATGGGCGTTCATGAGTGACATAACTTTCTCTTTAAATAAACACCAGTTATCATCAACTGAGCGCTCAGCAAAACAACCTATGTAGTCCTCTAGAAAATGGCAAAGTTCGTCGTTGATTGAATTAAAATCAGCCCTAGCATAGTCCAAAAATGTTTTCGTCTGATTGGACTTACTGCGTCCAGGAATGTTTAAAAAAAAGTGTAGTAGGGAATGATCACTGAGACCAGGCATGTAAGTTAACGAGGAGATCAGCTCAGGCGATGTTGTTAATATGAGATCAAGCACAGCAGCAGTTGTTGTAGTCGTACGCGTCGGTTTTGTAACAGTTTGAGAGAAATTGAAATCTAAACAAAGATTCAAAAACTCACTACATTCAGAAGAGAAGTGACTAAGGTTTGCACCCTCGTCTGACCATATTATAGATGGGTAGTTGAAATCACCCAACACTAGTATCGGTGCATTCGGGAAACGAACAATGACTGAGTTGATCGCATCGTGCAGATTCGTTATAAACGCAGTATTGCTAGAAGGAGGGCGATAACACACGCCTAAAATGTATTTTTTATTTTTCAACTGGAGACCAACCCATAGCAGCTCGAGTTCAGAAGCAATATTGATAGAAAACGATGGTACATTTTCTGCTACCGCGACCAACACCCCGCCACCCTTTCTTTCTTCCCTGTCGTGACGATAGAAGTTGAAACGTCTCTGACAGTGCAAAATTTCATAGAGAGGGTTTGGCCATTCATTGGAAAGTATAAACCTTTTCCGCTTACTCTCGTCCCCGGCCACCTGGTAGGCATATGCGGTATGGGTGAAAAAAAAATAATAGAATGTTTCAACTCGCAAGCGGTAAAAAATAGAGGGGAGTCCAAATGAGAATGGGTGATGGTTATGCTTATATCCCAGACATATTCTATTGGCTTGGCGACGGCAAAGCAATGTTTTCGCCCATACTGGAAGCGAGGATATTTCAAGATGGCGGCGTCCTTGTGAAAAAGGTCTATAGGAGGCAAATGAGAAGGCGCCGCTGGCCGAAAGCGGGCTGGGCGTGTTCCAGGGCGCCTTTACAAATTCGAATGTGGCCATCCAGAATCCGGAAACAGTACCCTGGTGCTGGTCGCCAAAAACAAAATTAATAAGTGCGTCGGAGTGACTCTCAGCAACTGAAACGATGGTGCACGTGACGGTTCAATCACGGTCATCCAAAATCATGGTGGAAAAGCGTGACTAGCGGAACGATCGACATTATTCGTATGGCAAGCGCTGAAGGCCGGGAATCTGCCGCCCAAGCAGTCACACTCTGTCCGAGCAAAAAAGAGTTTGAGCGGCACATTAGTTTCGCACATCTTTCAGCATGATCATAATCAGAACATCACATGCATCATGTTTTTAACGATGAAGAGTTACTACATTAAACCCTTACGTCCTAATTAAACCCGTTTCTTGCTACCACCGTTAAGGGGTACTTTTCAGCTTTCGGTTGGCCAAGAAAGCATGCCAAGAGGCCCTCAGAGTCTGGTGCAAGCCCTGGCTGACCGCTCCTCCGATTGATCAAACTCTCTCTATACAAGGGGGATTGGTGACCGAGTGGGCTGGCGCATACCAGCTCAGAGCGCGTGCAGTGAAAGCTCGCCCTGCAGAACTCAGGGATCCTGGGTTCAATCCCCACCCCTGCCCCTTTCGATCTAGCTGAAGCGTACTGAGCTTCAACTAATTTATTTACACTATTTACGTTATGTTAAATCTGAGACGTGACGAGCCGACCTTGCGGTTGCCGTTATTCCTTGATGTCTGTGCTGTCGCTATGGCATGTGGTCGTGCATCACTAATGCATGGTGCAAGTTAAAGACTTTAGGCTAGCGGTTGTACAGCACTGGCTAAATATCTCATCTACAGTTAACAGACAAGTCGCCTGTTGAGGCAGACTAAGTTCTAGGCTGTATGAACATACACATACCCAAATTTGTTTCTCTCGCGATACACGGCTCAGGGTTGGGCACGTCGTGAGCGCCACCCTGTGGGGGGCGAACACTCCTCCCGGGCGGTAGGCAGCGAGTCTAACGACGGCTGGGGTTTATTGGAAGCTAGGTAAGGTGGCGGCGCCTCACTCGAGGTTCTCGGCGGCCTGCTTGCGTCGGCGCTGCTCTTCCCGGGCCCGCAGTCGCCGCTCCCGCTCGTACTCCTTGTAGCGGATCAGGTAGCTGCGCGGGGGGAAGGGGGTTGCTGACCAGGGCCCAAACACTCGGGCGCCGAGCAGGTACTCACTCTTGGTACAAGCAGTCGTCGTACTCGTGTTTCTCGTGCTGGCAGCGGTACACCAGCGGGAAGTGGTCCTTGCGGCACGCCTTGAACTCGATCAGCTTGTGGGCGCAGTAGTTGCGACTCTTTGGCGGGATGCGAGCAGACTCCAGCTCGGCCTCCGTGGCTACCATCTCTGCGCGAGGGAAGGACGACGCGACCCTGGCAAAGTGCGCTGGGACCGGCGGAGGTCGACTCCCCCTTGCCGTCACCTACCTCGGCGTTTCCTCCCGTTGGGAAAGCCCAGCATCGGGTCGAACGAGGGCTTGAAGTTTTCCACCTCAGGCGTCATCACGGTCATCATGCTCGTCGCGTTCAAGGTGGTCATGTTCCCGAAAACGTTGCCCATGTCGGCTGCTGGTGCGTCCGTCCGTCCCCCGTTTGCCCTGTTCCCCACCCTCTCTAGGCTTGCGCACGCTTCCTGCGATATTCTTCACCTAGGACCCCTAAAACGTATTTCAAGATTATTAAACTTCTGCGCATATTTTATTAAACGTAGCGGATGCTGAAAAAGATATAAAAATATTTGACAAAAATTAATTAACTGAACTCGAACGTGCTGCCGGATCTACCGGAACTCTCATTGGCGGCATGGGGCCAGGCCCAAGTCGTCAGGAGGCCATGGCCAGGGCGGGAGATTTTTTCGGATTAATTTTGGTGCGTCGTTTTACTGTTTTAAGTGTTCATGTTTTACGTGGCGTCGCTCCGCCTGCCCCGCTGTTTCTTTGCACCGCGGGCTGCGGGTGACTGGCCGGTGTGTACAGACTGCCCCAGCCGTCGCTGACGACATGGACAAGTACGAGAAGGTCCAAGTCGTTGGACGAGGAGCGTTTGGGTGGGTGTTCGATTACACGGGCCGAGCCCCATCCGCCGACTCGCGCGAAAAAGCTCGGAAGCGCTCGTTGACGCACGCCGATCCCGGAGCTACGGTCTCGGCGCCTTCGCAGGGTGGTGTGCCTGTACCGCGAGCGTAGCAGCGGCCGTCCGGTGGCCATCAAGCACATCTCGGTGCAGCAGATGTCGCGGGAGGAGCGGGAGCAGTCGCTCAACGAGGCCCGGGTGCTGGCCATGCTGCACCACCCGAACATCGTGGCCTGCCACCACAGCTTCCTCGAGGACGACCAGAGCCTGGCCATCGTCATGGAGTACGCTCCAGGTAGGCGGGGACGGCTCGCCCACGGGGCCCGCGTAACGCGACTCCCCTCGCAGGGGGCACCCTGCATGACTACTTGCGTCGCCGGGGACAGGCACCGCTGCCCGAGCAGGTGAGCCGGCGTCCTGGGCCTGAGGACCCTGGGGCCACTCGCCGACTCCGCAGCAGGTGTTGAGCTTCCTGGGCCAGATCGTCCTAGCGCTGGAACACGTGCACTCGAGGCAGATCCTGCACCGGGACCTCAAGAGCCAGAACCTGCTGCTGGACCGCCACAGGGCCCTGGTCAAGGTGGGCGACTTCGGCATATCCAAGGTCCTCAGCAGCCGCAGCAAGGCACACAGTGTGAGCAGCCTGCCCCTCTCTCTGCGAGGTTCCTGGAGTCGCTTACGCCTCCCTTCCTTGCAGCTGGTGGGAACCCCCAACAACATCTCGCCCGAGATCTGCGTGGGCAAGCCGTGAGTGCCTCCCCTTCCCCCGGCGGACGTGCCCCTCAGGCAATTCCCGCGCAGGTACAACCAGAAGAGCGACATCTGGGCCTTGGGCTGTGTGCTGTACGAGCTGCTCACCCTCCGGAACCCCTTCGAGGGAAGCGTGAGTGAGGGGGCCTCATGTACAGCTGCATACCCTTAAGGGAACCCGCCGGCACCTCTGCAAACGCGGTTCCTGTCGCGGGGCAGAGTCCACGCTGAGATTGGCGGGACTGGTTCGTCCAAAACTGCCATAGTCGGCCGCAACGAGAGATCCACGGGAGGAGCTCTGCCTCCAACGCAAATCTCGAACCTTCAACGGTGCTTCGGTGCATGCGCAGCTGAATGCGGCAGGAGGAAACAAGCGACGAAGGAGACGCTTCTTCCGTGGATCTTGCGTTGGGGATAGCTAGATGGATGTTAATGGCTGTACCCTTTGTAACAATTTGGAGCTTGTCCTACCTAGCCTAAAAAATTCCTCCCCTCTTTAGCCATTGCATTTCTGTAACTATCAGCAGGCTTGTGTGTGTGGGGTGGGTGATTGCCAGAATGACCTTTGGGGAATCGGGCAGAAAAGCTAAAAACATAGCTCCCTGTCTCCTCTCCCCGGCGAGGGAGCCGCCAATTTTCTTCTGGTCAAACTTGTTGGCAAAACCCGAACACCGGACCCCACTGGGGGACGGGATTGAGACATTGGGCCGGAACCACGCGGGAGGGGTTCCAATTTCCTTCAGTCCCAACTACCCCAGCTGCGGCAGTTAGTTTTAATTTGTTCAATTTTCCCTAAATAATTTTCACCAATCTTCTAACCTCCTTTTTGTGACTGTAATCCTCCGTTCTTTTGTCCCTGCTAGCAAAACCTAGTGCCCCCCCCAAATTCGTTGGCCCCTTTAGGGAGGACACGGTGAGGCCCTGTGCACTTCAAAAGCCAAATGTTCTAGCGTCTTGCTGTCACTAGGGCATACGGCACATGGTATGCCTATCTTGAAATTTTGCCTTATATGCCTGTCCTTAACACTCCCGGTCTCGCCTTGGACAGCAAAGAACTTTCATGTGAATTATCAAACGTCTTTTTCTTTGCAATGTCCCTTTTTTGGGACTTGTACATTGTTAGCCCCTGAAAGGGGTACTCCGGCGATTTTTTTAGCTACCCGAACGAACCGGCTTTTCCCCCTTCCCGTGTAGGACGTTGTATTGTGAAGTACAGAATAGTTATTGTGAAATCGACAAGTCAAAATGATGCCAAAACCAGCATTCAAATATACCTGCACTTTTCAGCACCGTGACGTCGAGGGAAAACAGGCTCGCAGGTCGAGCGGACTGTCTAAATATTGACTGTGCCGAACACTTGTTTCATGCTGCTGTGTAGGTGCTTGAGCAAGCTTCCAAAGCATCCATTTGAAGCATGAAGCTGCTTGTAATCAGTTGGGAACAAAGTCTACCCTCGAGAGAGAGAACCACTGCCTTCCTTCGACGTCAATTTTTCATTTTTGCCAGTACGGTGAGGATCGAAATCGTAAATTAAATAACCTTGCCAAAAAAAATTTTTTTGGCTAAATATTTGGATTAAACTTTCAAGCAAATCGGGGACTATGAAGAAAACACCAAGGTAACCCCGTTAAGTGGGGTAGTAACTTTTGGGTAAGCGGCCATGGCTCGGGGGGGAGATCATGCTAGGTCAGGAATACGGATGGGTCTGGAGAAAAAGAAATTATTTCCAGCCTTGGCTTGTGAATACATTTGAGATTTCACTGTCTCTGAGCATGTACTCGTGTCAGACTCATTGTCGTCACGTTGCTGAAACAATGGCGCGATTTGCACATCTGTGAATGCTTTTCGCCGCTTCCAAGCATTGCAGTCATGAACGAGATGTTTCATACAAAAGCAATTAAATTATTTCACCAGCCAGCAAACGCGAATGAACTTAGATGTGTTTATTTGCAACTCCACGTGGGAGGGAGTCTTGCGTGGAGCCATACGAGAGGGATTCCCTATTTTCTCTGCCCTGCCACCCAGCGGTGCTAGTTGGTTGTACTTTGTTCAATTTTCCCCAGATACAAGCTCCCCTTTGTTGCCTTTACTCTTCTCCAATCCACCCCTTCATCCTCTCCAGCAAAACCCAGGGCCACCCATACCTCTGTCGCCCCTTCGGTAAGGGCGGGACTAAGCTCCTTATTTCTCAGAATCACACACGTTCATTTGTTTGCGCCTCCTCTTTACATATTGCACACATTGTATCTGCGTCTTCAAATTTGGCCCTGGACGTTTCTGCTCTTAAGACCCCCGTCCTCGCCTCAAACAGCAGAGCACACCCTTTCGAATTATTGAATAAACCTTCCTTCTCTATTTCTTGATTGATTTCATGACCTCTAAATGGTTAAAGACGACTTCCCCTGCAGTTTCTCCTCCCACATGCACTTCTCAGACTCTTTAAAGGGACACTAACACACCCCAACATTTTTTTTTTTTTTTTTTAATTTTTTTTTGTTACAGCATTGCATATGTTTAATCAAGTAAAAAGACGGAATCGCTCGAAACCGAAAGTGGACTGGGGAGAAGGAAGAAATATAGAGGAGGAGAAAGGTGGCAGAAGTCATGTGAAAACTTCAAGTTGAAACTCTAACGAAGCTTTATTAAGAACAAAGATCCCAACGTTTCGGGACTAACTCGGTCCCTTGATCACGGCCGACTGTTTTTGTCCCAAGGAACGGCCTGCCCACGAACCTGAACACCCCCGGGTGCTCTCCGGATGATCCATCTTAACCCCGAAACGTAGCTGCTGGGAAGGGCCCCGGTTGACCAGTTTACGTTGCCACGTGTGCATTGAATATGCCACAACTCCAACAGAATGCGGCTCCACCAGTCTCTCTCCATTCCGAGGATGGAGCTGTTGTCGGGGTTGACGGAGTGGTTTGTCATCTCGACGTGTTCTGCCAGCGCGCTTCCCTCCACATTCTTCTTCACGATGTCGTAGCAGTGGCGCCGCAGGCGCCTTGGATAGTTTGTTTCCCCAACGTACGACGCGGGGCAGTCACCGCAAGGAATTTTGTAAACCAGTCCCTCTGCCCTCTCTCTCGGGGGGGCGACCCTTTGGTAGGGGTAGAAGGCCGCCGATGGTCGAGACTGGCTTGTGTGAGACCGCTATGCCGTATTGTCGTAGTACTCGGGCGAGAATCTCGCTTGTGCCTTTCATGTAGGGTACACACACGCGGGTGGGGGGAGGGGCGGCGTCTTGGGTTGGAGGAGTGCGTCAAATTAACATCCATTTATGAAGATGTGAAGACCTTACCGATTTGCGGGTGTTCCAAGCAAAACGTTTGAGTCACATGCTTGAAAGGATCAGAAGGGGTCACTTGGGCCTATTCAGCCAGTCCTACCTCTAGAATTCTATGTCGTCATTATCCGACGCTCTAGACCAGTGTCGTCACTGAACGCCCATGTTTGACACTGATAGGCACGCCTTTCGAAGCAGAATTTGGGTTTTTTCGTCCCTTTGCAGTGCGTCTTTAAGCTGAAACAAAGTATAGCAAAAAGGGATGTCTAAATTGACCTTTTTCAGAGATCGCTGGGCGCATGCGCCGACTCTGAGAGAGAAGAGGAAAGGGAAAGGCGCCATTTTTGGTGGCTCTTTCGCCCGCTCGGTCGCTCAGACAGTGCTGGTTATGCTTGACTCCTGCGGTATTCTCGCGGCTTGGCTTCATGATCGTCATGCCTCACCACCGCGCAGCAGAAGGTTGCACAAATAGAAGCAAACGCTGTTAAAATGCCAAATTTTATAAGGTTATTGTAGCCTGTGGCGGGTGGTGCACAAAAGCACCCGATGTCTAACACTCCGCCGTTTTTGCCCTGCTTTCAAAAGCCCATGACGAGAGTCCCCCGTGCCAGGTGGCTGGATCATCAATGTGACGGCGGGACTTTCTGCTTTTAACGAAAATACAGTAAATGTCAACATGATGATATAGCTGAAATTGGGGTAGGAAAAGGAAAACGCAAAAGGACACAGGAAAAGAACAGGCAACGTCTCTTGAGACGTTGCCCATTTTTTTTTTTTTTTGTGTTTTCCTTTTTCTATTTTAGTCTCGGGTTTAATAGTTGAAAATGAGCGTGTTGGTGAATAGATACGAATACATGAAAGGATAAAACATCAAGGACGGGGACGGCTACAGGACTTCTTGAAAGAAGTACTCTTTTCGTCCCTGTCCTCGATGTTCCATCAAGCTTTCATGTATTCATATATCAAGTATTCCATCATGTTAACCTTACATCAGCTCGCCTGCACTCTGATCATTTTTTGTTAATAATAAACATGCAAACGAGGTTGTGTGACGTAATCATGCCGTACCCGGTGCTCAAATAAAAAAAAAAATAACAACATAAAGCTTTCTGTTCTTCAGGCGTGCGCTATACACATTCGCGTCTTGCCACGTTAAAAAAGCGACAAAACATTTAAAGCGAGCGAAACTGATTAAGCATTACGGAGACAGAACCTTGATGAACTTTTTTGGCAACCAACCGTGAACCCCCCTGTTTGCTGGGCCCACTTTGTCAAAGGTTCGTAAACGTGCCAACTTCAAAGATGGATTGTTTCTAACATACCGTTCCTTACTTTTTGGCGGTGCAGGCAATCCTTCGCGACATCAAGACGGCCCGGAATTCGCACCATCAGAGTTTGTTTACACATTCCCGAATACGGCAATGTCCCGTGCCCTCACGCGGTGCACAGGACGGGGAAGTGACGGACGGGATAAGCTTGAATAAATTAAGCGATCAAGGAGAGTAAAATCAGCTGTTTGTAGTGGCCGGGTCTCATAAATGGAACTCACAAGCTCCGCACAAGGTTAATGGTTGGGTCGGTATCCAAGCTTGCCACCATTACTTTCTTTACATAACACTCTGCGACTCTGCTTTGAAAGCAGACCCCTTTTTTAGCTGCTTGCAAGACGCGACACCGAAGTGACGATGAAATGACTCAGAGTCAGTGGTAAGAACCGATGCGGCGTCGGTGGTCTATCCATCCCTGAAGGTATAAAAACGAACGAGGTCCTCTGTATCCTAGACATTGAGTTTTGTTAATCCTACAGGTCGTTCTCAGCCATTTCGAAGAAAATATGCACGCGAAGCGACGACAGAAAGACACGTTCGGATTGGTGAAGGACGGAACAACGCCACCAGAGAACACACGTAAACACATGAACCGGGAGACAAGCCAGGCCTGGCGCGGACGACGGAGAGACGGTCCCGGAGCCACCAAAAGTGTTTCGAACGATTCCAGCGAGGGCGCGCCACGATCGTGGCCAAACTCTGAAAAAGGTCAATTGTAAGGTTGTGCAGCATATATAGCAGTCTTGCGGTGATATGCGGCAGCCTAATAAAATGTTAGAGCGCGCATGACTGATAAAGCACGGAGTTGTAAGATGAAGCCCCAAAACTGCATCTAAAATCGAATATAACTTTAGCCTCCTGAGACAGCATTCTGCGAAGTCTCGAGCTCGTGCACGCCGACGTCCTCATGTGATTTAAATTATAAATATACTGCCTGTTCTTTGCACTATTTATGTGTGATTAAGAGCATGATTCCATGCATTTCTGTTAGAGAAATATGGACCATAACCAACCAAGTCCTAAACAGGTAGGTTAGGACGTTTCAAAACCAACTTGTTTTTTTTTCATCAGGGGCGACTATTCGCACGTGGAGAGCAGCAGCTTCTTTTCCATCTACTGTGTGTCGTTTGCTTCACTCGCTTTTTCTTCAAGTTCCCTAGTCCTCTGACATACGCCGATGGTTAAGTTCCTGTAGACCTATTTAGCCCAACCTATTGAAGCGTCGGGCTCCTAACTGTTTAAGACTTGGTCAATGAAGGTCTGCGTTTCTCAAAATTTTGACCCAACCAGACGGAGTTCCGTTATACGTGTTTACGTTTAAAGCGTGCATCTCTATATATTTCCTTTTGCAGTAAGGCGTCGTGTATGGGATTATTTAGAAGAATACCATTTATTATCTCTTTTTCTGTGCATTTCGTGTATTCGCCTTTATATCTATAATGTGAGCACACAGTCCTTTTTGGCATACCCCGCGACCCGGAGTTTCAAAGGATACTGAACCGAATTATGGATTTCGCAAGAAAAGGCCTTTGAAGCATTGAACGCGACGCTACAAACTCCAAAACATTACTCATTCATCGATATCTCAAACGGATGGCCATACTTTTGGAAAAAAAAAAGGGTGCAATCAAGGAATGTCTTTGATGTCATTGTCCTCCGGGAGAATTTGAGAATGAGGGGAAGCGGCCTCGCTTCTCTCCTTTTAGCTTCAATTCACCAGCTTGACGGGACGTGGCAAGAAGGAAAGGGAATGGGAATCGTGAGGTGACTTGTCTCTTTGGCCGTGTTCATTGGCACACTTCTTTTCCAAAAATACGGCGATCCGTTAGAGATATCTCTGTACGAATGATGTTTTTCGGTTTTGCAGCAACCCACATATCCATCCTGCCTTGTTTCGCGAGCTCGAAACTTTGGTTCAATATCCCTTTCACACTGACAAACAGCGAACATGAAAACCCGTTTCTGCAGACTCGACAGATGGCATATTTTCGAGTATCGTCCACCCGTGTCAGTCTCGAGCAGTTATGTGAGCTTCATAGAGTCATATTTATTGATGACAATAAAAAAATATCATTGTTACTACCAGAAGACATGACAACGTAAATAAAGGGCCAGTCACCCTAAAGATGTACGTCATAACTAAATACACCCCCAAATTATATGAAATATGCTCTGTAAATCTTTTCCGGCATTTTTATTCTCAATAGGCACGTCTATAAGTGATTTAGAAGAACCTTAAACAACTTCTATTTTTTTTTATTTAGAAGTTGATTTATATAACATGTGTTTCTGACACATATTCGACTTCTCAAACATATAGGAGTCTGTTGCCTCTTTTATGTGATGAACAACAATTTTATGTGCCTGTGGGCTGGACAAAAACAAAGTACACAGCGGCGCGTCGCAGAACGATGACAATTAAGCATGCAGACCGTCAGAAAGTGACCAATTAAGTAGCTGCAGTGTCGAGTAGAGTATAAAATACTACTTTGTTCTATTAAAAAAAAAAAAATAGCAAAAATAGCAATTGACCGGCATCTTGTCAAGAACAAACCTCAAACGCCAAGCTATGTCGAAAATGTTTACATAGGTACACACAATTTTAGGTCAGATCCAATTTGAGTACGAAAGTCACTCTTTTCTGCATTATTATTCACCGGCATCACGGTGCTGAGTGTAAACAATATTAGTCAGGAAAGAAAGCGTTGCGATTGCCGCTCAGTGTTTCAATAGAAGGTAGTCTGAAAGGGGTTGTCCTAAGCCTTTCCTGATATTTTGAAAATATTATTGCTTTTAGCTCAGTTGCATCGTCATCACATATATTCTGAAACATATTTTGTACACTAGATTTCCGGATATATATGGCGGGGGCGGGCCCATTTCACGAGTTTACCCACTGTAATTAATCTTTCAGTTCAAGAGCGCTACAGAAATCTACTATTAATATTACTATTAATATTACGAAGCAAAGTTGTACCAACCTTGCTTTGTAATCACGGGTACTTCAGGTGGCCTACCAGACTGATAATTTCGATCCAGGTAAAATAGATGCGACCGAGGTAAAAAGACAGATGTTGAGTCGTGTAAGTTAATCTAGCTTTTCTTTTACTGTTTCATCGAAATTAAATAACGAAATTTATTTTTGGTACCTGAAAATAAAAGCGGTTTTTACGAATGCTAAAAATCTATATAGTTACTCGTTTTACTGTTGAAATAGTGCCTATTGCCAAAAAAACGTGGAAAACATATTCTCAGTTTAGCGGTTCAAACCGGTTCGAACCATTATTTTTGCTCCCCAGAACTGAACTGGAACCGAGCCGAAAGCCGTGAACCCAAACCGGAACCAAACCGATAAAAATTTTGGTTAGACGCTTTGGTCTAAACCATAGAAGGCGGCGTGCGGCCACGGAGAAGAGAGTGAGCGCGGCTCAAACCGGCCAGTTCTCGATCGGCATTTCAGGCGGAAAGAAATTAATTTTGAGTCAGAAATTGCGTTCTGGGTAGTCGGGCTCTCCTATGTAATGTACAAACAAAAACCTTGGCGAGCATAAATACTCTGTCAGTGTCCCTCTAACCGCCTTTGCACCGACTGCAGTTTCTCCAACCGCAAAAGGGCGTGCAAAAGCCGCTGACGGGGTGCCTTTCCACAGAGCGTGGGGGACGTGCTGATGAAAGTGATGCGGGGCAGCTACGCCAGCCCGGGGGATTCCTGCCCTGCGGGCCCACGGCGGCTGCTGGGGCGCCTGCTTCAGCGGGAGCCCTCCCTGCGCCCCTCGGCCCGCCAGCTGCTGGCCCACCCCGTGCTGCTGCCTACCGTGGCGCGGCTGGCCCTCTCCGCTGGGGCCCTGTCGCCGGGCGCCCGCCCCTGGGAGGCCAGTTGCCCTGACTCCGAGCGCCCCGCGACTGCTCGCCAATAAAATCCAGTTTTCTCGGGCGGTGGGATGCTGTGAATCTGGCTCTTTCTCGTTGCGTGGTTTGTCCGTCGACAACAAGGAGCGCCTGGCTCGGACATTCCGTCGAGCGAGACGAAGGTGCGACGGCGCCGAGGCAACGCGCCCGGAACGGCACTTTCGACCACAATCTCGAGGTAGGTCAACGGGACGAATGGGGTAGCCTTTCGATGAAACAAATTCTCGACGGAGCGTCGCAGTATTGATGAAATGTGCGACAAACTTATGTTAAGCTTGGATTGATCGCATTGGTAATCGATTAAAAAAATATACGAAAGAGTCAGATGTTTGTCCTGTCCGTCCTCTTCGTATATTTTTGAACTTATGTTGCTAACCACGTTTGCAACATAGAACAGCAAATGTTTCGTTTTATTTGCTGATCTTGACTCTCGATTCTAGAGCTTGTTCCATCTCTCTCTAGGGCTTGCTTCAGATTCCACCCTTATCTGTCCCTAAAAAAATTTAAAAAATGGTTTTCTAGTTTGTGTGCTCAATTGCCCGAAGCTTACGAAGTTCAAAGACATGATTGGGTTACTACACCAGAATAATTAACTATGGTACATTTTTTTTTTATGTATTGATTTTTACTGCGATAAAAAGTGGGTAATTATACTACCATAAATTTCTAACTAGTCCGTGGATGTTTAGGAGTTAAAATTTTATCTGATACGAACTATACGAGGATTTGTTCTCTTCTAAATCGTTCACTGCAATAAGACGTGAAGGATTTTATTACTAAGAGTATATTAATATCTATTTATGTACAAGTTTTTTGTGAGCTAATACAGCAGGCATTTGTCAATGTGTGGTGCGTACAATTATTTTTACATTCAGATTGGGCATTGAGGGCAGACTATCCAAGCCAAAACTTTTATTTTTGACCTCAAATTTTCCCTTGCGGACTACAGTCCAGGAGGTATCTTGATTTCCTCAGTTACTCATTGCTGCTGCCTTTGGCCCTTGGAAAGCTCGGTTTGGTGCCCTGCCGCCTCGATAGCCGTCGCCAATATCAAGACCCACCCGGAACACATGGCCAAGACAGTGGCTGTTGAGGGTGCTGCTCGCACTCTGGGCAATTACATGGTGCTCCCAGGGAAGGAAAGGCTCTTTGTCAGTGCACGTGGACTCAATTCCACTGTATTATTGCTCTCTTCGGACCAATATGGAACTGCCCACAACGCATGCTGCGTTCCCCTCGGTCACACACTTCGAGCGGCTCGTTCATATAGGTGTGGAGAATTACTAGGTGGCACTGTGGCGTTTGGGCTGGAAGGGACTGCCTTAGGGTTGCACGGTGAGAGTAGGTTCCACTGCTTGCCAGAGCTGCCCGCGCGGAGTTTCATCCCTTGGGTCGGTGCCATGGCCACGTGGGGCCACCCGCGAAGTCAACGCAGCAGGCCGGTTTGGCCCCTTCCAGGGGATTCGCCTCAGGGACTCAGCCCAGCACGCGACCGGCAGCCTCTCGTGGTTCTCGGTCAGCCCTCAGGACGCCGGGAAGACCTGCCTAACGCTGATGCTGATGCGGTGCGTGTCGAGGTAGGCTTCCAGTGGTGCCCACTGCGCGTCGCCCCCGGCCCAGGGGCGGTCGTCGCCCGCGGGCAGCACCCGCGGCACGGCGTGGTATGCGAGGCGGGCCGGGCCCGACATGACCAGCACGTCCCCGCTGCGCAGCAGCAGGGCGCGGGGCCGCCGCTCGCGCGTGGCGCCACCCACCAGGAACACGGCCGTCTGGCCGAAGCTCGCCGACACCACGGGCGCGTCCAGGGCAAGCTCCGAGTTATCTACGTGCCCGCCGAGCGCCGAGTCCATGGCGTAGTAGTTGACGATGGCCGCCTCGGGCTGGAAGGCACTGAAGCCAGCGAGGCGGGCCAGCCCCGTGGCGAGATCGCGGAGGCAGTCCGGGAACGGGGACCGACGCGTTTTGTCGTACACCTTGGTGTCCCAGTCGTGGTGCAGCCCGACGGTGGCCCAGCGCAGCGCGCCGTAGAAGGGGTCTCCCGCCCGCAACACGGTCGCCGGCGCCTTCACGTTGGTGACGTGCGGGGGCCTCGTGTACTCCTCGAGGCATCGGCGCACCCATAGGCGCTGTCCCTCGGCCGTGAACGGGTCAGGAAGCAGCAGGAGCCCCGGCGCGTCCACCAGCTCGTAGGCGGCCGGCAGCCGTTCGGCGCAGAGCCCCAGCCGCTCGCAGTCAGCTTGGGAGAGCTGCTCCGAAAGGGCGCGGGGCCGAAGCGCGCTGGAGCAGTCGTCTCGCAGGGCATCCACCACGCCGGTCAGGTCGGGCCGCACCGACCGACGCTTGTAGAACTTGAACTCCTCCTTGAACGGGTCACTCTGCGCCTCCATGGCTGTCTCACCTGGATTGCCCGCTCGCCCCGCTGGCCTTGCGGCGCTGGCGCGCCTCTGGCTCAAGCCAACGGGCTCAAGCACACAGCCGACGTTGTGCAGATGGCTTTGGTGAGAGTTACTTCAGTACCTGTCAGAACGGCACTCCTCGCCCGACCATACCTCCATTGCCTCGTCAGTGCCACTCAAAATTTCAAGTACTGATGATTAGAAACTTTTGTTCGCAAAGGCGAGAACGGTCCAGCGATTTAAGTACAGATCACAGCGGTGAAATAATGACACTAAAGTCAAGGCAGCCAAAAATGCGGCTCCGGCGAATGAACTGCGCCATGTTGGATTTTGTGTGGCTTCGACTTCGACTCGGCTGGCGCTTGACGACATAAAAATATACCACTGAACCGTTCGTACGGTTCGTGATGCATTTTATAAACGTAGCTTCAGCCTCTTTATTTAACTTTTTTTAGTTCAATACAGCGAGGGGCGTCTAAACGGTTGTAGTAATGGATATCCCCACTATAGATGAAGTGACACTGCTGCTGGATCCTCTATGGCTGGATCGGCTGGATCATAGCGTTCCATTTGCATCCCAACCTTTGGCTCTGGAAGTTTCCTTGGGCTGGTGGTTGCAGCCAGGGTTGCTAATACGAGTTTCTCCACGCCGCCGCCATCTGACCGGCGCACAGGTCTATCACGTCCTATGATCACGTCTGCTTGCGCTTTTTCGGGAGCTTCATTTGGGTTCTAAAAGTTGCACTTGAAACAAAGATGAATAAGTAAATTTTAGACCGTAGGAAGCTTCCGAAAGCGCACAAGTACCACGTGACAAATAGAGGCCAGTTCTCCGCGGCGCCCGCGGGCGCCAACTACAAATTCGCATAGCGCTGTAAATATAGTTATAATGCAATTAAATGCAAAGGGGCAAGCGAGCTGGACAATAATGATGGAAATATCCCTGGAGAAGGGGAACAAGAGGGACAAGGGACAAACATAAATCTCCAAACACAGCTAGGTGACTGGTCTAAAAATTTTAACTTTTCGTTGTAAATTCGTTTTAGGACTTCCTTTTCCCAACCAAGCTGTCCTTTACTGCTCGTGAAATAAAAAATTTGCAAAATTTAATTTGCAAATCGGCCACTCTGACCGATTTGCGAAAAATAGGGGCCGCGAAAATAAAGGGTTTTACAGTATAATCCCCGCACTGACGGCGGTCGTGACGTCTCTTTCTGACCCTTTTTGAATACAGCAAGAGTACGAGTGCATAGCTTTGGTAGGCACCGAAGAGGCGAGAGAGCCGAGATTCCAAAGACTCCTAATACGACGTCACGCCCCGAGAGCCGCGGCAGTAGTTTGAAAATTTCTGGAGCCTCCGTACTTCAAGTTGAAAAATAATCTTGATATTCTTGATCCTGGAGGCCAAATGAAGACGATTTAAGTGATTTTCCTCATATACAGAATTGCTTTAAGGGGTAATCCGCCAATTCCTCGATCTGCCCGAGCAAATGCGTCGGAACTCTTTGGGAGTTTGGGGGGGGGGGTCCGACTTTAAATGGCGCTCAGGCCCACACTCTCACACTGCATGGCGACTGATAACTGTCCCCTATTATAGGCCACTGTAGCAATTATCGCCGATGGATATGAATAGCTATTCTTGTGAGCACCTGCACATCGACACAAATTTCCACAGATGCACGAACAGTGCATGGCACACTATTGACAAAAACAGAGTCGATTGCCAAGTGGGATTCCGCATTTTGCAGGCAGCTTTTGATTGCTTCGTTCGCACGTTTCCAGACACTGGCTTCCAGTCCCCGGAGCGTGGGAGGGACGTGCAGAGTGGCTGCTCCAGCTCTCCCCAATGTGTGAAAATAATTTATTGGTCGGAGAGTCAGTCCTCGAAGCTGATCTGGCCGGGGCCGTGGTTCTTCATGTAGCGCCGGTAGCTCTTGTAGCGGGCGCTCTCTGCCAGCTTGGCCCTCATCTCCTCCTCCTGCCGCTGTTTCCACACCTGCACCAGACAACAGGTTGCCCCAAGAGGCCTTGGGAATGCAGCCGTCTCCATCCAAACCCAATCTCCCATTTTAAATCAGTCGGCACGCTGGAAAAGCTTAGGATGGTGCTTACAAGATCCCAATGCAGAAGGTAACAATCTATAAAAATATTGTTTTGCCGCGGCTCTTACCATCGAACATGTTCCTAGTTGGCGGTCTATTCACGTTCAAAAGTATAAACTCTTTCCGTACTACAAGGAAAAGTCATTTTTAACGTGAAACTTCGACTAGTTGTTCTGGATAAAATGAAGCCGGATTAAGTTTCCCTGCCAAGGGGGATAGAAGCATAGGAGAGGGCATGACGATAGCCGTGTAGCCTCCACAAGCCATGCTCCCTTGACGCCTCGCCTCTTTCCTCATTTTCCTCCTTACCCTCCTCACTTATCAGGCCAACGTGACCACATCACGTGACCGTAGCTAGCCTTCGTCTAGCTATGGGGTACTAGAATACACCACAGGCTAGCCTTCGATCTGATAAAACCTACCGGACGGAGCGCGCGCAAACCTGCAAGGAGTCCTTGTACAATCAACCATCCATCTCACACGTGACATGTCACGTGCACCAATAGCCAGAGAGATCTGCGGTCACATTGGCCACAACATCGTTAAAACTTTTTATGACTAGGCTTCACCAATATTGCTACGTGCCCTCTCCTAGTACTTCTAACCTCCTTGTCCCCCCCCTACATTTAGTGAGAAAATTGATGTTGCATGACCTCAACGCCAACTCCGTTTTCCCGCTAAATTTAGCGGGGAAAACAATGTCACATGGAGTCATGCCACGTGAACAATACGCAAATTTAGTTTCCCCGCTAAATCAAGCGGAAAAATTGACGTCACGCGAGATGTCACGAAACTTATGTCACATGATCTATACACCAATTCAGCTTCCCCACCAAATTTGGCGGGAAAGTTACGCTGCGTGACATTGATTGCATGTCGGTGCAGCCACGAGGTGCAGCTATCGCTAAACGCTTGTGATGGTAGAACGTTTCACCTATCTAACAGAATTGCCTAGCAATTCATTTTGAAGGATAGACGAAACATTGTTTATTTTAAGAACTAGTCAGGATATAGTAACTGAATATATATATATATCAAAACGTAGCCAATAACCTGCTCTTTAGGAAAAAAAAAAAAAAACAAGTGTACACCAATTCTCGAAAAAAGTTTGTCAAATTTAAATGCTGAACTTGAAATTTGTGCAAAAATTATAACAAAATATTTAAACATTTGCAACCATATCAAATTAAATTTTAAAAAAATTCCTAAATATACGAAACGTGTCCCATACACACCACTATCCCTTCTGTAAGTTAGAAAGCTACAGCTAATACTGTGTGTTTTTTTTTTTTTTTTTGGGGGGGGGGGGGGGGGGGGGGGGGGGGGGGGGGTTTGGCGCTGTGCATTTCAGAGACGCTGTTGCACACGAAGATGCACGTCCTCCAAAACACATTTTTTTTTTTTTTTTTTTGCGACATGGCTTTTGTTTGTATGCTTTCGCTTCTCCTCTGCTGCTGTTTGTGTGGCTTGCAGCAAACACAAAAAATGAATTGTCGAGGCTCAGGACAGCCTGGAATGCTAGACCAACTTTCTTCAACGAGCACCTGTAGATATTCTGCACCTCGAAGGCAAAACATCGCGGCAGGAGCTCTAATTAATTGATCCAACATCATCCGCAGTCTTTACTGCTCTTGTCATCCAAAAATAACAATTGGCAAATGCAGTTAAATCATGTGATTTGAAAGAAACCATGAAATTAATTTTGGGCTGGAATAAACTGGGATTTTACTAGGCATGGGCGAATAGAGGATTTTGGGTCCGAATCGAATTCGAAGCGAATAGTGATTTGGTCGAATAATTTCGAATCGAATAGTACAAGCAACTAATACCACAAGATATGTTTAAACTATAGTTTTATATTTGCCCTTATTTCGTATTAGAAGTACCGTAATTGTTAATTTCAAGTGTATTGAGTTCGGGAGCACGGACTGGTCAAAACGGTGGGAAGCTTGCGCCACCTGGTCGGAAATCCAAGCCAGAGTAAGTCAAACCCGTTTATATCGAACTCGCAAGAAAATGTCTACCAGTTCGATAGAGCGGGTAATTAGATATAAAAGTTTTAATGAATTTGACTCTCAAAAATTCACTTTCTGCCGAAATACTACACAATGAAGTAGTCTTGCATCTTCTGCTGCTTTTGCTTCATTGCATCCGTGACAACAATATTTTTCTACGCTATCGACGGACTCCAAAATGCCGAGGCCGCTGCCTTCTGTATTCGCGCATTAGCGCCGAACTATGACGAGAGCACGGAGCACGTCCGAGCGGGAGCACCTTCTCCTGCTGAGCGCCGTTTCGCTCTGCAAGTTGGCTTTCCCCTACAACAGGGTGGCTGCGTTGGGGGAAGCCAGCTAGCAGTACAAGCTGGCTTTTTTTTTTTTTTGAGACGTTGCCTCCTCTTTTACTACCTTCTGTTGTGTTCTCTTTTCAGCCCCAGTCTCAGGTTTACAATCATGTTCGGCTTTTTTTGTTGTTTCTTTTTCCGGGCGACCGCGTCGACCACTTTGAAGGAAACAAAAAAAAAATCTTTTGCGGATGGAGCGGGGGGGAGGGGGACCATCCGCTAGCTATATTTTATTTTCTTCCCTGCGGTCAACGCGGCCGCCCGGAAAAAGAAGCCAGCATGCTCTGCAAGCTGGCTTTCCCCCAATGCGGCCGCTCGCGTTGGGGGAAAGCCAGCTTGCCGAGCAAAACTGCGCTCTTGGCAGTTTGATATATCAGTAGCGGCTGGCTATTTCTGTTCGATGCAACCATACTTTTTGCTATATATTATCACTGTAACATTACTGTGCACAAAAATTTCTCGATCTAAGGAATAATTCGATGTAAACGGGTTTGATATAGTCGGGTTTGACTGTATTTAGAAAGGTAGAATAATCCTATATTGTTGAATAATTCGATATTGTCGAATACCTTAAATTCTATTCGAAGCGAATGCCGAATAGAACAGAATTTGATTGGCTATTTGTAATAACCGAATATTCGCCCATCCCTAGATTTTACCACTAATCGCATATCGTTTAGCGCGCCAAGAGAAAACTATTACACAAGGGTAGAAAGCCATAAACCTGCTTTTCGATACAAAGATTTGAACATAAAGCGGATTTTTTTTTATGTCTTTTCTTTCTCGAAAGCTTTTTGCCTTTTCACTGCGATGCATCCGTGGTGCCCAAGCATATCAGCCGAATCCAGCTCAAGCACTGCGTCACTTGGACATATGCGTCCGTCAACAATCAATCCGTCGACGAATATTTAGATTTGCGTTCGTGGCCAATGAGTGCCGTGAAAGCACTTATCATCACTTGCAAAGGGCAAGTTCCATGGTGTGCTTATAAAGTATGGTAAAAGCTTGGAATCATCGCATCTGGTGCTCAAGCTCCATGTGATTTCTCATTCCGCTTTTGAGCTGAAGATTAAAGTTGAGGAGAACGAAGTCGGAAAATAATTTCATGGTCCCTCGAAGCTGTCTCTGTAGTGGTCCCCAATGTCAGAAGAATGCTACGCTCGACAAGTGACACTGCCACGTGCGACTGTCCAGCTTGGGAAGAAGTGTGAAACGAAATCGATATTGAAGTTGCAGTTCTTCAGCTGTCCACAAAATAACACAACGGGTCTTGGCGTGCCAAATTTGAATCCTGGCTGCGAGTATAAACCATCGACCAGAGGCTATGGACGGCCCAAGGGTGTCGTACGGAAATAGTGAAATAATTTTTTATCCGCATAAATGCAGTGTCAGCCACGTGGCGAGACTGCATCGACGTTGACACCGACAAGACCTTGGGGTATGCAAAGCGGTGCAAAAACCCATTTATTTGAGGACACTTCGTTCGAAACAGTGCTCGGGTATTGTTAGTTTAGGACGCTAGTGGCTCACCGGTTTGGGCATGCATGCCAACGTAGCTGCGCTTGCTTTGGCATCAACACTGCCAACAAAATGCCTACGTCGGCGTGTAAATAGACGGCGCTGTAAGCATGTTAGCACAACCGGGAACGGACCATTTATAGAAAGAAGTATGTCGAAGCTATGCCCATGATCGGTCGATCAATTAGTCGGGAAACAAACCTCAAAAGACCACCGGAAAGAAGCGAATGCCCCAAGAGCACAACAGACAAGGCAGTCGGTGGTTCAGGCTCCGGTTCCTGGCATTGCGTGCGGACGGACGGAGACCAACCCTGCCAGTTTGGGCACTGCCTGTTTAGGCGGTGCCCAGAAGGATGGTTTTCAGCTCGGAATGTGCCAAACGTGCCTTTTTTTGTCAAGAGCGAGTTGACCTTACACCGTCGTCTGCACCAGGGGCATTGCCACGGCTAGAAATTGACCCCAAACGACCGTCGCTATACTGAACGCCTGACTCCTTGCCCCCCTCCAAAACTGCCAGCCACACCGCCGGTCCGCACAGTCGGGACTCGGTCTAGATATGGGTAGGCCGGGCTGCACTTTGCCCCGAAACTCCGCCCACGCGGCGCGAACCCGAGCGAGGGTTTTGGAGCGGCTCACCTTGAACTTGTCCTTGAGCCAGAGCTGGTCCCTGAGGAAGCCCTGGCGCTCCCTGTCCTCGAGGGCATCCCACTGCCCCTGGGAGAGGCCCATGTGGCGCCTGATCAGGTACTCCTTCTCCACGGGACCCAGCTCCTGGCCGCCCAGGGTGAACTTGAACAACCAGCGGGCCTGCCACCAGGCCAGGTGGCCCAGTGTGACTGGCAGCAGCACCAGCTGCACCCACAGCACCTGCCGCAAGCTGGGCCTGCTGTAGCCGCCCCTGGGCACGGACGAAAGCATCAATGACGATGCCTGCGTCTCTCACAGGTGTCTTTAAAGGGACCATGAAATGACCTTTTTACTTTTTCCAGATAACTTTTACATTAAACTGTCAATGTTCACTGAATGCCGAACAGGCATCCGTTTTCGTCTCGGTTTATCAACTTCTACACAAAAAATTATTGAAATATCGACTTTTTCATTCTCTCCAACTGACCGCAAAACACGCCGTGACGTAGGCCATTTCCGGAACCGGAAGTTCTCTCGGCAGTAAGAGAATGGGAGTGTTAGCGGCAACGAGTTGGGGTGCGCCGGTAGGTTTTACTGCGCTGATGTCACCGACGTATTTTCTGAATCGGCGCCTCTCATCGCCGCATCGCAGCTGAGCGAAATTCAATGAGATATGTTGCGCTACAGCGACAGCATGGGACTAGTCCCATACGCCGGTATGCCTGTTGGGAAGTGCAGCGAGTCTTCCGGTGAAAACTCCAGAAGTCAACCACCCTGTCATTGTTGGCAAAAGGGCCGGCCCGCGTCAGTCGTTTGCAAAGCGACGTAGATGGCGTTTTTCGCGGCCTCGGAGATGCAGGAGCGAGCCGACGTTAAAAAAGATACGTTTGAACTACGACTGTCAGCAAGAGCCACGTAAATACCTGTTTACACTCGGAGCGGACGCGCGCGCTTTGGAAGTGCTGTAATCGCGCTGTTTGTAAGCGCTTCGGGACCGTTCTTTTACGATTGCAACTCGATACTGACGCGACACTCGGCAAAGAAAGGTTGGATTGGGGTTGTACGTATACCTCCCACGAACTGTTATAGCTCGACAGTGACGTGCAGTCTGTCAGAATAAAAATGGCATACCAATAACAAAGTGTACATACCGTGTTACCAAGGTAATCCATACGGCGTTTATTTCGGCTCTATATCACACAAAACAAGAAGATAGAATCGACGAGAGTCCCTTTTCGACGAGTGTTCGTCAACACTGCCTCGGAAAACAAGGGGAAGAGATTGACCTCACCTCTTAATCTAGAATTGAGGTCAGCGATCAAACTATAATACGGGAAGGGTCCACAAGGGTCGCGCGGGCATATTCCATTTAGCACGCAAGCCGGTCGTAGGCAGACGGTCTTGCGACGAAGCAACGCAGCGCCGAGTCGGAATGCCTGCTAGGCCTATATTCTGAGCAGCTCGCTTCGTCGGAGTCGGTGGATCCAGCGTTCTTGTTCGTCGTGGTCTGTTTTAAGTACTGTTTTCTTGCTGCTTTTAGTCGGCACGCGCGGGAAGAACACATAGAAAAATAAACGTTCAGTCAGTCAGAGTTTTGAGAGGAAGGAAAACAAAGAAAATAAACGTTCGTCGGTCGCCGCCACCCAAGTAACTGTCGGCCCTGCCCTACTGCGCACGCGCAGTAGTTGCTTCGTTTACCACACGATAGATGGCGCTTGGCTCTCAGCATTATCAAATTTGGCAATTTTCGCCACACATCTCTAATTATGCTACAAAATGTGGATCTGAATATTATTTAACAAAACTTTTAGGAAACATTCGCCGGCTATTTATTGTTTACGATCGCGGTGCTGGTGAGGTAGGCTCTTACCCAATAGGCGACGTGGATTTGGCTGACGTGCCCCATTTCCGCAGATGCATCGTAGTGAACAGGCGAAGGAAGGAAGGCGCAAAAGAGTCCAGTTTTCTTTTAAAAGTTCTATAGCAAATAATTTTTTTTGGCTCCCTATTTTTGTGTTTCTTTTCACACCTTTTACGACGTGCGGTGGATGAAACTCGATTTTAAAATCATTTCATGGTCCCTTTAAAGGGATACTGAAGCGAAACTTGAAATACACCTATTATGGTCAGAAATAGGTTCAATATGATCAATGATATTCATAAATCATAATCGCGCGTTTGTATTTTGAACGGATGGCTATATTTTCACCCTAATGGGCCCAATTGGGTGCACGCTCAAAAATCGGCCATCGGAGAGCGCGATGCGTCTTGGGATATTGGGCGCATTCGTGACGTCATTTGTGCCAGACTACTGATCTCCACTAGAGGGGGCTGGATGGCGCATTGAGCAAACAGGTATGAAGCCACCGGAAGTGAGTGGCTTGTCCCGGAAGTGAGCGCTTGGCAGGCTTTTTAACCCTTCCGAGTGCTGGTTAGAAAAGCGTCGAGGGTGCTGGATTTTTGCGTGTTCCCTCAAGAGAGCCCGCTTTTTGCGCAGTAAGAGCGCATGCGGACTCGAGAAGTATGATGGGAAGCCATTCCATGTAAACATTTTGAGATTCTAGTTGATGAAGTTGTGAATATGTCCCAAGTTCAAATGCCTCATTCTCGGGATTTAATCAAGAACGGGAGTATTGAAACCCAATCAAAGACTCAAAAAAGCATGGTCCAAAACATCAACTGAATGCACTAGGAAGCCCAGCGCACGCCCGACTTCCGGGACAAGCATCGAACTTCCGGTGGCTTCACTTGCGCCAGGTTCGGAGAGCAGCTAAGCGCCATCCAGCCCCCTATAGTAGAGATCAGTGTGCCAGACGGGAAAGGCTACGGCGTGAATGTTGTGGTTACGAGCGTTGCCACTTGGTGGCGCGTCGACGATTTACGACCTGTGACAACGTGGCCGTTTGAGATGTGCAAGGGCTGCACGCACGCTGCACCACGGCAAGTCGGCAACCACGGCAGCACTGACAAAACCAGCTCTGAGGCCGGATTCTCAAAGTGAACTCACGACGAAAAAAGTGCGTACGACAAATTTGAGAGAAAACCCGTACTCTCGAAACGAAATTGTCGTAACCTTTGCGCAGGTTACGACAGAATCCTACGACAGCTCCGAAGCTGTCTTACGCACTTTTTACGATCAAATCAACAAGGCCGACAGTGCCGCTCAGTTACTTGGTATCGGCCACCAACGGACATTTATTTTTCTACGTGCTCTTCTCGTGCGTCCCGACTTCAACCAGCAAGAAAAAAGGAAGGAGTACTTAAAACAGACCACGACGATCAAGAACGCAGGATCCACAAACACACGAGAAGAGCTACAACGGCCACGATTCTGCCGACCGAGCGAGCTCGGCAGAATATAGTAGGCCTAGCAGCAACATCGACTCGGTGCACCGTTGCTCCGGCGGTCCTTGGCCAAGACCGTCTGTCCATGACCGGCTGGCCTGCTGAATGGAATATGCCCGCGCGACTTTTGTGGACCCTTACCGGATGAGTAGTTTGATCCCTGAACTAAATTTCAGAGGTCAATATTTTCCCCTTGTCATCTCGATCTCGTTTTCCGAGACAGCGGTGACGAACGCTGTCGTCGACAAGGGACTTTCATTGATTCTATCTTTTTGTTTTGTGTGATATAGAGCTCAAATAAACGCCATACGGATTACCTTCGCAACTCGGTATGTACACTCTGTTATTAGTATGCCATTTTTATTCTGACTCGACGCTACGTCACTGTCGAGCTATAGCAGTTCGTGGGAGCTACGCGATGTCAGTCTAACCTTTCTTTGCCGAGTGTCATGTCAGTATCGAGTTGCAATCGTAAAAGATCGGTCCAGAAGCGCTTACCGAAACGCGGTCTAACAGAGCGAATCCAGCACTTCGATCAAACGCGCGTGTCCGCTCCGAGCGTGAGCAGGTATTTGCGTGGCTCTTGCTGACACCCTCGTAGTTCAAACATATCCTTTTTAACGTCGGCTCGCAGCTCGCGACTTGCAGCAACTAATACCGGCCGTGCCAGAAGCATGCTCGGGTCGTGTCGTGCAAAGAGCCGCAACGAGAACGAGCTCACTGTGGCCAACTACGCTTTGGCTTTCTCCGCCAAGGCTTTGCAAACGCGTTCAGGCCTAGGCGAATTCTGCCGGCACGCCGTATTGCCGCAGAACGGCGCTGCTATTATGGCACAAGTGATGTCACGAGAACTTCCCCCCATCCACCAGATGAGAATTCGAAATCGTTTAATTATGTTTAAAATTAGTTCTCCTGTGTTTTACAGCGCAATATTTATATTTCTGAGGTGGTGCCTGTCCCTAGCCCATATTTATGCAACAAGATCAGCGCTAAAATTTAGTTTCACTACCCCTTTAACGCAGCCAAAAAAGTGACCCACAATGTCGTACGAGTGTCGTCGGCGGTGGTAGAGATTGCAGACGCCCATTCCCATTCAGCATTGTACCGCAACGAACAACCACCGGGACTGCGACATCCAACAGTGTGACGCTCTTGCAACTTAATTTGTTGCCACTCCGTGCATCGTCGAAGGGCTTGCAAAGGAGGCAAGACAACCCCTTTGCGGTTTTCCTTGGGTGCCAAAGAGGATGGCAAAGTGCTTCCTTTGCTCGAGAAAGCTCATCGAACAAAGAAAAAAGCGATTCTGAAACGTGCTTCTATTTTGAGACGCTGACCCCAAACTTAAAAAACGCGGATCTAGTAATTTGCCAAGATTGTCGCTGCCCCCCACATGCTCCTAAACTCGTGCACTTGGCGGAAAGCAAGGTGCACAAGTTTAGCAGGCTGGGGTCGACTGAAGGCACGTCTCTCGGCTCCTAGCCGCAAACCGGTCTTCCCATACAAGGGTCTGCTGCGGCCTTGTCCCATTTGACAAGAAAACAAACTGAGTGGATCCAGTCTGACCGTCTGATCAGCTCAACTGACGAGGTCGATACGCAGTTCGACCGTTTGATCAGCTCAACTGACGAGGTCGATACGCAGTTCGACCGTTTGATCAGCTCAACTGACGAGGTCTCTGGCAAGGCACACGGGATGATGTCGCGCAAAATGTGTGAGGAGCTACGCGCAAAACATGTGAGGAGGTCGTTGGCGCTCGTGGGCCCACACCGCCCCCCCTGGAGCAGAAAAGGACTCGCTGGCAGCGAGATGCTTTGGAAGAGGGCCTTACCGGATGTCCACCTGCTCCTCGATGATCTTCCGGAGCAGGCTCTCCTCCTCGTCCTTCAGCTCCTCCTGGGGGAGACCAGAGGACAGTCTTCCGGAGGGGGTTCTGGGGCAGCACTCACCTTGCGCCTGCGGTCTCGCTTTCTGCTGGGGTTGTAGAAGCCGTCCGCCCGGGCAATCTCCACCGCCTGCACGAGCAGAGGAAATCGAGCCATACGCGGCCCTCTGGGAGTCTGCCCAATACCGCCTAGAAGACATGGCCCGCGCCTTTCATCGCAAACATAGTCGCTAGCAGACTCGCGTGGCGCCGCGTCGCTTGCGTCAGCATCACTGCCAGCACGTCTCGTAACAAGCGAGACGCTAGCATGCGGCGACGGAAGCATCTGCCATTTTGCGGCGACTCTTGCTGCTTCGGATCCACCAACAATGTGTGCAGGCCCCATCTTCTAGACGCCGTCATTCAACCTCACCTTGAGCCTGTACTTGGGGACCGTGACCAGGTGGTCGATGGCTGTACGGTACCGGTGCCAGGCCCCGTAGTACTGCAAGGGATTGCGTGGGGTGTGCCAACGGGGCCGAGGGAACGAAAGCGATGCGCCCACCTGTACAACCGAGATGACGGTGATGGTGACGGCCAGGACTATGCGCACGTCCACCCTGGGAGCCATCCGCTTGCGGTAGTACCGGAAGTAGTGGCGGTAGACGGCCTCTGTGCAAAGGGGGGCGCGATGTCAGCGGTTGGCCCTGGGAGCCCCCAGGAGGCGCCCACCTGGATTGTCCAGCATGTCGTCGTAGTCCTTCCGGGACTCGTCGTCCTTGAGGATCTGTAGAGGGGCGCGAGCGTAAGGGAGCTGCATCTCCGACCTCAAAGTGGTCCCTCTATTTTCGGCCGATGACGTCGCAGAAATGTCACGCCGTCGGCAGCTGCGGTCTTAGCACGGCGGCAGCGGTGGACGCGACAGACGCCCGTTCTGTGCACGGTCCGCAGAAGCTTCACCGGCCGGGAGTCGGGACTCGACAATGACGCTCATGTTTGCTCGTGCCTTTTTCTTTTTTTTACGGAACTCGAATGACCAATTACCCAGATGGAAATATCCGACGGCGCGTCAATCCGGCTTCTGCGGCGCCATCTGTTGCCGCTTGCGGACCTCTTTTGATGGATGCGACACGCGCATATCGGAGATGCGTTGCAGCCATTGGGGTGCAGCGATGCCCCGTGCTCACCTCGTAGGCCGTTGCTATGAGGGTGAACCTTTCCGTCGCCCTGGATTTGGCCTCCTGCAAACGCAAACTCTCGAGCGGCCTGCGGGACAGACCTGCCGTCCTCTCTCACCTGTGTCTTGTGCATGTCGGGATGGTGCTTGCGTGCCAGCTGCCTGTAGGCTCGAGCCATCTCGGCCTGCGTGGGGACCCATTAGCTCCCCGCCCGCCGTCTCCATGTGCACCCACCTTGGACGTGTCTCTCCCAACTCCCAGCACTGAAAAGAGACACCCGATCGTGGACTACCTTCGGCAAACAACCTTTTATTAAACGGGGTTAGGGCACATTTCACCGTGCTTAGACTAAACTATGCCGGCGCAGTACCGATTACTCGCCCGACCTGTAAAAATAGTAATGTCGCATTTTAATTAGTCGATTCTAAAGCTCATCAATTACGTTTTTCTTGGACCACATTTTTTTTAATTCTTCGCTCGGCAATTTACATCTATTCACTCTGACCAGTCTTTGGGGATCTCCGACAACGGGCCCAACGAGATTAGTTTCTTTTATTTTCGTGCACAGGGGTAGACCAGGGGTCTCAGACATGCGACTCTCTGGGACGCGGCTTTCGGGCATCCCCCGGCAGCAAGCGCCGCTGCATGCGCCTTATAGTTTTATATTGTCCATTCATTGCCGCTCGACAAGGAACTCTGCTCATATAACGTGTTCACAGGTTTTGCACTATTCTATCTTTTGGACAAAGTATTGATTCATCTAAATATTTGCTTCTCGGCCCTTTCTCATGCAACTCAAGCGGAACGACAGTATCACTACTAGGCTACAAGCACGAGCTCTTTGCGCAATAAGGCAGCTCGGCTGTACATAGTCTCGCTCAGCAGGATCGACTGCTAAAGATGAATATAAGAGCTCGGGATTTTAGCCGTGAAAAACTACGCTTAAAATATGAGTATTTTATTATAATGGTGCTATAAAAATTAATTTGCCCAAGTTACACTTTCTTCTACATGAGGCCCTTTTGTATGTTTGCCGTTACACCAATGCCATTGCTGTGCCAGAAGTCAAGGCAGGACAGTGCACCTACGCCATCGGGAGAGGAAGCTACACCCTGGGAGTCCTCGCCCTCTTCCAGGTACCGCTGTCGGTAGGACACGTGAAGAGAATTACAAAGATTCTTCGTTTTGAGGCCTGGGGACAGGCAAGATTGCTTCAGGAGTGCCTAAAGGTATGGTGCTACTCAATGTTCAAGAGCCAGAGGAACGCAAAGGTGAAGTTGTGGGAGTGCCTGTGTCAGGCAACACAGAATACGGATTTCTTATGGCAGACCTTCAGACTGTATTTGACACGCCCAAAGAAGGCCCAGGGAAAGATTGCAGGTTACGGTGTTGGGTGGTGTACCCGCGGACGTGCTGGAAAAAGGTTTCCAGCACCCGAACCCCAAGAGACGCGGTTTCCACGTCTCTTAGGGCTCGGGCAAGCCAGCGGGGATGGAGAGAGTAACGCAATATTGGTGCGTCACATTTTAACCGGACGACGCGGAAACCTTCCTTTTACAAGGGTGACGCACTGTGCCGAAAGCATGTGCTATGTGAAGTCTTTGGTCCTGGGCTTACTACTGGTTAGGGCTGCTAAAAGTTCCTTTTTAGACGAAAAACAAAATATAGGTGGCGTGAATCGTTTCAATTATTTATAAAAGTAGCTTTGTTCAGTATTTTAGATCAGAAAAGAAACGAATGCGATTTATAAAGTACGGAGACAAGAAATGAAAGGCGGCGCATACTAGGAAGGTGTACTGGGATCAGGCACCGACGAGCGGCGAGTGTAGAAAGGTCCCAGATGTACAAGGCGGCGCTGTGGTCATATACAGGCTCGAAGATTTGACCGGTTCCGAGCATTCCGAAGGTCTTCGGCGAGGAGGTTTGGCTTGCAGTTTGGCCGTTTCGCAGCGCAAAGTGGCTCCCGTTCTGAGCTGGTCTTTACCCCGTGTTTGCTGTCGTTTGTGGTCAATGAAGTGTCATGCCGAATTGGTGTTTAATCGCGCAGCAAATGCAATGCGCGCCGCCCTGGCTGCTCGCTTTATACAGCCTATCTAGAACGGCAGCCGTGAACGCTCGCTGGGCTTACTACCCCTCCTCTGGTTCATGGCCACTCAAGCGACGAAGGACGTCATGAAGGAGATTATTTTTTGTTTGTTTTCGTAATTTTAATTTGCCTACAACTTTTAAAATAGAGCGAAATTCAAGAAAGGAAACATTTCATTAAGGTACTATGTTCAGTGCACTCAGGTTTGGTGAAAATTAAAAACCAGTAAAAAAGACCTTGCAGGGCCCCTTTTAAGAACTGTCAGAACATTGGCATTTTAAATTTTGCTTAAGGGATACTGAACCGAAATTGGGAATCACAAAATAAGGCGGCAGAAGCGTTGAATGGGACGCTACGAACTCCAAAACATCACTCGTACATCAATATCTCAGATGGATGGCCATACTTTTGGAAAAGAAGGGCGCGATCAAGTGAGGGCTACGACGTCATGGTCCTCCGGAACATTTGAGAACGAGGAGAAGCGACCTTGCTTCGGTTTACCAGCTCGACGGGACGAAGCAAGGAGGAGGGGGAAATGAGAATCGTGACGCGACACTTGTCTCGTCGACCGTTTTCAATTGCACACTTCTTTTTTAAAATTACGGCGAATCCGTCGGAGATATTGTTCTACGAGTGATGTTTTTGCGTTTTGCAGCGCCCCGCCAACCTGTCCAGCCTTGTTTTGCGAGCTCGAAATTTCGGTTCAGTATCCTTTTAACACGTCAGGAGTCGGCCCAAAGTAGTTGTTTATGCAGGTCAAAACATTATATGCTACTGGCAAAACAGCGAGCACACAAAAAAGCAAAGATCACGACGTCTAGAAAACCTCTCGTCGCTGGGAGAGTCGACTGCTTCGCCAAATGAAGCGGCATCGCTTTTTCTTTTTGTCCCAAAGTAGCAAAATATTTCCCTCCGTTGGCCCTCAACCTTCCGGAGGATGGGCTATCTGGCCCCCGTGCTCGAATGAACTCGAAACTCCCGAGCTAGACAATCGTTGTGTCGCTTTGTACTGCGGCCACAGACGACGCTCCTGCGTGCCTGGTGGACGGCGACTGTTAAAAAATATTTGCCCCGCCGAGGAAAGAAGGAAACATGACACAACTTTGCGAGACTGGTACAGTTAAGCCAGTTGAAGGGGTTAGTAATGTGCGCAGCATCGAGGACTCAATTGTCCACTTTGGCAGTTCGTCTCCAAGGTGTGGCTCGTTCGGAATGGCACACTTTTAGGGTTCTCATTGGCTAAAAAAGAAATTGCCGACGTAATGCACACATTGAAGGATACGTCGACCAAAATCTTAGCTGGATTGTGGTTGTTTGTATCAGTAGACCCTTTGCAAAAGTGCGCCATTGTTCGGGCACTGAACATGTATTGGCCGCGAGGGCTGCCCCAGCGTGAACTCTGCTCGTATTGAAAACAAGTGCTGCGTAGGCGATCGGCAAGGACCCGGATTCGATTGCACGCTTCGTGCCCAAGACATGGCGACCACCAATGTTGCTCAATGGACTTTTGAGAAGGGTCTATTTGCCTCCTGCTAGTGGGCAGAAAATTCAGTGGTAGATGCAAACATTGTTGAACTTGTCTCCATTATATTTCAATGATAATGAATTGGGGCAATGTTTTGGCAATTCAATCTCGTGTTTTAGTTTACTTATAAAAGGTGTTATGAATCGTGCAGCTCGCTCCGAAATTACCCGAAAAAATCGGCAACAGCTCGCAAAATCGAAGCGATCCTAGCGGCGTAGTACCATGCAAAATCATCTTGGGTACCTTTGGGCCACCGTTTCGCTTTTGGTTTGCCAGCCACGACCCTTCACGACCAAATACAGCGCACGCATTTTCGAATGCGTGACTTCACTTTAAATTTATGGCGTTGCCCACCGACACGGATAGGACGCTCGGGCACGTTTCTCGGGGCTCCCGACACACCAGAGCTTGTGCGTAGGTAAACAAAGGAAGTAGATGAATTGCACTGGGCCAATTATCCTGTTCTATCGTCTTGCTGTCTTAGGCGCTCCTCGCCAGACCCTGTGACGCCTCGGAATGCAGTGCGGTTGATGGGGCTGCGGATACGAAGACGGTATTACTGCCGCCGTCTTGCGTGTTTCCGCGGTTCTCCGTTGTCGACTTTTTCTATGTATTCTCGGAGAGTGTCCTAAATTCCCCCTAGTAAAGTGTTTGGCATTGATCGTCTGCGAGCGTCTTTGCCTTTCCGCCTGCTTTTCTTCTTGCCACGTGACAACGCAGCACATGTGCACTTGCAACCACTGGACATGGGAGGCGTCCGCCACTAAATTCAAACGCTCCCAATGGTTTGAGATAAACTTTCTCTACTATCTAGGCTCTCTACCCAGGGGTGTATGCTTGTGGCACCATCTCCCGGTATACTCAGTAAGCAGATGACCAACAACTTCCATCTAGTAATGGTGCAAATGACCGCGTGTGCTTGTGACAATTAAACTCAACAGACTTTGAAGCAACACTTCTAAAATCAGAGCGGCTCTCACTACAATGTTTTGTGATGTAATGAGATAACACTGACATGATCTATACAGCCCTAAGCGTTTTTTTTAGGATCGTGTGCTCCGTCCTTTGGCAACCCCATTGCAGCTATTGAATTAAAGTTAACTGATTCGTGGAACGTCGGTGGCCGTGTTTAGGTAGCGCCGTTCCGTGGCCAAATGGAACGGCGGCAGGATGGTCGAGACACGACGGCCAGCAAGCTCGAGAATACCCGATTCGCGACGGTGGCCGACCCGACCGAAGGACGGCAGAAGCGAACGGGGCGACACATCATCACTGCCGCGCTGGCACTCAACGACGGACATCGGCCCAGCTGTGCTCGACACGTCGCGCTCACCTTCGTAGCAGTTTTCTCGGCCACAGTAGAGTCCATCGATGAAGCCATGTGCGCCGGCAACGCAGGCAGCCACCAGCACGAGGATCGGCACGCCGCGTTCACTCACAAGCATCCCGCCCTCTGCTACAAGGCCGGCATCGACAGCTTCTCGGATACTCTCGGTTTTGTAACTACGACTACTACGACTAGGAACCTTCGAACTTTGCGACTTCTGCCACTTCTGCTTTTAATTAAAAAAAAAAAAAAAAATTTTTTTTCGTAAAGCGTTGCCAGAGTCTTATAAACAAACCTCTCGTTTTAGGGAATAAACATTAGTTTTATTTCAATCTTTAGGAAGTAACAACTTACTGGGCCATTAATAAAATAATTAATAATTTGATCAATTAAATTGGTGTTAAAAACATTCCAAAACTACCCCATGAATGATGATTCGATTTCAGTTCTTTTGTTTTCAGCTGGGTAAACTTTCTCCTGACAAAAAAACAAACAAACAAAAAAAAAAAAGAAACATAAAAGCGTATGCCACATGTTATTATTTCACACACACACACACACACACACACACACACGCAAAAAAAAGGCATTGGCTGGTTCGGCTGGTTGGACTGAAGTTGACTGAAGCCAGCTGAAGCTGCTAAAGCCACTGTGTGGCTAAAGCCGCAGCCGCAGCTGCGAGGCGCGGGAAACGCAGCTGCCCGAGGGCTGCAACATATGATCAACTGTGACTGCAACTTTCAAGCATTGTCTCTGCAGGATTTACTGGATCTACGTCCTCCGTTGTACCAGAGGCGCGCAAGTGTACACAAGAAGGTATGTACTGTACTGCGCTGTGGGGTCGTTCAAGGGCCTCTGTGAGCTAGCTCTGTTTGCCCCAGGGCTTGAAGTCTGGGGAGTCAGGGGGTCTGGGACCCCCCACTGATTTTAAAGGATGGTCTGAGACCCTCCTCCACAGTCCTAGCATTAGTGAAATAAAAATCACATCTTGCAATAAAATATATTTGTTTTCAGGGATGTAACATTTAATTGGGGATTAGCAATTTGAAGGTTGCAGGTGCATCGTGGGTAGAGTCAGCACAGTCACCACCCCACCCCACCCCACCCCCCACCTCAAACCTTCTTGTAGGGACCCCCCTCGACTTACGGGAGACTTTAAGCACTGGTCTGCCCACCTGGAAGAGTATCGTACCGGCATGCTGTTGCGTGCTGCATGTGACGTCATTCGCGGCCATGCATGCCAGTATTTTATGTACCCTGTAGTTTCCATGACCAACTCTATGGTTTCACGCCGCAGACGTTGCGGCGTTGTAGTTCGAAGAAAGCGATCGACCGAATCTGCCGAACCTGCAGGTTCGGCACATGCCAAACTTTTGAAGGAAGGTTCGGTAAAGATTCGGCAAATATCTGCGCACGTGCGAGAACACGATGGAGCCATGGATTGCTGGAGTAGGCAGCACGGTAAAGCGCGATCCAAACCAACGCTTCTTTTTGCGCCTGTAGGTCGTGCGGCTGCGGATGTGACGCATTTCGTGGCGTTTTTGCTGTTTCCGGGCGCGCTTTCTGAGTCAGAACCGTGCGCTTTGGTTTGGACGGGCGAAACTTCGGCACGAGCGCACAAGCAAAGTGCAACTGCGCCAGACGGCGAGAGAAAGAGAGAGAGAGAGATCGCGTTGTCATGTTGGAAGAGAATAAAAGGGGTGGGGGGGGGGAGGGGGGAGGAGAGGGCAGCCAGACGGCGAGAAACGCGGAGCTGGAACTAGCTTGCCCTCCACCGATTGGCCGGGACACAGGAGCGTCCTACTACGTCACCGCGCGTTTTTGTGCGCGTGGAGAAGAAGTTGAAATCAACCAACTTTCTTGTGCGCGTCCGGAAGGAGCGAAGAAGCGGCGCGACGTCACGAAAATACGTCACATCCGCAGCCGCACGACCTACAGGCGCAAAAAGAAGCGTTGGTTTGGATCGCGCTTAACTGTGCGTTTGTGAAGCTACCTGGATGGATGGATGGATGGATGAATACGGCTGAGCCCTTTGGATCGGGCGGTAGCTTACGCCACCTAGCCATTTTGCTCTTCGGTTTGGCGCCATCTAGCAACTGAAGCCAGAAATATTGGGTATGCTTGGGGGTGGCGGCTGCATTATTCAAACATGGGCTATTACTCTGGTGGCGCCACTTAGCCTAGTGTCTGGTGCAAGAAATACTGGGTAAGCTAAAAAGCCGTGATCGCATAACATGTCAGTACGGAGGAAGCTATGACCCTGGCGGGCCAATCGGAAAGTGACGTATCACCGGAGTGTGCTTTTACTGCGAAGAAGTATCAGGCTTTTTGCTGCGTCATGCTGCAATATTTCATTTCATTTCATTTATTTACCTCAAGGGCGTCTTTGAGGACGCATTACATGAGGGGGGTAGGTGGTACATGCATTTGTGTGCATTGCAGGGGGTAGGTGGTACATGCATATGTGTGCATTGCATTCGAATATGTAGCACATATCGAAGCCACCGGCACGCAATGTGGGACTTATATCGTTCACCCTTTGCCACAAGTTACAACGAAACAGAACATAACCGTGGGCTCTCACTCTGCTGGCGCCACCTGGTTATTGCTGGCTGGCTATAGGGTGTTTTCACCAACTTCATTTAGTCTATCATGTTGTTGTTATGAGCAGTCTTGCGCGTGCAGAAGGCAAGCACTCTGGAGGTTCACATCATACCCTCCAATTGGTAGTGCGCAAAAGCTTGTGAGTTTCATCACACTGACATCTAACAACGAAATGGCAGATTGAGGTCACATGGAAACACCTTATATTTTCTGCCTCTAGAACAGAAGATCGACCAGTAATTTATGCAGTCCACTGCGCAAGTGAAAAATGATGCGGTACATTCTAGATAATGTGATTTTCATTTGACATTTCCAGTGATGCAACGAGGTAGTTGAAACATTGACTGACAGTTACTTTCAAACACAGAGCCGTTTATACTGAGAGAGTTTGGCCGATGGGCGGAGCTTGTTGGCCGCTAGAACCAGCGGATTTCGCGATAACACAATATGGCGTTACTTCTTTGTCTTGTTCATTCCTGTGAAATCGCGTAGAATTCCTATGAGTCAGATCCACAATATGGCGGACGGAAGTAGTCATCCCCCGGTTGTCAGACTACGCTGCTGTGGTTGTCAGACTGCCAAAATCTCCTTAAGAAGGCCAAACTCTCTCAGTATAAACGGCTCTGTTCAAACACTCCTTGCAATTATAACAATCCTGTTTTCGGCTCACAAGTAGTTTGTGCTAAAACAAAATAATATTTCTTTCTAATTAGCATTATTTTGCTGTTTTCATGTATCTGCATAAAACAAAACACAAAACTATCATGCTCGACATTGCACATCCGACATTCCTAACTCTTCCAATCTTCCTAAACGTCCGTGTGTGTCCTAACATCAGAAACCGTCATTTTAAAGGTTAGAAACGAGACGTTGCGAATATGGGACACACTTTTATGCAAAGCCGACGTCAATTGACGTCGGCTCCAATCGAAAAACCTGCGTATTTACAATAATATTGTTATCTCTTCTGGTGAAGGCTCAGCAACCGTTGCATTCGTTTTCGCACACGAAACGGTGACTCTCAGGGAAATAATAATATAATAATAGTAATAATTTTATTTGCACATACTGAAGAGGACAGATGTTGTGATGTGCAGGGCTAAGGAGATAGGTGAAAACCCTTACGCAGAGTGCCTGCCAGCCCGCCACTACATGTGAAGAAACAAAACAGACACATATATGCACAGAATATACACACTACAGAAAGTACATAAAAAGGAAAGAAAAGAAGGGAGAAACAAGTATCGTATTGTGACGAGGATGCTAGCTGTATCCCATTCATCTTTGCCAGCTCTCGCGACTCTGGCCCGTTTGAAGGCAGCGGGCTGCGCACACTGAGCGGAAGTTTCAGAAATTCTTTTATAGCAGTGTTATTTATTGCCCTTTAAGCAAGTATTCAGTGTTATTGCCATTATTTTTGACAATGCACACACACTTGCAGGCTTGCGCTGATGAGGTATCAAGACCGAAACTTTTGTATCGTGATTTGTGACTGCGCACTGCGCTCGCTGTATACCCAACGTTGTCGTGATGCCACTTCTGCAAGAAGTCAATTATCGTGTAAAATATCACTTTACTTAGTTAAAAAGCTTCTGAAACAAAAAAAAAAAAATATATATTTTTTTAATCAGTCTAGTTGGGACCACATTTCTCTAAAAAATGTTTTTAGAGAAATATTGACGGCGCAAGGCACGATTTAGTTTGTAGTCACCTACTTTCCACTTGTTTTCTCTCGGCATTTCGGACGCGTGGAGGAGAGGTGGATCGGCTTGGCCATTACGTTACGGTGGAGAGGGTGTATGACCATCTCATTGAGGTGGAAAGAGGGTATGACCATTCCTCTACATCATGGACTTTGCACGCAGAATCTGATATTTATCCTGCGCTGTCAATATTTCTCTAAAAAAAATTTGTTCTCGCAGAAAAAAAAAAATTTCTTGACACGAATGTCCCAACCAAGCTGTTTAAAAAAAAACATTTTTTTATTTTTATTTTTAGGGGTTCTTCAAGTCTGGTAACAATGTATCTTTGCCGAAAAGTTTGGCGAAAGTTTGGCTTTGTCGAATCCCAAGATTCGGTGCCGAACTTTCGATTCTGCAAAAGTTTGGCACATCACTAATAAATGTTAATAAACATCAATAAATAGAGATGCCACAAAGTTTTTCAAACCTAAGGTTCGAAGGTCGAACCAGGGGGTTCGAAAGGTTCGAGAAGTTTCACTTTGGCAAACTTTCTGCGTTTATAAATTGTATTATTTCGAATTTCCGAACTTTTTTGTATTTGAAAATTCAATTAATTCAAACTTAATGCATTAAAAAATTTGCGATTAACAAACCTTCGAACTTACTGAATGACAAAATTTGACAATTTTCGAACTTTAGAACTTGTTTCTTGAAAAGTCCGAAAAGTATCATACTTTTGAACCTGCCATCTTGAAAGTTCAGCAAACTGCGAATCTCATCAGGATTCAAAATTTTGCGCCGAAGCTTTTATTCGAGCCACCACACGACTTCTTGCTTATTTTACCCATGGTTGGCGAGCCCCGACTGAAGTCGACTGCCCCGGCCCCGACTTCGTCGTTTGTAGCTTCACAACGCGAGGAAAGCGTGTGACGCAACCGCTGAGAGAAGCTCCGCCTTCAGCGCCAGCTCGCTGCCTTCTGCAGTGCTTTGGTTGCGCGTGCACACTCGTGTTAGCAAGGGCAGAAGATTCGATGCGGAGCGGTGAATGGAGTTGTCTGGGGCGCCCTTCTCCCGAATGAACGGCGCGCAAGCCACAAAGTGGACTCTCGAGCTTAGTCCGCTGTCTATCGCCGCTCCATTGGAGGAAAATGTGCAGGCCACAGTACAGACCGTTCGAATCAGCGTTTTTAGAATCTAAAAACATTGGCTGGAGTTTAGAACCAAATTTCATAACCAGTGTTTGGGTTTGTGCATTTAGTTTGACCGTACGCTGTCCAGTGTACATACAAAACCTTGATTATGTTTCAAGCAGTAGCCTAAAGATAAACAAGTCTGGAAGCTTCCGGAACACTTATTGAACCGCATTTTTGGGGGCCTCGAGTTTAGTCGTTGAGTGCTGCTTGCGCTCTCGCTGTGTCGGGTGCCGTGTTGATTCTATTCCTGCCTGCAGCCCTTTCTAACTTTACGAATTCGAATCCAAGCAGTTTTGAAAGTTCCGAACTTTGCGAAATCGAACCCCATTGATGTTTGCTAAGTTCGAAAACCGTCGAATTCAAACTTTGGGTTCGTGACATCCCTAACAATAAACTAGCACTGAAAAATAATGTTTTTGACATACATTAATAGTTACAGGATTGAAACATCATCAGAATAATTTTATCAAGTGATAAAATCACATTTACTTGCGGGTTACTGTACTATACACAATACTGGAAACAAATTATCAGAATAAAACAATTGGGCACACTCAATTATCAAAGTGTGGTCCACGCATCATAGTACAGCCATACCCCGTTAATATGGATACCCTGCGATATGGACATTATTTTTGAAGACAAGCTGGGGAAATGCAGGCATTTTTGTCTCGTTTTATCGACAACTCACATTATGGACGATTTTTGGAGGGAATGGAGTTGTCCATTTTAACAAGACAGTGAGAGCATCACTGAGTAGATGCACGTTGAGGTTCTGGTCATCTCCCTGGCAGGATGAATGTGGAGATCAAGGCACGCCTCTCGGACCGGGACGCCCTGCTGCGCCGTCTGGAGCCCATGGCCGAGAAGCACACGGTGCTGCGCCAAAAGGACACCTTCTTTCGGGTGGCCCATGGGAGGCTCAAGCTGCGCCGGAGCACAGTGTGCGGGGATGGCACTCTGGGGTCAAGCTCTCTTTTCCCCTCGAACTACCGCGTCTCCAACTGGTGTGTTCACATGTCCAAAAAAGCGGTCCTTCGATTTCCGCCGGACAACGTCATAAAAGCCAGGATCGCAGCTGTTTATGGCTGTGATCCTGGCAATGGCACGGCAGCATGAGACGCCTGTCCTGTTGAAGGTTGCTGTTCAGCCGAACAGCTCCACGGAGGCCTCTGCAGCCAGCAGCTGAGATGCCACGATGACACCATCTTGCCGGAACTTGTACGACCAACCACCAGCGGGGCGACATTCAAGAGTATGACGGCTTTCGTGACGCCATTTGTTGCCACTAGGGGACCACCTTGAGTGCAGGACGCTAAACACACCAGTGGAGACGGATCCCATTTTCGGTGCGGACGGGTCCTCACCGACTCGGGGAGTGCCCTGCCTGCTTTCTGCCGCACGTAAAATTTCGCCCTCCTTCCGTGGGAACGGGACTAGCCGGGTGTGCCGCGTCCGACATCGTCTGCCTCGCTCACTGACAGCCGATCGAGTCTTCCCTCGACGCCGTTCGACTCGTCGACGCTTTCTTTCGTTGAGCAGAGAACAAACACGGTTGGGATTCGACTGGGGCAGGCGTCGAGACTAGTTCATTTATTTATTTACCCCCCAGGCCAGAAGCATCTATGTCAGTACGTTAACTCAGTGATGTATCATACAGGTGCGCTCCTCGATACCCACACTGCCTCGGACTCGAATCTCGCTTGTTGTTTTAGGTCCCGCGGGAAGAAGGCTCAAAACGACGGGCGCTCGCGCACAATCGAAGGGGTTGGACCCCCACACCCCGGCATCTGGAGGGCACGGGCTGTTACATCCGACCTGCTTCGGACCGGCGACGTAAAGGTTCATATACAGTATTTACGTCAGGTAGTGTTCACCGGAGCCGCCATCTCCCCTTCCTCGTCTTCCGTTAGTAGCCCAAGTGCATACGCTCGAGTCGTTGGCACTTCTCTGCCCCTTTAATATCCTCTCTCCCGGCAGGAGGAGTCGTGCAGCCTGTTTTTTTATGACCGGCCAGATGCCCGGGGGCCCAAGCTGAGCCGCTACCAGAGGCTGCCACTGGACGGGGAGCCGGCTGCCCTCACCCTCCAGGTGAGTCCGTCAGGTCTGCTCCATGCTCGACTAAAACTGGCACCTCTTACGGGTACCGCCTACCATCATTCTGCAAGTGTGCGAAGCACGTGTCACGAGCAGGTGCGCTCCGCCGCCATCCGCATCCCAGGGCTTCTCATTTCGGCGTGTCGCCACGATTTGCTCCCGAGGTGCAGCTCTCCCGCGGAAAGCGAAAAACGATTTGGTTGGGCCGGATTCAAAGTTGTAGCTTCGTTCTTAACTAGGATGTTGGCAGTTTCCTGTGCTCTAGATTCAAAATCTCCCTTTTACTATCACAATATTGTCGGAGACCTTGATGCGCCAATAATGTGAGGGGCAGCAAACATATTGCGCAAATCTCGACGTGAAATATATAGTGGCCAGAGTTTAGTGATCCTCGTTGCAAATCTGGATTTCAGTGCTGAAGTCAATAAAGAGAGTCTAGTGTTGGGCGTATTTTTAGCTTGAGAACGGGTGGAATCCCCCTCTGCTTAGAAGTCAAGGAGAAGAAACAAGAGACACTTCAACAGAAAAAGCTTTGGAAGGGCACTCGTAAACCGAAAGAATCGTCGTACGACGACCACTAATATTTACAACTCGCCATTGAACGAAGACTTGGGTCGTGATTACTTAACTAATTTTTCGGGTTCGGCGTAATGTGACTGTCCCCACTCTTGCGCCGTAAAACCCGCGACTACAGATGACTAATCGCTTGTTTTCCTACCCGACGGCCGAAATCCCGCCCCAGCCTAGATTGAGCGGAACTTTCTGCTCCGGTGTAGGGGCGACGTAGTGGCCGCAGGAAGCCGACGGGCACCTTCCCTCGCAGGACATGTTGGACCGAAGCCTGGGCACCCTGGGCACGGTGTGTAAGGAGCGCCACCTATTCCTGGTGGGGTGCACCAGAGTGCACGTGGATGCCGTGCAGGGACTGGGCGACTTCCTGGAGCTCGAGGTGGGCCGTCTGTGTCTTGAACGCGCCTCCGACCGGTGCTGTCAGCATCCCGGCCAAACATCAGAAGTGGTCCCAAATTGTCAACAAAAACGCCACAGAACTCGTGCCGTCAGATACACTGGCGGTCGGCGCCACGAGTTTCCGTAAAAAGTAGCGTGAGCTAATGTGCGTGACGCCGTCATCGTGGCGTCCCAACTCTGAGCTGTCAAAGCTACCGCCGACTACGACACCGGAGAGTGACTTGCAGCAGAATAGGCGTGTGTACCACCACTGCTGCGGCCGGTGACGACGCGCGCGACGTCGTCGGGCGGAACTTGATGGACCACTTTTGGGGACGCGGGCACCGTAGGGTCCTGCCCCTGGAGGGTCACGGCCTCTCCCTCCTTACAGGTGGTGCTCCGGGAGGGCCAGGACCCCGAGGAGGGCCGGGCCACGGCGGAGGCACTCATGGCTGTCCTGGGCGTGCAGCCGGACAGCCTGGAGTCTGGCTCTTACCTTGACCTGCTGGCCCTGCATTGAAGTCTAGAGCGTGCCAGTCCCTCGGTGGCCGAGACCCAAGGTCTCCGCTACGCGAGGGGGAAAGTGAGCGCCATGCCCGACCGAACGCGGGTCAGCACATGCTGGAACCTCTTTTAGCGCTGGCGCACGCCCGTCGGGCCGGTGGTTGTAGGTTCGTTGAGCCGCGATCCTGGCGGTGTCTGACCTAACCTAATTCTAACCAACGCAATGCAGCGTCCATATTGTAGTCGTTGACGTCATTGACCATACTCGAGACCGCGTAAAAAAGTTTGAAAAACTTTATTGAGTTAGGCTGCATCGCAGTCTGTATTTCTCGTCGTTTAGGTGCTCGTCACAAAGGTTGGCTAGGTGAATTGATGCGAAACGTGTGACAATTGAAGGCTGTGTCAGGGAAAGGTCTCGTTGTTGCTGGGCACAATCACTGGAGTCTACGTCATAGTCAGTTGCCTCGATCACGGCCACATTGTCCACATCGCCACCGAAAATCTCTTTAATTGTTTCATAAGTTGCCGATTCATAGTTTTGCTCCAGGGCTTTTGCCTACGGCATCTTGCAAGGGAAAATTTGAGTAGCAAGTTGTGTATAGAGCCTCGATTTAAGTAAAAACTGCACATAAGCGATTCGGCAAGCAACAAGACGCACGGCGGCAACTGGCTGTCGTTCACTCAATCGCTTAACGGGCCAACCGCATGAAAGCGACGGGAGCAAGCGACCGAGGCAATGAGCAACGTTTTCTAGAAATCCAAAAACCGAGCGACAGTAAGAAATTTCCATCGTTTGTCTCTGACTCTCTTCGCTTGTTGCCGTCACTTATTGCTTGCTAAATCGCTTACATGTGATCGTCAAAGAAACTTTTTGCCTGCACTCAGAGTGGATATAATTATTATTAAATATTTTTTCTTGGGAATGCGTCGCTCTAGCAAGTTGTACATGTCCTGAAGAAAGACTTTGTCTCCACACTGATTTTCGAGTAAATGCATCATCGTTTCAAACGGGCTAGCTACATCCAATAGTATGTGCTAATAAACGTGTTAAGTCCACGCTCCTTTACTCCTGCTACGACGCTCCAAGTTTCATACTCCGAGCGCAGCAACTAAACAGAGGTTAGCATACAGGAGCGTTGCACGCCATAACAACGAGTCGCACGCCATTTTGGGCCGTAGGGTTATGATGCAGGCACAGAGCGTCATGGAAACGGGCATCAGAAGCTCGAAATATTCCGAAAATAAATTAAAGTAGCCCATACCTGCATGCAATGGCGAGCACTCTCCTGCTCCATCAGTGGTTTGGGACTATGGTGTAGGGACTGGACGCACCGTCAAGCGAGTCCAGTCTCGGCACAGGAAAAGAGAAAAAGACGCGCGCGCTAGCTATACGCTCACGCGCTCACGAAGAGCAGTTCCTGACGAGACACGACTGAAATAGAACGTTGTTTTGGAACTGCTCTTCGTGAGCGTATAGCTAGCGCGCGTCTTTTTCTCTTTTCCTGTGCCGAGACTGGACTCGCTTGACGGTGCGTCCAGTCCCTACAATGGTATCTTTATGCATGCTTTGCTTGGAGTGATGACATTAAACTATGCTGAAGCAGAAACTAAGACAGAAAAACGTTGACGTGCTATGAAGTATTGAATGTTTTAATCATTTTGATACTCCTAAAAGAGTTACACTCGATCGCCCAAAGCACAGAGACAGTAAGTTGCCGCAACCGGTCAATCTATTGTCCTTGCAGCCTACTCTGGTTTATAAAACAGACAATTTTTGGACTGGCTTGTCAAATGGGGAAACTGTCAAATTTCTCGGGTTTGTTCAAGTGGGTTCCGCCGTGCAGCGCGGGAGCAAGACCCGTTGATGTCCCATATGGCACTCCACCGTTCATTAGATTGTCTGCATGGAGAAAAGCAATGTAAAAAGAGTAGTTAGGGAGACTCTGCAGACAAAATCTCTACGCATTTGTATAAGTCATGCTTCACTACAGTTCAGAAGCAATTAAACATTTAAAAAAAATGTAACGTGTTTTTGTTTTGTTTGTTTTGCAGTTTTGTTGTGACCCTCTTTTATTTTTCCAAATTCTTTTGCAGTTTTTTTTTTTTTTTTTTTTTCTATTTTTGTGTGGTCTCAAAGCCTGTTTCAAGGTTTGGGGGTGAGCTGTTTATTTGGGATTGTCAGTGATTCATGGGTCTCTTCACAAGGAGTGGAAACGAGCCTAAAATTTTTCAATCAACTGAGGATGAGCAAGGAGCGATATATACTGGTTTTCTGTTTCGTTTAGCAGCGACGCACTCATAAATTTAAGTGATAAGATTAAAAACTAATGGAGGTTCATGATGCAGACCCAATGCCAAGGAGCTGAGCTTCTGTTTTCTAACCTCAGTTGCAATGCTTTCCTTCAGTTGCAAGACACTGTCGCCAGTCTTTACTTATTCTCGTGTAATCGAATTCGAAATGATTTTCAATTTTGCTTGGAAGCATTTAACTCAAGGAGAAGACACGAGTGTTTAGGGCCACAGTGTTGAAGTACCGTTATTTGAAAGGAGATACAGAATTATACTCTCCAGGGGATTCCCCGGATTCCCTATGAATTGAAATTAGGGGGGGGGGGGGGGGCAGTGGGGCATTGAGAATAGAGGAGTCGTTGCGAATTAAGGGGGTGTCTTCAGAAAAACAAGGGGGGGTGGGAATGTAAACCCCCCTAGGGGTGTGTGTAGGGAAATCACTGATACTCTCGCTTTTTTCATATGACCGTGTCGGGCATTAAAGGTCAGTCAAGCAATTAATTAAACTTTTTCAGAGTGCAGCTCTTAAGCACCCGTTTCCGGGTTGAGCGGCGTCAGCATCGCCATAACTGCGTGTATGGGACGTTTCCCATAATGACGTCACACGTGACAATGAAGTCACACGTGACGTCACGTGTGACATCACGAAATTATAATTTTAGTGGAAAACTTTTTCGAGAAATTTAACGGGAAAATTTTGGCTCAATTTCCTGCTAAATGTAGCGGGGACATTTTTGGTTAATTTAGCAAACATTTCCTTTTAAATGGGAGGGGAGCAGGAGAGGAGGAAGGGAGGGTACAGTGGGGGAGGAGGGGCATAACCTCCCCTCCTTCTCCTCAAGAGCTGCGCTCTAAGTCGGCATTACAGAGAATTGTAAACGTCTCATTTTTGCTTGGCTCCACACCTGTAAAATGGACAGCGCAAGGCTTGTGAGTACACACCAAGAAGCTCGAAAAGGATGACGAACCTACAGAGGTTTCATGGAAATTTAGTGAAGTGTTTCTGCAAGGTCGCATACACAGTGGTTGAATATCATCACCTTCGTTGCACGTAACCATAACTTTTACAGCGGAGCTGTTAAGGGCTAGTTTCCCCGGGATCGTGTCCCCCGCAAAGAAATGTCGATACAAAACTCTGGACAGCTACCGCCAACCAGGCAATCTGCTTGCCGGCCTTGCTCATAGATGGCGACAGCCTTTCCAGCCTTTCCACTCTGGTGAAAACCAGAGTGGAAAGGCTGAATTTCTCTAGGCATTGTCCTAGAAGTCATCCTTGAGGTCGTCCGAGAGGTTGTCCTTAAGGTTGTCCTTGATATCGCCCGAGAGGTTGTCCTGGAGGTCGTCCTAGACGTCATCCTCGAGGTCGAGGTCGTCTTTGACGTTGTCTTTGAAATCGTCCTTGTCGTCCTAGGCGTCAACCCTGAGGTCGTCCTAGGCGTCGTCCTTGAGGTCGTCTAGATTTCGTCCTCTCGGCGTCATCCTCGAGGTCGTCTTAGAAGTCGCCCTTGAGGTCGTCTGACCATAGTAGAGCTTCGCTGGTTTTCCTTCTTCACCAGAGTGGAAAGGCTGAAAGTTTTTATTCTGTTTTCGTTTTCTTGTGGTTCATTTCTTTTATTGTGATGTGTTTAAAACTGAGGAATTTCTTCTGGATTTTCTACCGCCCGCTCAGTAAAAGTGAACGCAAAAGTGCAAGCATTGCATGACGAAAACAATCCCTGGAGAAGGACCAAGAGGGAAAATGGACAAAAATCTCCGAACACAGCTAGGAGTTTCGAGCTGTTCCTCTTGTTTGGGTGTGTCCCTTTGTCCCTCCTGTTCCCCTCCTCCATGGAATTTTTTCGCAATTTTTGTCCAGCTTGCTTGCACCTTTGCATTTAATTGCATTATAATTAAAAGCATTGCATATTTTTTGCGTATGTGTGACTCGTGTTGCTTGGCTTAATTTCTGCTGCTTCGTTGCTGGTCTCGCGTTTCAATGCTGGCTTGTGTGCGTTTCAACGCATATTAACCAGCATTGAAATGCGAAAACTAGCAGCAAGGCCAAGGCGGCAGAAGCGGCAGAAGCCCAGCAAAATAACGCGCAAACCCGGAAAAAAAAAAAAAAAAAAAAAAACTAGTTTTAATTTGTAGGCTAGGTGGCGCAAGCTACCGCCCATCTATCCAAGCACAATGGCATGTTTCGGTTTTGGTTTCGTTACACCGCCATGTTGATTTTCATACAACCTCGGGGGCCTCCAGTACCAGGGGATTCACAGTGGCAGACGTCTGTGGAGTTGTCCGAGTTGTCAATCTGCATCCAAGAGCAACAGAAAACAATAACTGTCTGTCTTAAAAAAAAAAAAAAAATGCAACACAGTAAATACTTATAGGCTAGGTGGTGCTAGCTACCACCCGATATGAAGAGTACAGCTCATGTTTATCTACCCGTTTATCCAGCATCAAAAAGAAACAATTTACTACCACAGGGAGCAAGGCAGGGAACCAGCGAGGTGCGTTAACGACGCTTTCAGAATGTCACATTCGAACCAATTCCTACCCTTCGTTGAAATCTCGCGTCCACCACAGGTACATTATTTTCGTCAGTTAGAGGAAATGTAACCTCTGTCTCGGCGTTATTGTTGAAGATCGCAGACATCTGAGCAAGAGCTCCAAGAAATGGCAGCGCAAGCAGAGCAAGTGTCGTCTGCTCTCGAAGTCACCTTCTGCACGGGTCTACGTTATTAATTTGTACGGGCGTTGAACTAACTCCGGAGCCGGTGCAAGGTTTCGAGGAACTGGGCCTGAACGCATTCAAAATCGGGATGAATCGAACGCGCCAGTGCAGCGGTCTTTGCGCAATCGGCTTCGGCCTGTTCAGTCGCGAACCGGCCGAGGTTAGAGTTCGACCAGGTACTGCTTTTTCGACCCTCTTGTGAAAAGTTCGACAAAGGTTCGACTGCTATGCGCATGCACGACAGGCTGGCAAGTTGGCTTCGGACTGGATAGTGATGGCTAAGTGATGAATTAAGGGCAGCGCAGCACTGATTGGTTATTTTAATTAATATAGCACAAAAAAAAAAAAAAAATTAGGTTCACTTGTTTGGTGATTAGAATTAGTTTATTTCAATTGCAGCTGCTCATAAAATTAAATTTTATGAGCAGTTGCAATTGCATAATTGCAACCCTTTGCATAAACGAAAAATATTTCCAAACCTAGACATGCTTTTATCAGGATCTGTCCGCAAAGTCGATTCTGGCGAAAAGTTCGAAGGTTCGTCGAACCCCCCCTGAAAGTTCTACCTAAAAATCCGGTTCGACAAAAGTTTGTAACATCCCTCGTCGAAACGCTCGGCGAGGCGCGTTCCAGACACCATAACTCGGCTGCCCAGCAGAAAAAATGACTCGCGAGCTGAGCCAGTTCTGTAGCTCTCCGCATGCGGTGCTTATAACCAAAACGTAAAGACGGAAAGTTTGGAAACGCATCAAAAGTATGCTGTGTTGCCATGCTATCAAGTGCGAGCCCGCAGCATGAAGCTTGCATTTTAATTTTTCTCATAATCGGAATAGAGACAGAGAAGTCAATCTCCTGATTTGTAACTTTTATTCGCTGCTCCGGTCTTTGCTTGTGCTTTTTCGCTGTACGATACCTCAGAATGCAAGATTTAACTCAAATTTATATTTGCCCGTCTGGGTCGGCGGGACAGGTATAAAAACATTTTTGTCGTCATGCATGAGAACAGCTTTCTGAACTTTACTTACATACACGGACATTTGTTCTACACCTTTCACACTTTGAAAAGCTTTGAAAATATGAACCTTTAAATTTCAATCAACTTCTTTCCAGGTCTGTGTGTTGTGGCGAGAGGTGGTGCAGCAGCCAGAGGCTGTTGCACCGCCTCTCGCCGCAAAAGCTTGAAGAGCACGAAAAATCTGAGAAGCCATGCCACAATTATATATATATATTTTTTTTACTTGAAGGACATGTGCCTGGAGATCCTGCGGCCGGTTGGAGCCGGCGTCGTGCTTCTTGTCGGAGAAGGAGATTTCTCGTTTTCGGCGTCGCTGGCCGAAGTGCTTGGGGGCAAGAAGATTGTGGCAACGTGCTTCGAAGAAAACAACCCGGATGTGGAGAACCGACAGACGAACATGGCCACGATTCGCCGCCTGGGTACAAGGCCCACAACGCAGGGTCCAGCGAGAGCATTAAATTCTTCCCCCACTTTTTATTGTAGGGGGTTGCGTGTACACGGACGTGGACGCTCGGCGCCTCGACCAGCACCCAGACCTTGGGCGTTGTGCGATCGAGTGCATCGTCTTCAACTTTCCCCACACGGGCGGCAAGATGAAGATCGGGGAGAACCGGAGGCTTCTCAGGGATTTCTTTGTCAGGTCTGCAGCAATACGATGACCAAACATGTTTAATCGGGCGGCGGATCGCGCCACTTAGTGAATGCTTTTAATGTCAACAGCCAAATAACACAGCCTCAGAAGCTCTTGGTGCAAAATGCCCTCCTCCGGCCTTTTCAAACGCTCGTCTGCCCAGCAAAAGGGGAATATAGCTCAGCTTCTCCAGAGCTGTGCAAGACGGTGCTGATACAGAGCTATTTATGATGCCGATACCAGCATCGTGGACGACGATGACAGGAAGCTATAGGGAGTATATGCCGAGAAACTGGCAGAGGAGGAGACGAGAGCACGTAGGGAAGTCAGAATGCCCTACTGTCCCTACTCACTCTAAAGCGTAACGCTGGACATTGGCATTTGGCAGTCAAATGCTTTCCAAGTGTGAGTAAAGACAAACTCGGCTAGCTTAGAGTCCACCCACTAACCGTTCCAACCAGAGATCGGCGTTCTGCTGTCCCGAGCGCTCTCGCCCCTCCTTCAGTTTCTGGTCAGATTCACTGGATGCCAAATTTAAGTGCACTGTTCAGAGTGGATGCTCAGAATGAACTCGCATTAATAGGTTGCCAAGACCGGTGATCTTGACATTGTAAAATGCACGTTCCAAAAAAAAAAAAAAAAAAGTGAAAGCTTGTTGTGGGCATGCCCTCAGCAGTTGTGCACACTGCTATGGCCACCAGTGAATGCTGCCCATACCAAATGATTGCGACTCCTGCAGCCCGCTGCCTTTATTGAAGTGTGCGACCGCACCACCAGACTGCTAGGGCGGTACCATTTGAAACAACTATAGTTCGGGCATGCGGGCGTTTTTTTATCTGGGCAGCTAGCCAAGTAAGCTCTGATGGCGATTTCCGGCCTTGTACCAGTGCCACTGCGTCGCATAAATGGCCGTGAGCCATTTTTCTCCCTACGTTGGTCTTTCCCGACAAATGTAATGGCCAGGGGAGAGCTTTCGCATTAAGTACATTATATACAAGAGCCGAACTACCCAGAACACAATTTGCAGCTCAAAATTTATTTTCTTTCCGCCCAAAAACCGTTGATCGAGAACTGGCCGGCTTGAATCATGCTCACCGTCTTCTCCGTGGTCACATGCCGTTTTCTGTGATTTAGACACAACCACCAAGGATAATCCAAGTCGTGGATTATCTTTGGTGGTTGTGCGACGCTGTAGCAAAATATTGATTGAGATTGATTACAGCGCAACACATATAGCCTTGTCGCCCTCTTTTATCCATGCTGTATGGACGAGGGAAGCAAAAGGTGGACAAATCTACCTTTTGCCTCCCAGACAGCAAGGAAGTAATTATTTCTAATCTGGCTACCCATTGCAGGCAGCAGGTGACAGAAATAAAATCGTCCGATCCATACGTGCAGGGAAACTAGAAAGAGAGCACAACCCACGTTGTGCCCGCTTTCTACGGCACTTGGCCTGTAGCTGTCGGACGTCTTCCCCCTCGTTGAGGAACGGAGTTGATGGCGTCACTATGATGTCTGGAATGTGTCTCCGGCTGGTGTGTTCTATTCTGCTCGGTTATCAAAAGTTGTCCCCAAGTGGCAGCAAATGACAACACAAAAGCCGTAGTGTCGCGCTGTCGGAGGTTATAATCCTGGCAGTTGATCGCAGAATTTCCCACAAAAAGCTCGAGCACACGCGAGAATGATCGCAGCACCCAACTCCCGAGTGCTCAAACTTGCGTGGATTGTCGGGCTGGACAGCGACCTGCAGCAGAACAGGCGCTCCACATCCATCACAACTGCTTGACACTTTTGCGACGTCTTGAAGCGGAAATCGGGGAACCACTTTCTAGTGGTCCCCCTGACAGCAGTCGGAGACATGTTCCAGGCACCACGGTGTCCTCGGGGGCTCTCAGGGGGCCATGCGGGCAGTGCAGGGCGGCTGCTGGGCACGGGGGGCCGGGTGCTGGTGACGCTGTGCCGGGGCCAGGGCGGCACGCCGGCTGAGGACCCACCCAGGCGCTTTGACGACACCTGGCAGGTGGTGCACATGGCCGCCCACGGGGGCCTGCTGCTCCGCAGGGTGGAGCCCTTCCGGACAACCGACTTCCCGGCGTACTCGCCGGTCGGCTACAGGTACGTGGTTGAAACCGTGCAACGTCGTTCCTTCGCGCGCGTGCATCCAGGCAGAGTTGTATATTGAGAGTTTGGTTAATGGGAAGAGCTGGTGGGAGCAGGGGTGGAGCGGCGAAAGTGTCATCGCCGCTGCCAGTGCCACATATTCCCCCCATGATAATACTGCGAAGTAAAATGAAGCCAAGATGACCTCAAAGGCGCCGCGCACTGCGGTGCAGGTATTTTTTGTTTCTGGATGAGGCTGAAAGTACATGGACGTATAATTGTGAGAGATGCGAGGAAATAGGGAGTATCAAGGTGCTGAATGTGTTTACTGAACCAGAAAATGTTCGGGGTTAGGGTCAAGATTCCCACGAAGTCGTGGCAACGGTTTTAAGCGTCCACTCTGTTGTTGCCGCGGCTGTGACTGCAATCAAGAGAGGTAAAGTGCATTCTCATTGCCGCTATGACGTCAACGCGAGTGGCATTCGGCGTCGCACGCCTCTGTACGCTTCCTCGCAGTTAGCAATAACTTTGCCGGTGTGCGACGTGTCATTGCAGGGGTGGCAAGAAGGCCTTCTGCACCGAGGGAGCGCTCGTGCACGTGTTTGAGGTGCGGAGCGTGCCCACCCTGGCGAGCGCAGATTCCCCAGGCATCCTGGAAAGGAGCTTCCTGGCCGAAGAACTAGGGTAGGAGACGCTCGCCCGCTGGCTGCGACGGGTGAAGGAGCCCCGGAGGTACTGTGGTGCGTCACGGTCCACGTATCCCCAGCATCGCGGATGTGAAATGGGGTGGTTCGACGGAGGGTACGCTTTTGTGCCCCTTTCCAGTGAACGAAGCCCGGCACCCCGCTCAGTTCGTGATAGTCTCGTCGAGCTGAACCGGACGTTTTGCTCGGTGTTGCGTTTAGCCGAGAGGTCGGGGCCGTCGGCAATGGACGTTTTAAATGCGTTGGCATTTATTGCTCAAGTGCATGAAGTTGTCTCATTTGGATGTTTGTGGGTTGTACTGGATTGGTTCTGTGAGAACACGGTGCGGTTCTTTCCCTTCCCTCTGTTCGTTCGCTCGTTACGTCCACTTTTTCTGACTCTTGGAGAGATACACAACGCATGCGCCAATGTGCATCTCCCAAATCACTTAGAAGCGCGAACGCGTAGGCTTGGTCGTCCATGGTCTGCTAGCTCACGGTTAGTTTGAAACTGCGCAACTACACAACTACACTGCGCAACTACACATATCCAAGTGGCGACACAATGACCAAAGGTTCAAGGAGCTTCATGCTTGTCATACTTCATTGTAATGGCGCATTCACACTGGAAGCGGATACGCAACCACGAAGTGGATGCGCGCATTCTCAACCGCAAACAGCTGGGATCGAGCGGTTGGGGCGCATTTTTGCTAACCGGTTTGGGACAGATTTTTTCCAACCGCTTTCGTGAACCGGCACACAATCGCAATGCGACGCCGACGTGACGCCGATGGCTTTTTGAAACAAGATGTGAAGGACCCTCAGTCCGTCTGCGGTCTACTTGCGTGGATGGGCAGGTTTCGCTACTGCCGAGGTTGCCTCACTAGTGAGAGTTGCCTCACCAGTGAGGCAACTCTCACTGGCAAGGAGCCCAAGTATTGTAGTCCTAGCATTGCAGCAGACGAATCAATGAAGAAACGTGATGTTCACATCCGTTGCTTGATTCTGCAGTGAAAATAATTGACTCTTAATCTTAACAAACTTTGCTGCAGTGGTTTGGCCCGGGTAAGCTAGCTTGTTTATTACTCGAGGTGCCGAAGCGCGTCGCTGCGCTGCCTTGACTTGTTAGTCTTTGTCCGCAGAACATCAAACCTGCCCCCGACCGACTAAATTGACAACTTTTGTACCTACCAAGGACAGTTGCGTGAACTACTGAAAGCTTTCGAAGCCACGAATGACCACTAGGAGGGCCAATAGAGGCATTGTGAGACTAATTGCGTAGCCCACATGCTACCGCAAATCTGGCAGTATACGTGCACTAGCTCGACCTGTGACGTTTACTACTACCAAAAGGAATAAGTGGACGTACCAGACGATGCATAGGTAATCAAAACGGCGTTTATTTGAGCGTAATGTCTAGCAAACACCAGACTGGATCGACGGGCGAGTGACGAAAGGAGAGTCCGCCACCAACAAAGCCACGACTGGCTGGCACCATACACATTGCCCACACCACGGTCCACCAATGCTGCTCACTAGTACTCCAAAAATTTATAAGAGTGAACGAGAGGTGTATCCCAAAAACAAGGTCGGCCATTCGAGCGGGAAGGGTCAACTTTGAAGAAAAGGACGCTGAGTCAGCAAGGCACACCTAACTGGGCTTTGCTGTGTGCAACGTCGAGGGAATTGAAGGCAGGTTTTGCGGGTCCATGTCTCTTTTTTCGCTGCCTGAACTCGTGATTCGTGCAAACAGCCCGAAGAAAAACCTTCAGTAGCAAAGTAGCTATGTTAGCTTTGGATCGTGGATTTAACTGTATTTTAGATTGTGAAACAAGGTTGGCCAAATGCAAGTTTCTAAAGATCACGTGCGATCATTGAGAAACCGCCAATTGCGTCTCAGTATGTCTGAATAGGGTCACTCACGAACTGCATCCGCAACCGCTTCGCGGACGTAGCTCAAAAGCCAGTGTGAATGTGCCATAAGATCTACATTTTTGCCAACATGGAGCAAGCAGTGTGGGGATCGTAAACGGCGTAGTGGCTGCATCCGAAAACGCCGACGCCCGGGAGAATGGACCGACTCTCCTAAGACGACAGTTTGTGGACTGTTGCGAGGTTAAGATTCCCCTCCCTGGCCAATTCGTAACCCCTGCGCTAAATGCTAACGCATTTCATCGAGAATCAGCGTAGCGACAGCAACAATTTCGGCACTATTTTTTCCGAGTAACGATCCATTCCGCAGATGCGCCGTGACGGGTCTGCTTTAGGCCTTGCGAGTTGGAGAGCTTTGCTCCCGGCCACCTTCTCTCTGGTTCTACGCTCGCGAGGCTCGGACGGCGCGCGTTCCAGCAGCCTCGTGCCAGACCGACGGGCGCTTCCCTCCGTCCAGGTCGCGCCTCCACCTGGAGGGCCACCCCCTGCGGCTGGCACTGGACGCGCTAGAGGCCGCCCTGGGCCGCCACCTGGGACACCCGCCGCTACCCCGAGAGGCTGGCCATCGTTCCGTTGGACCGCTCGCGACCTGCACGCTAACACTCCGGCCGAGCCCCGCGTTGTCGCCCCTCCAACCCCCCGAGGAGCACCTCCTGGTGATCTGCGCCGTGGGAATGTCTGCACGAGACGCCGTCGTTGCCGCACTGTCCGAGGCGTCTCCGCCCGAGGCCTCCTGGCACTGGGCCGACAAGGCGTACGGTCGGCTCGTGTGCGGATCGCTGTGCGTGGCCACGTTGCGCTGCGGGGACGCAGTCTCGGGCAAGTTACATTCAAAACGTGACTCGTTACGGTTAGTTACTTTCAAATAGGAGTAGTCAAGTTAGCGTTACAGTTACCACAACAAAAAAATTTGTTAAGGCCCATTCACGCGGCGGTGTTTGCTTAAGTTTTCTTGCATTACAAGTCATCGAAACATTTGTGCCTCGAATGTTACGTGCGAGGCTACTTTTTGAACTGGTTGCCACGCTTAAAGGGGCCCTGGAAGGACTTTTTTACTGGTTTTTAATTTCCACCGAACCTGAGCGCACTGAACGTAGTAACTTAGTGAAACTTTTCTTTTCTTGAAATTAGCTTTATTTTAAAAGTTATAGGCAAATTAAAACCGCAAAAAAGGTAGACGCTAAAATATGATTGCAGGGCCCCTTTAATACAAAGCACAAATGTTTCTGTGACTCTCAACGTAAGCACACATAAGCTACCGTAACATAACACGACGTAAACAAACATTGCTGTGTGAACCGGCTTTACAGTTCTAAAAAATAACGGCATTGCTTTTAAGTTACTTAGACCACAAATAAAGAAAAAATCGCCCCTCCCCCTTTCCTCCCCTAAGGTTATTGCACGAAGCGTGAGTAAAGTTGGTGTTAGTATGAGGCGATCGCGACACTCAAATTGTCGGAACACACAATTCGAAGAGTGCAAGGAATGGCTCAAATGTACTCTTTCCTCGATACCTTAAAAAGGCACTGACCGGTAAAAATAATTTTGCAGCGCCCCTGGCGAGCTCGGAGTCTCCGCTGGCAGACAAACAACTCCAAAATGCATTGGTTTTGCCTGTCTGTGCGAGGTGACCAAAGAAAAAAAATTGTCACGGACATTCGCTGCTTTGGGCCCGCAACCAAACGCTCTTCTTCGTGCCTACCGCCTACCGCTGTGAACAGACGACTCTTCACCTTCGAGTTTGAAATTCTTTCAGGGCCCTTTCAGCGATCTCAAATTCTTTTAAACGTTGCGAGCTCAAAAATAACGAGCAATGGACTTTTGTGAGCAACGTGAGGTGCCACGTAGCACCGGTTCTGCATGGAAGGCTGCCCCGGTGGAGTCACAACTGAAACTACGGTACACATACACCAAACACAGTAGTTTTGATTGTTCGACGATTTCCTTTTCGAAGTCTGAGAGGTCGTCGGGCACCTAAAAAAAGTGAACTTCGTCCGATTCCCCAACTCGCCAATCAACCTCGGTGCTAGATGTGCCGAGTGCCGCGGCGCCGCCATGTTTTCCGAGGGAGAATAGTAAGCCAGGAGGCGACGTCACTCCGGACTCTGCTTTCAGTATTCCAAAAAGAAGGGCCATAGTGCGTTAGCAATTGCTTTAAAACACATGCTATATGAATGCCGTTATTAAATATTATAAAAATGTCGCTTACAAAGCTTCGACAATCCATAGTTTTTGACGTCGCAGATAAAAAGAAGCGAAACATATTTTTTCGCATGTCTATGACTACAATTTGCTTTGGTTTAGACAAAAGAAAAAAAAAAAGAAAAAGATCTTTGGGGTGTTGGTGCCTTTTTAATGCAGAAGAAACCACCTTTTACATTCAGAACCGCCGGTCCCGCCGAGCTCCCAGCCGTCCCAGCCCATGGGGGCCTTCTCGTTTTTTGTTTTCCCGGATTACATTTTTCCCCCGCAGTCCCTTGAAAAACATATCAACGAGATTCCACTGTATTTCTTCGACGACACTTCAATGCAGAATAAGCTGTGAAACGTAACAAAATTAACGTCGTCACTTCAGAAGAAGTAATAAAACTACAGTTAAATTTTGAAAAGGTTACAGTTAAAAGTAACCAAAATAGCTATTAAAGGGATACTACAACGAAATTTCGGCGCTCATTTTTTGGTCTATATGTGTTCAAAAGAGCAGTATCACATGGAACATACCAATATCTTGTAAAAAAAGTCTCGAAAAGGAATTTTAAAACGAATTAAACGATTAGCAAAGAGCACCTGGTGGATGTCGCTAACACCTCGTTTGTAATGCTCGTCTAGGAACCTTGACAGCTAGTGACGGAGGTTGTCTCGTCTCCGGCCACGATGAGAGAAGGGGGGAAGGAGGAACTCCCCTCTTCCCGAGAATCCCTTTTGTGCGTCGCAGAAGTCGCTATTGTCCCCCTAGAAGATTATAGAAGATTAACCCGTCACACAAAATTCGTACAAAAGCAGCCGCTTCGGTGGTTGGAACGACTAGGCCATCCTCTTGACGTCAGCCTCGCCGTAGCTTTGCTCGTCTTGAGACGACCTACGTCATGATTGCGTTGGATGTCACGTGCTCCAAGCTGGGCCTTCTCCGAGCGCTTGCCAGGGTGGGCCGTTTATAACGAAAAATACAGCCACCAGGATCAAAATACAAACGTGCGATTGTCATTTACGGATATTGTGGATCATATTCAACCTATTTTTGAACACGACGGGAATATTTCAAATTTCGTTGAAGTATCCCTTTAAGCTATACTTGTATTCCTCCCAAGACTGCGCCAAGGTGGTGGCCGAGATAGGGCTGGAGCGCCTGGCGCTGGCGGCCTGCGGCCAAGCGGACTGGCGCCTGCTGCTGCACCCGGGGGACGCCCTGTTCCCGCCGGCCTACACGCACGACCTCAGCTTCTGGCTGCCCGAGCACTTCGAGGACTGCCTCTTTGCCCGGGTGGTTTCCAACCTGCTGGGCGACGTGCTAGAGAGCTTGGAGCTGGTGGACTGCTTCTCGGCTGATGGGCGGATGAGCCGCTGCTACCGCCTCGTCTATCGGTCCCTGGATCGGCCGCTGGGCCGGGAAGCCGCCCGGGACCTACATTTGGCTCTGGGACCCGCCCTCCAGTGCCTCCTGGGCCTTCAAGTCCGCTGATCCCCCCCGCGGTACTCCTTCGCCGCTCCCTCCCCGTTGCTCGACTGCCACGATGTGAACGACCGAGACGGACATGCCGGAACAATAGTGATGGGAATGGACGAGTGTCTGCGAGACCCGGACACAGCTCTGGAGAGGCGAGTTCCTCAAAGTGCTCTACGGCTCCGAGACTGGGCAGTCCGACGCCTAAACCCCTTGTCACGACTGATCGACGGTTCTACGATTGCCAACCGATCTGCTTGGTATCCTCGCCAGTCGCCGCCTGGTGAGTTACCGGAGGGCGAGAGCCATTTAACAAGGGAAGACTTCGAGTCCGACGGACAAAAGCCGGTCTTTGCCGGAGAGGGAGGGGTCCCATTCGGCTTCGAAGCGGGTGGGTCCCCTACAAGGTCGACCTCTCCTCGGTCGGTGGAAAATCGGTCCCTATTCCTGCCCGCCACCCCCCACGGATTAGTGGCCGAAGTTTCGTTCCGTGCTAGATGCTAATCTTCGGTCCGGAAGTCACCGGTGACTGCTCAGACATTTTTACACCTTTGCTCCGAAAGTGCCTCGTGCCACCACCTCCAGGACGTCTGCCCGTTTGTGTGCGTGCTCAAAAAGGTGGGTGGAGCTGGGCAATGGCTCGGCCATAAAAGGGCATAAAAAAGCGACCTTATAAAAGCAAATGAGCGTGAATGGGCCATCCGACTTTGTACTCTATGTAAATAAACGGCGTATATTTCAAGAGACCCGGCTCCTTGTCGTTCCCACTGGCTCGCAGTCCGGTGCCCGGCCCGAGTCGCCCCTCCACAGACACTGCAAACGAGCCGAGTGGGCCATCGATACCGTTTCTGCCACATCTGCCTTGCTCGGCGGTGGAGTGCAGCAGCCGATGGTTCGATTGAGCATCGCCGAATGTAGCGTGTTGAAGCGTGAACGTGGGAGCCTTTTTACGAACGAATACAACTCTCTGACCTTTTATTTTGAATGACACGACTCATTTAAAGGGACAATGACACCCCCAAAAAACTTGTATTGCTACAGCGTCACACATTTTTATAAAGTAACAAAAGGCAACTGCCCAAAATCGAACCTGGAAAGGGGAAATATAGAGGAGGAAATGGCTGCCAGAAGTCACGTGGCTGTGAAACTTCTTTTTAGAGAGCAGTTCTTAGGCGTCTGTTTCCGGGTTTCACGACGTTGGCGTAACCGTGCTAAATTTAGCGGGGAAATTGATGTCGCGTGACCTCGACACCAATTCAATTCCCCGCTAAATTTAGCAGGTAAAATGACGTCGCATTAATCGGTGTCAAGTCACCCATGAACAAATCCAGGTTCTCCGCTAGACTTATTGGAAAAATTGACGTCACATGACCTCAACAGCAATTCAATTCTCCACTAAATTTATTAGGAAAATTGACACCACGTGACCTCAACACCCAATTCAGTTTACCCGCTAACTTAGCGAGGAAAAATGACGTCGCAATGCATTGTGCGACGTCACCTATGAACAAATTCAGTTTCTCCGCTAGATTTAGCGGGAAAATTGACGCCACGTGCGGAGGAGGTGCTTTTGCAGGCATCTTATAGAAGTTATGTTTACAGGCTAAATAAACTACTGGTTGTAAAAGAGCGAGGGGAGAGAAGCTTCATCCTAACTGAAGTGTTGCATTATGATTCAGAGACATCCTGCGTCGCCCAATCTTTGAAGATGCCTCATCTATCATAACAACCAGATTCTGAAAGGCTAGTAACAGCACCTCATTACCCTATGTTTCAGCATGCATTAATCACCATCACAAAGTTGACATTAAATCTAGTCACACAAAACGTTTTCATGACCCTTTTAGTAACAGCTACACAACTTTGTAGAATCAGCTTCTCAGGGCCATTGCCAAATCCCTGATAGCACGCATTTTAGAACTTCCATAACTAACCTTTCTTATAAAGAGCTGTACTGTATAATCTTTTTACTCTATGCTGTTCAAGAGCGCAGCTCTTAGGCGCCCTTTTCCAGCTTGAGTGGCGTCTCCATCGGCGTTGGCGTAACCGCATGCTTGGCATTATGGGAATAATGGAAGCGGGTGTAACCGCACATTGCATTATGGGAAAATTTTCTTGCTGAATTGAGCGGGGAAATTTAGAAAATATTTCACGCTAAATGGGAGGGGAGAGTACAGAGGGACATACCCTCCTCTCCTCCTCTTCAAGAGCTGCGCTCTAATTTAGCATTATAGAGAATTGTAAACATCTGTTTTTTTTTCTCTCTCTCTTTTTTTTTTTTACTTGTGTACCTCACTGCCCTCTGTAACGCCCTCGCCCTGAGGGTAAAAAATAAATAAATCATTGGCAAGGGACGTGCAAAAGTGGAAAGAGAGGTGTTGGAGACACAAGCAATAGAAAAAGCAGGCAGAAAGCACTGCATAAGCCAGGCTTCAATTTACCTACATAAAAAAAAGATAGATTCTATCGATGTGTGGTGAGCGACATGTCATTGTTGTATGGCGTTTGATTTTAGGGTGGTTTCTCGTTCGAGCCGCTTTTTCAGTAAGTGTTCAGTTGACAGCACAGTGCTCGTTCTGTGTGCTTCTAACTTTGTCCATCTTTTTGCAAGCTGCTTTTAATTTAATAAAACTTAAAAAAGGGTTTCGACAAAAATAGTCCTCGCCTGGAGCAAATATTCTGCTCATTGTTTGTGTCGACACCCTTTGGTAGACGTTACAGGTTGGCCCCCAATCTCAAACAGTGGCGAAAAAAGGAGTCCACTTATAATTTATTCTAACAAAAAGGCTGGTTCTTCGCAGTTGTGGAAGCCCACACAAGGCAAACTGTCGGGCAAGAGCCAGTTCCCACCTTGTCTACAGTCGTTCCGAGTGTTATCCGTCTTTGCGCTTTTTCAGATTGTATGTTGTTTTTACTGCGGTCACCCGGAAAACAACTCTTCAGGGTTCTACCGAAACATGGGGGATGACGGCAAAGTGTTCTACTCAACGACACCACTCCGCTCGGCTGGGAGGGCGGGAGGGCAATTCTCGAAAAACTGGAGCAGAAGGAGTCCGGATGGGGCTCGAAGGTATCGATGAACGCCACTCGGCAAGCGCTCTTTCCGGCTTGTTGCAGTTCGGCTGCTGTTTGACGGCCATTGCAACCCGCGATGCCCCTGTGCCGTTCTCCGAGTCTCCTTTGCAGAGGGGCAGCGCAATGCTCTCCCTGGACGAGTGTAGCCTGGTTTCCCCCAAGTCGATGCGTTCGGCCAATGTTGCCGCCGGCTGGGCACGTGTCAGCACAGGCGGTCCTCGCTCGTCTCGCCCGTAGAACGGCCGGCCAGCACCGTGTGCGAACCGTACAGGCACCAGTGCACGAGCTTGCGGGGGTCCACCCCTGCAACGATACAGGACACTGCTCATTCCATGCAGCCCCGTGCTCTTGACCGTCGGGACGAGACTGGCCGTTTACGGCGCACAAAGGTCCCAGTTCGAGAGGTCTCTCCCGCACCTCGCTTTCTGTACTGCAAGCATGGAAAATAACTACACTTGCGCCACGAATGCCGACCCAAGTTCGATGACAGCCCACAGAGACAAGCTTCTGGATGCCAAAAGATGCATGTGCCCAGGGGATGCGGGTAGCTTCTCTGGGATGGGCGGCTCGGCTTTCGTGACAAAATTAATTAAACCGAATCTCGTGGTCCGTTTGATTAGTCCTCCCCTCTGCACCAGTACGGTGCCTAACGCGTCTCCAAATGGTGTAATCCCTTGATTTGCGCTCGACGTCGCAGAAGAGTCCCAGCCCAACACCAACGCAGCACTCAACCGCAATCGGAGCCTCGCGTTTGATTGAGGAAGAGGATACCAAAGAATCCAGTCCACGGGCCTTGTGTTGGGTAAACGCCGAGCTCTGCGCAAACCGAACTGGAGGAAGCGCCCCGTAGTCGGATTTCCTCGCCAATACGGCAATCAATGTGTTCTTGAATGCGTCTTTGGCGCGTCGGTACGCAAAGAGGCGCAAACTAATCAAAGGAAAACATAAGGAATGTGCGACGACGAGGCAGCCAAGCTCGCCCCACCTTTGGCCAAGGTTGGGGGGATGAACATGGGTGCATTTGGGAAGGGAGGCAAAGAAACCATGTGTGCAAGGAAGAGACGGACTTGCACGCCGTAAAAGGAGGCTATCCGAAAGACTGGTGCATTGATGGGAGAAATAGCTCGACACAGAGGGGGATAGCGTCTGAAGTAAAGTGTGTGGAATTCGTAGAAAATGAAACATTTAACGAAAAATGTTGCACCAGTATCTCATTTAAAACAAAACTTGCTTTCTGGATGTGACTCGTATTCGAGGTAAAACATTTGGTAAACTATCAAAACTCAAAGAAAGTCGGGACCCATCCCTAGGTATGTTTTCACCGAAGATGGTCACTTTGTGCCACCAGCATCACCTTCCGCTTTCTGTTTCCCCCTCGCTGAAAATTTAATGTGCGTGCCTCGCTTTCCGCGCGGTGCATTTCAGTAGCCAATGGAAGGCCAACAAATCTTCGTTTAAATTTCTAGAATCGTCCTTCTCTAAATTTTGGACGATGCCGTAATTGTTTTTGTGGCAAGCAAAGCACTAGACTCGCGCCGTCGAGGGCCCTCCCGCTCGGGAGGCTCGACCCAACTTGGTCGGAGAAGAAGAGACCCACCCTCTGGAAGGCCTTCCTCGAGCCGTGCCCGCAGGTGGGGCTCCTCGAGCAGCGCCTGGGTGGCCATGTTGGGGAAGGTGACGTTGTAGTAGGCCACGATGCGGTGTCCGAAGGTGGCGTACACCAGGCAGGGCAGGGTCACGCCCGGGCTCAGGGTCAGCTGGCCTGCAAGGGGGACGTCCTCTCACGCCCCCTGTCCATTGGAGACGGCCGGCACCGACCTGCGGTGAAGGTGCAGACGGCCTCGTCGAACTGGAAGCGCACCGACTGCCGGTCCTCGTCCACGATGTACGTCTGGCCGTCCCAGGCGCACGCTATCACCTCGTCCCGGCCGTCCCCCTGCACCGTGGAGGCAACATAGCAATCTAAAGGTTGCGGCCGTTTCGAAACAGCGGGGCAGAGACATAGGCGGTGAGCCAGAAGGCACGGACGGTACGAGAAGGGAACTTTGGTTGTCCCGCCTCCGGTGCGAACCTTCGACGACGCTTAGCCGGGCCTGGAGTGTCGGTGCTCTCGTCAAACCCAACCAATCTGCATGAGCTGGTTCAGTTTCTAGCGCTGTTTCATATGTCTTGACGTTTTTTCAATCGTCGGATAAGCCCTCGAGATAATTGAAACTCGTCCACCTTTGTTTTTGGGAACAACAGGAAAGGCTGCTGAACCAAAAATTATTTATAATAGATCTTGGGTAAAACCAGCTGAACAAAGGAAGGAAGGTGACGGGAGAAAAGAATGGCAAACCGACCGCTGGACTACCAACTGTTTTTTATTAAATCTTCCTCTTCTTCTATTAATTCATCTCCAATCATCCTTTTTCTTCTTCTTTTCCATTGATCTTATTTTTGCTCTTACTTTTTCTCCTGATTTTTATCAATTACCCATGAAGGGTGCCATGCAGAAAGAGTTTTTCTTTGGCTTGCAAGGTAATTAAGAGATGCTCACGCACTTGTCGTCTTCTTCGTCGATGGCAAGGGCCTCTAAAACCTCCCTTGCAACCCGGTTTCTATGGTGTCCCATTATATGAAGGTGGTCGAGCTCTGCCGTACACAGGCATGTCCGACAATGGGCAGCTAAATGTAGATTGGAGATGAATTAATAGAAGAGGAAGATTTAATAAAAAACAGCTGGTAGTCCAGCGGTCGGTTCGCCATTCTTTTCTCCTGTCACCTTCCTTCCTTTGTTCAGCTGGTTTTACCCAAGATGTTTCAGAACCAACTAGCTCAGCTTTTACCCTTAATAAGTTATAATAGATGGCTAGATACTACAAAGTACAAGAAATACAATGTCGGAACTACTTCTGAGATTGAACCATTGTTAGTGATTTTCTGGCACATTCAAGTTCCGCGTTCAGCGGGTGGCTACCAAGTAACAAAACGATAGGTCGGTCGAAAAATTTTTCAGACCTATAGAGAAGATTCGGCTCTCAACATAGTATGCTTCACACATTTAGCTACAAGTTGCAGAACAAGTACTATTTCTATATGCACTAGGTTCCTAGATTCTGATCCCACAAATCTGCAAAAAGTTCCAAAACTTGGGTTTTGCGACAGCACAGTTATGATGCAATTTGGGTCAGCGTAGATATTGTGAATTAATAATACGGCTCTAATATTGATTCACAAAATGAGAAACTTGGCAGATGAGAAGGAAAATAGCCGTAGATTTCATAATTTCCATTTCCAGAAATAATATGATGACCCATGTCCCCCCTAAAAAAGCCAAAGAATATGCGCCAGAGGCTTCCAAAAGAGACGCCATTCTTGTTTCGTTGGCGACCGTACCTAACCGTGTCCGGGTCATTGCGAGGATCCTCGCACCAAACGCCGGCCAAACCGCAAAGCTCTCTCGCCTAGCCGTCAGACGGCTTGCGTCGGACAACGGCGAAGGGCTCACCACGATGTCTAGCTTGGTGAGTGCCGACAGCTGGTGGTCCACCTGCAGCGACCAGAGGATGTTGTCCCCATCCACCAGCATCAGGGTGCCTGCACAGATGCCACGCACAGACGCTATCCTCAGTTTGCCCATACACCGTGGACCCCCCCCCCCCCCTTCGAGAATAAATAAAATGTCCAAAGAAGACGTGGAGACGAGTGAAAGACAGGCACTAAGGCTGTGCTCACTCTGACTGTCGTCATCTTTCGTAACGAAATGCAGTTGTACAAGAGAAGAACGTAGGGAAGTCCTTCGCTTGTCCCTGCGTCTCTGTTGCAGCGTTTTATTTATTCTTGTCACGCACCGACTCGCCCGACGACGCACCCTGCGGGGGAGAGATAAGGCCCCCGAAATCTAGAGCCGACGCGACGTCCTTCGCCGGGGCTCGGGAAAGCGGGAAGACCGGAGTCATGCGACCTTTGCGGGGCACAAAATTTTCGGCCTTCGACCCGTTCGACCGCCGTCCGAGGAAACTTGCCGAGCTTTGCGCTGCGTGGTTGAGTGCACTGCATGTCCATTCCAGATACAAGAAAGCAGACCGCGGGGCGGGTGAAGCTGGCAGCGTGAGCAAACGCTCACGGCTGCCAAGAGACAATGTTCTGCGGCAATAATGAGAAGTGCGCGGGAGTATCTCGCTTTTATGATCCTTCCTAAGCAGTAGAACATTCATTATACACACTGGCGTAGACGCGATTGCGAGAGGGCGTACCGTTTTCTGTGCCACCTCTTCTAATGGAGGAGAACCTACCGTCGAGTGTGGCCAGGGCCATGAGGGAGTCGGTGAGCCGTCCGTCCCGGGTGCCCCTCACCCCTCCCAGGATGGCCGAGGACACGTTGGGGTTGCGCATGTGGGACGAGTCCAGCTTGTGGTGCTGCGGGCACACCTGCGCCGCCTCCCCGCTGCCCGCCCCCGTTAGGTCAGTGGGCAAAGTGCTTTGCGCGGTAATACTGCTGCGCCTAGAACGCGTCTCCAACCGGCGTGTTTACCGCATTCTACAAAAGTGATATTTCTGTCCGACGGCGTCGTAAAAGTGTCACGCCGTCACCCGCCACGGTTGTGGCGGCGTCGTAGTGGCCATGCCGGGTGCGGCGGACGCCCATTCTGCCACAGGTCGCTCTCCAGCTCCCCAGTTCACGGAAGCAGTCGGGAACTGCGATGCCGCGACGACACTAGCTCTAGCGTGAACAGTCAATAGCTCTAGTGTGAACAGTCGGGATTGCGACGTCCAACGGCATGGCACTCTGGGTGTTCCGTCGTCAGTAGTTGCCATTTCAAGACCACCTTCGATGCGTGGGTGGGATACAAGCACGCCGGACCAAGACTCGTTCCTGGCACAGTATTTGTATGTGCGCAAAAGCGTCAAAAGAAAGGAGATGAACGAATTGCAAGTGCAAAAGTAAAAACCGTGACGGGAACGATGAGCACACCCACCGTGCACCCAGATGGTGAGGTCGCATCGCCGAGTCGGTATACCGTTAAGTCTCGCGTTCGATCGTTGAGAATGCGAGTCCCGGCCAAAAGGGCACACGCAGCATGTTTGCAACGTGTAGTGCCATCTCGAACCGAAACCGAAACAAGCCTTAGAGACGTGCAGTTGTCGATGTTTTGGGCTGATTTGATGTGTCGTCACTGTCGGAACTAAAGTCTGATGATCCAACATCATCGTCAGACTCACTTGTGCTGGTGCCATCAAGAAAATCGACTGCAGATGTGCTTGAATCGCGAGACTTCAAACGCTTCAGAGGAGGGGTGCGGTCCCGCGACGCAGATCTTTCTCGACCGAGCGTTTGATCATGATAAATCGCCATCTCGGGGAAAAAAGAATAACTACCTATATAGAAAATGAAACTAGAGTGTCTAATCTAACCACCAGATGCCATAATTTGTCAAGAAACGCATCAAAGACCTTGCAACGGGCCTTGGAAATCATTGATCACAAGTGATAGATTGAAAAGAAACTAACCAACAAATATATTCATCAACGTGATTGAGTAATGTTCAGATCTATTTATTACTTTGGACTTCTTATACTTAGACTCGTAATTTCTTGCTTTTCTAACAGAGCACAGAAAGAAAATTTACTAGGTAATTTTTTTCTCAAAACAATGTATTGCCAGAAGTCAATTTTAGACTGGTTGCCTTCCGCTTCAATTTGCGACATCACGCTACATTGGCCAAGCCCCGAGCGTGGATTAAGGCCCCTACAATCACATTTCACTGCAACCGATCGAGACCAGTTTTTAAGCCTCTCGCGACGGCTTACGACCAGCTGCATTGTTGCACAGCTGGTCGTAACCGGTCTCCGTTGGTTGTAATCAAACGTGAAAATAACTGTACCTGCCTTGGTTCAGTTACCCCACTTTTCCAATTACATATCTCCCCCCCAAAAAAAAAAAAAGATTACGAACACCTACCTTATGGCTAGCTCTCATTGATATGAACGATACAGATTTTAAATAAAAGCAAATTTGGAACAACCAGCCCAATTCTGGGTGGTCACAAAACCATTCTTACAGTCTCCATAGCTCAGACCGCGTGAGATTGCCTCTTTAGAAAACAGCCGAATCACACTTCCCAAAAAAACTTGTTCAAGTGTCTAGATAAGACACAGATGAAGCAATATATGGCAAAAATAAAAATTTTACTACAATACTTTTTGAGCGCAGCTCTTAGGCGCCCGTTTCCGGCTAGAGCGGCTTCGCCGTAACCAAGGTCACCTGACCACCCCAGGTCACGTGACCCCTCCCCACGAGGTCAGGTGACCCCCCAGAGCATATTAAAGAATGAGGGGAGGAGGAGGAGGGGTCTTCCCTCCCCTTAGTACCCTTCCCTCCTCCTCCTAAAGAGCTGCGCTCCAATTCGGTGTTACAGGGAGTTGTAAACGGCTTTCACTTTTTTGTTGCAAGACTCATTCGGGTATTACTGAAACTTGCTTCTTTTTTGGGGTCAACGTAGTATTGAAATGGAAGCATGTTTCAGAATTAACTCAAAATGTCTCTCAGCAGAAATATTGTGGTAGTCACTTTTTCAGGCCAAGTTTATTTTGTGTATATATGAGTCACGTACAGGCACTCGTAAAAAATTTTAAGTGTGTTTCGATCATATCTATTAAGCTCGGAGCCGCACAAAATACGTCGTGAATGAGCTGGGCCCCTGCCACGTACGATTCTGCGACGTCGAAGTCGTGTACACCGACACACCGTTCACAAATGCGTCGGCGTTTGCCCATACCGGGCGTGGGCACTGTGCATGCGCAGAAATCAGATTAGCTGAAAGATAAGCGTCTGCGCGTCCACCGTGCTGACAGCGGCACTGTCGCGCGGCGCGACCTCGGAGCCATGTGTCGGTGTATAAGCGACATAGCTTACGCAACCTCGACTTTCTTGTGTCTCAAATGTTTGCTTTTCTCACGAGGCGCATTAAAAGAATTTCCCTCGGGATTGTAAAGACTCCGTGGGCCCACCGACCTGTCTGGGGTGCTGCTGCCGAAGTCCAGCTTAGTGTAGGTGCCTCCAGGCTGGGCCACCAGCAGGGCCAGGCCCCCCGCCTGGTTCGCACTCAGCGAGATGGTGCCCACCTGCAGACCAAATGGCAGCGTGCGAGAGATGCATCCGTGGCAGGACGTAACGCCAGAATTTAAAAAAAAAATTTGTTCCTGGTCGCTTCCAAAATATGATAACTGTGGTCTCAGTATGCGCTTAATCGCTACCCACATTTTTTCCGTTATTGAGCGTCATCGTTATTGATGTATCGTATCAGTGCTGCCTGCCTTTACGTCTCACAGTCACCTAATCCAGTCGGCGTAATGCGATGTGGAGATTCTGCTTGTTCGACAGTCATTTTACGTCGCAGACAAGGCGGGGTTCAACAAAGCGTTGGTAAAGCAGATGAACGAAACGGTGCAAAGGGGAGGGCTCACAAAGGGCTAGCCAGCCAACGCGATACCCCATTTGCATGCGCTCGCCTGACTGGCACCGTTTTCCCCTTTCTTCGACACCATCTCTCCCTCCCTCTGTTCGAGCAGTGTTGCCTTGGTAACCTGCGCCCGCTCGTGTGTCTAACGTGGTAGCGGGAGAAAAGACGAGGGGAGGAACATACCAAGGACTCCCCGCGCAGGCTTTTTCGATTTTCGCAAAAGGTCTATTGCTGCTCGCAAAAACCAGCTGGATTCTACTAGGCGGCCGGCACGTCTCGGCCCGAGTCTCGAGAAAAGAAAAAAGTACTAAGATATCCGTAAACAATCTCTTTATGCGCTACGGTATGCAAAAGAGTACGGTGGAAGTCGTTTCGAGGACCTCGGCGGACGGATGTTTGGTCTGGCTGCAGGAACCTGGTTACTCGAGCAAGCAATGCGGGTTTGTACGGGAGATACGGCGAGTCGCATTCTCTCTCAGAAAACTAAAGAATGTCCATCTTCGTGCGCCAAATTGCCGGATGTGAACACAGCCTTCTTCGTATTTGTTTTGCCAAATATTAAAAAGAAAAGCAAAGAGAAGAGTCTTCCAAACTTCTGGCACTGTTTCACGAGCGAACTGCAGGTGCCGCTAAGCTTCCTGTAGTTTACAACAAACAGGTCGCTGTGCAACTTCTGTGGCACATTGGCCTCTCGGTACTGAAGCACCAGAGACTCGTTGCAGGTTGTAGCACACACGATAAGCAACCACGGCCCACAATATTAATTTGGGCTCGTCGCCAGAGCACCACCACACGGCAGTAGTAACTGAAAGCACAGTAAAAAAAACGGTGACTTTTTGAAAAATAAATTAAATTAAACTCATTTGATTTAAATCAAATTCAATCAATTTAAACTGGATCTATGAGACTTGATTCACTTCACCTAGAAAGAGTGACAATTTTGTCACTAGATGCATTTTTAAAAATGGCAGCCTGTTCTTGTTCGATCCTTTTTCTTTTTCTCTTTAAATACAAAATAAATCCCCCAAAAAAGCATAAAATGATAAACAAATGGTAAAAGGAAATTATTTTTGGGATTGTCTTGGGGGAAAGTGTTTGACCTAAACCATCACAGTAATATCTGTGCGATATAATCATCTCCATTCTCCGCCCCGACTGAAAGACATTTTCCTTGGTATCGCGATGCTACACAAACTAGTTAAAGGGATCACACCGAAAAGTCGACTCGCTTCCCGGCGCAGTATGCAACACGAGCACTACACCGCAATGGGCACAAACTGCAACTTCTTCTTCTATGGACTGAAACTTTGCCTTTCCTTGCCACCTTCAGAAGCACAAGCTTTTTTTTCTTTAACGCGATGCCACTGATAAGGATGAGACAAAAATAAGAACACACATTTAATGAAGCTTCTACACCCCCAAACTAGTGCTATCCAGATGTAACAACGAAACAAGCCGACACCTTCAAGTGCCACGAGACTTCCGGGTGGATATTCTCGAGATACAGCTTCTGCAAAACGTACCGCACCCTTCGTGGCCCCAAAAGAGTTGCTCGAAGCTCGCGCCTCAAGTTCCTCGGCACCTGGCCACGTCCGGCTCCTAGACCGACCCGCGACCGCAACGTCCCGTACGGCCGACCCCAGTCGCAGCCAGTTTTTTGTCTCGCCTCGTACACCCCAGCACACATTCCTCTCTCAAAGCTTTGTACACTCCCCTCCCTTGCATTACTGTTCTCGTAGTCGACCGACTTCTTAGGTTCGTTTCCTCAGTGGCCCGACGCCTTTCCCGCCGCAATCGATTCGTCGGCGCACACAACGTTTTGGTTAGACTCCGTCGATCCACGCGGGTTCCGGCCAACACGACGGGGAAAAAAACAATCGACTGGAAGAGGAATTTAAACACCAGTGACGGCCGCGAGCTTGCGGTGGACATGCGCGAGGAAGGCGAGGGCGCCCTGGGGAAGGAACCCACCTGGTTGGCAAACTCCCACTTCTGGAGGCCGACCAGCTTGCCCTCACTGCCGTTCTGGGAGCGACGGGGGAGGGTCAGCCCGAGCACAATGTGCCCTTTGGGGCACCCACCTCCAAGAAGCAGGTCCACTGGTAGGTCCTGACCACCCTGTCCGTCAGGCCCAAGATCAGCTCCACCTTGCCGTCGCCATCTGTGCAAGGAAGTATGTCCCGCTTGGAGAAAACGACGGCAGACAACATCAATGGCATTTGAAAATAGGCGCTGCAAAGTTAACCTAAGAACTCGGCCTGTCTGTAGAATACTTCTTACTCCCTGCTGGTCTATGCATGTGCCAGTGGTGTATCCAGGCATTTTTTTCTTGGATACACCACTGGCACGCACACAGACAAGCAGGGAGTAAGAAGTATTCCACAGACGGACCGAGTTCTTAGGTTGACTGCGGCTTGCCACACGGAGTCCCTTTTGTACTGGCGTGAGCTTCTGGAACAATCGACGTAGAAGGTTTGAGCATAGAACTTTCTAACCTCGAATCAGCAATACGGTTCTCGAATTTACTAGAAAGTCACAATACAGAGTCAACAAAAAGGTGTATCTACAGCCAGGAATCGAATCTTGGCTTACCAAGACACTATAACCGAGTGAAGGCCTAAAGAGAGATCCGTCACCACCCAAGGTTAGCCCTTGCCACCAAAGAAGGTGAAAGAGGAAAGAAGGGCAGACAGAGAGAAAAGGCAAAGGTAAAAGAGGAGAAGGAAGGCAACTGACTGTATCATCCTGGTCAGGCCAAGCCAGGACACCAGTCTACGAGAATCGGGGGCTGAAGAGGTACATTGCCTCACCCGGGGGGGGCCCGAAGGGTCCAAACATAACTCGGGCTCAGCTCAACTACCAGGACCCCCTTTTCCCCGGGTTAAGCCATGCACAGCGAGGCGTGGGTGGGTTAACCCACATGGCTCGGGGCTAGTAGTGATACCACTCACCAAGCACTTACTAAAGCAGGTGCCCCCAGCATGTGGGTGTGGGAGCCCATGTGGCTAGGGTCCGTGGTGATGCGACACCCAAGCACTTAACACCCACGGTGTAGGCACCCCCTCCGGGGACAAAATAAAGGTGCCCGAGTGCGATAATATATAAACAAAAAATCAAAATATTTTTTTAAGATAAATATTGCGGTAAAGGTTCAACCAAAATCAATTTAGTAAATCGAATACAAAAAAAAAAAAAACAGAGTCGAAACTCTTGACTTTTATTTTTCAGCCAGCTCTCTGCAGTCAAGGTGTAAGACACCATTCTAATGGGAACTTCCCACTGTATAAAAGCATTTACAAACCTGCTTCAACACAGCCAAAATTTGCAACAAGTAAGCTGCAAAGAGGGCATGCGAGGGCCCGACCTGCCCGCTGTGCGTCGGAGTTGGAGGGAGACTCACTGATGTCTGCGAGCAGGGCCATCTTGGTGTTTGCCGGCAGCCGCTGACTGTGCAACGGCGCCATGTGCTTGCGCTCCTCCTCCTGCAAATGGACACGGCTGGCCACCCACCCTTTCTGTCGCACCATCATTCGCTCCTTTCTGCCAGATCGACCCTAACGTAAAACTCTGCCACGTGCACACTCCGCAGTGCATGCGGCTAACCCCTTCCCTTTGTCGCAGCGGCGAAAGGCATGGAAGACTGCTCTTAGAGTTGCCTGCCCCTCAATATACTCGGCTTTTGTGGCTTACGCGTCCCTCTCCTCTTTAACGTGCTCGACGCATTTTGGCGACCCCGGCAGGTGGTCTAACTGCGGGGTCGTTGAATTCGTACGGCGCGAGCGGACTATTCCTGCTTGCCGTAGCAAGTAAGCCAATCATCAAAAAATTTAAAAAAAGTCAAATTTGGGGGTTTTACGTGCTAAACCAACGACGGGCATCTGGCATGCCCAACGGAGGACTGAGGATTAATTTCGACCACCTGGGGAAATTAAAAAAAAAAAAGAGAAGGTTTTAGTTATTTCGACGAGGCGCAACCATTTTACGACGCATCTTTGTAATTTGTCGAAGAACGGGCAGGGACACGGAAAGACGACGGGGGCCTCGAAATCGTCCCTGCTCAACTGGTCGAGTGTGGTGTTGGCCGTACTCCTACCAAACATAAGATGAAACGCCTGACCCTGCCCGTTCCGGGACAGCGAGTGCGGGTGGACTATTTCGTGACCCTCACCGTAGCGTCACTCTGCAGGGCGAAGATGTTGCACCAGCCGTCGCAGCTGATGCTCACAATCTTGTTCTGGAGGGCAGAGGAGTCTGTGGTGAGGAGATGGCTGCGAGGGGGAAAAAGGGGCCCACCTGTGAGTCGTTGGTTATCTCGCCCACGACGACGGATGCCACCTGCGAGCGTCAGAGGCATCAAGATTCGCCCCACCCGTGCGGACCCGACGTACCGCACCCAGGTCCGAAGCGGTGGCCCAGGGCCTTGACTGCCGGTACTTGAAGACTGCCAGATCCCCGTGCAGGTTGGCCGCCACCAACTCAATGCCCTGCGCAAACCGGGAAGGCGTCCGCCGCTATGCTGGGCTGTCGCACAAAGGGGCATCTCAAAAGCCCCTCGTCAAATCGATACCACCTAGAAGACGAGGCCTGCGTACGACGTCCTCATTGGTGGATCTGCGACCGACCCGGAACCAAAGTTTTTGAACCCAAAGAGTGACCGAAGAAGCGAAGTCACCCTCGATGGCCTCGCTTTTTCACTGTGCTTATGTCACGCTAAACGCACAGATAAAGGTTAGGCACAATGTCTCTTCATTGGTTTTCTTGGGGTTCAGTTCAGGGTAATATTTAAAGTGAATGGCTAAGAAAATTAATTGCTTCCGTTATTGTGCATAGTAAACGTATTTGAAATGAAGGATTATCTCAGGGTATCGTGAAAGGGAAAATGAGGCAAAACTTTAATATACACACCATTAAGTTGCGAATTAAAAAAAGAAAAATATTTTGAAAGAACGGGGGTATGGCCTATTGGAAAAGTACAAGACAGATGACCACTTTAGAGGGCTGTGCGGGATTTTGGATAGGCTGGCATTGCTTCCATCACAGTTTGTCCTCGAAGGACTAACCTACATCAGGGAAAAGCCTACCGGTGACATCGGCTACCTGCTGGACTACTTTGATTGCACGTATGTCAACGGCCCCTTCCGTTTTGCTTCTGTTCCTTCTGCGGTGGCACCCAGAGAGAATACTCCCCTTTGCCTGACTGCACCTACGACGACCGGAGTTTCCCCCGGAACGTTAGAATATGTACGATGCCACTCTTCAAGATAAAGACCGTACGAACAACACCTGCGAAGGATGGAATACCGGGTTCCAGAAGCTTGTCGGCCATGCCCATCCAAGCGTCTACAGGCCGATTGAATGCCTACAAAAAAATCACGCTCGTTGCCATGGCATTGACACAAGCCTGGAGAGGTGAACCTCCAGTGAAGTGGGTGCAAAAAACCACTTTGCGTCTGCAGAATCGTCTTAAAAATACCTGCGAGGGCTTGCAGTTACATTGAGACCTACCAAGACTGCTGGAGCTAGTAGGAAACTGCATTCACTTCTAACCAATCGAAAAATAAACTTATTTCTACTCTAATCAACAAACCATGCGCCTGTCAGATTTAATTTAGTGTTGCATTATAGTGTAGCACTGATGCACTGAAGTTGTCTGCATTCGTGTTAAGACCAACATAAAAATTTTCCTGGTGAGTCTTTGTCCGGGTCTGTGAAAAAACTTCTGTCCGGTGAGTTTTTGTCCGGTAAGTTTTTGTTCGGGATTCATGGAATTGGGAGTGTGCTTCACGCTTGGCGCCTAAGTTGGAGCGGGCGCCACCCAAACGCCTTCAGTCGGTCACAGTAGCTGGTGTCCAGTCTAGAGACATGTCCAAGTGCCCAGCAGCATATTGTTCTGGATGCCCTCCGCTGAACGCTTTCGATCCGCTCCATCAGATGCTGCTGGGTTGGTGACCAGATGGAGCAACAGTACTCAAGAGATGGGGGTACCGTTGCCGTGTGCAATGTACGCAGTGAAGCAGGCTCACAGGGCCTCGACACCTGTGCAACGAAGCCCACCATACGCCGAGCCTTGGCAACCACACAGGCGACATGAGCGGAAAAATCCATTGTAGAAGTGAACATAAAAGAAGTGGGAGGAGCTTCCGCTGCCAATTTATCCTCCTCGAGTGGAAACTTTTTGCAATACAAAAACAAGCAAAAAATAAAATAACTGCACTTTTGAACGCGCGTTTTTCTTGTGTGAATGCCAGGGAATGTGCCTTTAGTGGAAGAATAATGCTATATACACTCCGGAGTGCAGCTCGGCCGGAAATTGCTATATGCACTACGTTTGTCTCGTATAAAATGAATGATCACAACGAGTTTCCCAACCGGTGGCATAGCGTAGGGGTTAGCGTGTCCGCTTCGTACGCAAGTCGACGCAGGTTCGAATCGTGGTGATCCTACCTTTTTTATTTTTTTTCTTGAACGTTGTTTTGACGAGGCATTTGGCGGTATTTATATTTCTTTTATGCGATGAACAAAAAAAAAAAAAAAAACACCGAATGTTGTCGACAAAACTTGGCAGACTTCGCAGATCTGGGACAGCGGGGCTTGGGTTGCCGGCTGGACGCCGCGAAGCGGCGTGTGCTGGTTAACTTTTCTAATTAGCAGCCGCTTACTGTCGCCGCGAAGCGGCGTGAACGCAGGCGGGGGGCTGGGTTAACGTGCTCCCCAGTGATACACGCGCAGTTCGAAAAACGGTGGCCTGAGCGGCATGAGCTCTCAGCGTAGTGCATATAGCAATTTCCGTCCAAAGTGCACTACGTAGTGCATATAGCATCGCTCTTAGTGGAATCAGTATCTTGGGATAACGTTTTGCATAATTTTAGTTGTCTATGTGCTTGACAACGCCAGCTTTACGCTGATTTTGCCACCAGTGTAGCTGAAGGGTTAGCCGTGTCCCAATTCCTGTGAAAGGACTGGAATTAGGGGGTGCTCATTCCGCCTGTGACGGCCAACACTGCTCAGAGGCACCCCTTAGAACGCCTTACCTTGTCATTGTCCGCGTCGCCCAGGCATATCGCATCTTGCAGGAAATTTCCGACAAACTCGTACTCCACCTTGTCCAGAAATGAAACAGCCCTCATTTTCTACCAAAGACATCAATTCCGATTATCAAGTAAAAGAGGTTCTTTTAATAAAGAGGAAACCGACCACACTACGGACCATACACTTTGAACCAGCTGCCAGACGACTGGATGGATATACGGCTCTGGATGGATGTTAATGGCTGTTTAACTAGCCAGCTGGACAAAGATTACACCAAACACACACACAAAAAAAAAAGCACCATTCACACTGCTGGTGAATAGTGTTTCTGTTTTTGTTCAGCTGGCCTATTGAAAACAATGAACCAACCAGCTCAGCTTAAACCCGTGACAATGTTCTAAAAAGCTCTGCTCGTTGGCAGATAGCCAGAGCCACCAGAGCACCAGAGCCGCCGCATATCCATATCCATATCCATAGCTGGGCTTAGTAAAAATGGCGCCGAATACCCTAGTTCTCCCTGGAGACACGGTGAACATCTCCGCGTCTGACAAGAAGAAATACGTGCTGGGACCCGGCCTTCGCAAAGACGGCGAGCGCATCATAGCAACGAAAGCCGGCATTCTCAAGCAGAGATCGCCGGGAACTTACTGGGTGGAAGGACGCCAGAAACGGGTACGGTTACTTCGTTGCCTTCTTTCACCGAAGGCAGGACGAACTCTGTTGCGGCGAGTACAGCTCACTACTCTACTGCGGTGTAAATCAATTCATCGTGCGACGTCTCGAATTGTTTTTACCGACGTCCGCAGAAGCTTCCAGCTAGCATTAGCGCGCGAAGTAGGTTCGCCATCAAACATGTGTTTCATGAACCTATCTGTTCAGCCCCGCACACAACCATTTGCGCCCTTGGAAGTGCAAACGAAATTATTATTATTATTGTAACGTATTCTCACGAACCCTTTCAATGTTCTAGTATGTGCCGGCGAGGGGCGACTGCGTGATCGGCATCGTGACCGCCAAGTCGGCAGAAAACATCCGCGTCAACATCGGATCGAGCGAGCAGGGCTCACTCTCCATGTTCGCCTTCGAAGGAGCCACAAAGAGGAACCGGCCGGATGTCCAGGTGAGAGTCTGGAGCCCTGGCGATTCCCCAGCCGGCTTCTTGACCAGAGAGCGTCCTTGCCTTATCTGGCTGGAGCATACGGACCGCCGAAATCCATGGAGAGGAAATGACCACTCTCCGCACCATATTAATTTTTAGGCCCGCTTCAGAAAGGGCAATTTCGCCCAGCAACTTAATGTCGCAACACGGGCCACTCGCGTTCACACGCCGCAACCAATAGCTGCCATTTGCCATCTTCATCATTAAATTTTATTTTTCTTGCACTACTTCGACACATAGTCACGCGCTATAAACACGTTTTTATTCATTTAAATGTTGTTGAGCACACAAATGCATCTTTCTGAAACGGTTTATTTCCAAAAACGATCATTCAAACCAGAACCAAGTCCTTAGTTGTCATCATCACCAGCACGGGGCATCACGTCAAAGTATCGCATCGCTGGTTGGCTGTTGCCGCTTCAAACGTCTTTGAATTGCTCAGAGTTGCTCGCTTGTTTCGAGCTGGACCCGATCTCAGCAATTTGTGTCGATATAGGGAACAACCCGCCAGCAACACCAAAGTTGCCGAGAAAGTTGCCCTGCCTGAAGCGGGCCCAAGGCCTTTCCGAAAGCAAGGCTTGGGCCGGTGGCGGCGGCGCCGCATAGAGTCACCACGTCGCACGTGTATCACTAGGGCGCGTGTTAACCTACCCAGCCCACCTGTTCACGCTGCTTCTCAGCGGCAGTCTGCGGCGACTCATTACAAAATTGTTAACCAACCCGGCCCACCTGTACACGCCGCTTCGCAGTGGTCCCAATGTCAGCCCTGCCCGGAGAGGAGGCTGTGACCCCACCACGAAGTCGACGTTGTGGCTTTTCCATCCTGAATCAGACTGAAAACGTTTGTCGTCCATGTTGATGCCTCTGATACGGTGCGGTCAGTCAAATTCTGTAACTGGTCTATCTTTGCTGATCTTCAAAAACGGTGTCATCTTTTGCGGCAATAACTTTTTGACTAGTTTTTAATTTCCACCGAACCTGAGTGCACTGAACATAGTAACTTAATGAAACTTTTCTTCTCTCGAATTTCGCTTTATTTTAAAAGTTATAGGCAACTTAAACTTAAAAAGAAATAAAAAAAATAGGCTCCTTTATGACGTCTTAAGAGTGGGCCACTAAAGCACGTGTTGGATAGGCTGTAATGAAGCGGGCGGCCAGGGCGGCTCGCATTGCATTTGCTGCGAGATTGAAGACTAATTCGGCATAATACTTCATTGGCCTCAAACGACCGCAAACACGGGAGAAGGATCAGTTCAGAACGGGAGCCACTTCGCGCTGCCGTACTGCCAAATGGCCAAGTCGCCAGCCAAACCCGCGCCGAAGGCCTTCGGAATGCTCGGAACCGGACGAATCCTCGAGCTGGTATACGACTGCAGCGCCTCCTCGTACATCCGGGACTTTTCCACGCTCGCCGCTTGTGCATGCCGCATCCCACTACCCCTTTCTAGTATGTGCCGTTTTTTCCACCGCTTGGTGGCAGGTATGTCGATAGGTAATTTATTGTTTCCATACTTAATAAACTACATTTGTTTCTTTTCTGATCTAAAATACGGAACAGAAACTACTTTCATAGATAATTGAAACGATTCGCGACACTTACATTTTGTATATTGACTAAAAAAAAGCTTTTAGCGGCTCTGACCAGTAGTAAGGCAAGGACCAAAGACGTCATATATCGCGTGCTTACGGCACCGCGGGTCGCCCTCGCGGGTGGAGGTTTCCGCGTCGTCGGGTTAAAATCTGACGCACTGATAATTAGTTACTCTCTCCGTGCCCAAGCGACGTGGAAGCCACAAAGAAGGTAGACGCTTAAATGATTGCAGGGCCCCTTTAATGGAGTCATGCACGGTATTGATGTCACTGGCGTGTCTTAAGGTGGAGCCTCCCCTGTGGGCGGGGCTTTGGCCGCTGGCAGTGGAAGCTGCACACATCTTTGTCTAGCTATGTTCTTGCACGAAGTATCTTTTTCCGAGAGATTAAATTGGCCAACAAAGAACAACGTTCCGGATGTGGAACGGACCGACCGCAAATCGAAAAAAATGACTGGTTTAAGAGCGACGTTTTTAGGAACAAAAGTCTCTCCGCGCCGTAGCAGCACTACTAATTTAAACCGGATTAGAAGCGGCTCGAAAGGATCCTTTGCGTGACGACCTTCAAGACCGGAGTACTTGTACCTAGACTCGGCAGCGTAGTGCGAATTTTCATTCCGGGCCCCGGTACTTTGCGTTGGCCCACTGGCTCTCAGGTGGGCGACTTGGTGATGGCGCAAGTGCTGACCGCCAACAGAGACATGGAACCCGAGCTGGTGTGCGTCAACAGCTACGGCAAGAAGGGCATCCTGGGCGTGCTGCGGAGCCCCACTGCCTTCTGGATGCGTCTGCCCATAGACCTGGTGAACAGGTGGGTGTCGAGGCCCTTCGCCCCCACACTGCTCCTGGATGGATGGATGAATACGGCTGAGCCCTTTGGATCGGGCGGTAGCTTACGCCACCTAGCCATTCCTGTTCTCGCTGGCGCCATCTACGAGCCGACCTTGACTAGAACCGAGCTTGTGCGGCCGGATGAGACGTAACATTGTCAAAAGGCTTTCCGGCCCAGAATGACGAGCAGAAAAAAATGTAAACATACCGCCGAGTGTTTGATGGCTATCCGATAGACATTCGCTCGTCGCTAGAGGTGCCCAGGGGACGTGCGCCCGGGGAAAATATACTGTAAACGAGTTCATTTTCGCGGGCTCAAATTTTCGCGAATCGGGCCAAAGCTGAAAGTTTGAAATTATTCGCGGGTTCTAATTTTTGCAAATCAAGTGTAGCTTCCATTGCGTTCACATATTGTCCGAATTGTTCGCGGGACATGCTTTTCGCGAATTGTAGGCGATTCGCGAAATTCGCGAAAATTGAGTCGTTTACAGTATATATTTTTTTGTTATTTACGATAACCCAATGAAATTGTCACAAAAATTTCGCACCAACTCGTCTTGCGTCGCTCTTGTTGGGCACATGCACGCCGGCAATAGATGTCTCGGCCCGACTTTGCTAAGTCGTGTCGGTTTAGTCTCTTTTTGTGGGAACCTTATTAGGCCAAGGTCACGAAATGCGGCGTGTGAGGCTTTAGACCCACGCGAAAGCGTTGTTAGCCTGGAATGCGGCTCAGACCGGTGCGTTTACCACATCGTCAAAAGTGGTCCCCCGTCACGATCTTAGCGCCGGTCGATGTAACAGACGGCAGCCAGTACGCCACAAGGACACTCGCTTTACCGGAACTTGTACGGCCGACTGCCGGGATGGTGTCATTCGACGACGTAACACTCGGGCTTTTTGCGAGGTGGTTTGTTGCCACTCGGAGACCACTTTGGACGCACGAGCAAAACGGGACACGCAGCGGTCTGAAATGCGTTTTAGACGCGTCTGGGCTCTGAAGCGTCTTGCGCCTTCCCCGTGCAGGATCCTCTGCAAGGATTGCCCACTGCTCGGAAGCCTGGGACGGCGGATTCCCTTCGAGATATCGCTGGGGCAGAACGGCCGCGTCTGGGTCAACGCCAACACGCTCAAGAACACCCTGGCAGTCTGCAACGCCATCGCCTCGGCCGAGAACCTCACCGCGCGAGAAATAAAAGACAGGTGTGCCCAGCTCTGGAGCTAAAAAAGGTCCATGCGACATCTTGAACGCATCACTCGTGACAAAATGAGATGCCGGTCGAGGTTTCATGCGGTAACAAGTTCGTTGGACGCAATTCAAAGATGTCGGGTGGTATTGCAAAAGAAGAAGAAGTCAGAGGTTTGCTCTTGGAGCTCGTTAAAACATTCGTCATCCAATTTTATTTTTTGGACAGAGTATAAAGTATGTCAACCGATGGGAAGTCGATTGGTTCCAACTGCTCATTTCAACATTTCAAATGGGACGCAATATTACAAACGAGACAAAATTTACACTCATCATATGGTACACTTTTTACTTACAGAAGCAGCATCCTGAATGTATCATTGACACCGCAAGAATGGTACTTGAACTTATCCTTTCTTCTGACTCGAAAGCTGCTTTTGCAGCAATGTTAGTGCACTCGAAAAACACAAACCAAAACAAGATCGCGCGAAGGTTCAGCCAAATGTAGGCAACGTGCTCCTGGCAGTACCTGCTCAACCTCGAGCAGATTATCGTTGACCTCCATCACATTTACCTGTGGCGCAGCCCGGTGCGAAGAAGCTCGAATTGCCAATTGTGCGAACATTTCTCGCGGCAGATAATTCCTATCGCTCGATGTGCACACAAACGTCGTATAAACCGAGCAAACTTTGACCGTGCCACCGTCTTCGTATTCTGCGATCGAACTGCGACGACAGAGTTGCAACGGATTTACTAGTAACGTCCCGTCGCTTTTTCCGCGTATCTGTCTCGGGTCGAATACGCACGGCCTGTGCCTCGCATACTTTTAGCGTTGCCACGAAGTAAGCGACCATCTCAAGGATACCTCGTCCTTATGAACCTAATTTGAGCAATTGTATACAATCTAAGAATGAGCAAAGGTCAAACTGACCACTTGCAGTCCCAACCCTAAAATAGGAGGCAGTTAGACCGGAAACGACGTTTGAAAGGACGCTCAAAGTTGCTCAAGCACGTCAATTACGTCCGTACGGCGACTATAGAACACCTCAGGCAGGCGCTCCGTGCCTTCCTTTACGCTTTGGTTGCACGCTCGCACGTCCAAGCGCAGACCAAGGTAGGAAGCTTGCACTTAAGTCATCCAATACTCCTCCGTCGACTACGGGCCGCTTCTGTATCGGATCGGTGCAGGGTCGCTAGCCACTGGAGGCCTCCTCTGCCGCTTCTTGGAGGGTTTCTTCCACCTCCGCGTGGAAGGTCTTGTTGAGCAGTTCCTGGCGTGCTTCCGCGTCCTCGGGGTACTCGTCCTCCTTCTCGGCGTTGGGCTGGTAGTGGGTGCCGCAGAAGCGTTCGAAGTACTTGCCCACGTCCGGGTGTGGAATCGCCTTGGGGCCCATCGAGGGCCGCAGGTTCTCTGGAGGATCGCCGAAGGATCTTCGGTTACACAATCTCCTCATTTGTCTCAAATTCTGCTCATGCGCAAAACCACCGCAAAATGCGCAAACAAAAATGGAACTAGTATACGTGACGCTGAAAATTTGCTTTTGAGACCTTTCCGAACAATTAGGAATTGGTTATGTTGGACTTTGGGCCTTCTCCGCGCACGATTGAAACCTAGAGAGTACCGTATTTATTCGAATATAGGTCGACCTTTTTTTTTCGGAAATGTTGTCAAAAATTAAGGGTCGACCTATAATCGTGACCAAAAAATTTCGACTTAATTCGCGACCAAAATTTGAAACCCTACCGAGGGTATGGAGCTATCAATTACCTAGCCGGCGTCGCGGTAGAGCCGCGCGGCTTCTTGTTTCAAAAAGCTTTTGATGCACAAAAACAACCGAACAGCAGCAGCCGACAGCCCGTGGCCGCCGGCTACGGCTCTCGCGTACATTCCTCCGGCGTCGGGTTTCGCCATCACGCCTGTAGCGTTTCCCGGGGAAGGGGAGGGAGAGGAACGCGATGCGCCATGCACTTTGCCCTCCTATGCCTATGCGCTCCATTCTTCTCTTCCTCGCAAACGCGCAAAAAAAAAAAAAAAAAAAAAAAAAAAAAAAAAAGGCCGGAGGTACTTTAGTTTTTTTTTTTCAGCGGGTCGCACGTGTTGCTCACGGGGCTCGCAGCGTCTTTCTATTTGGTCTTTCGTCGCTCGCCCGTCTCCACCTTCTTCCAGAGGCTTCGGAGTCGCCTTCCCCGCCTCTAAATACGGCGGCAAAGGACGGGACCTTTGTGTCTGCGTCGGGTAGTAAAACGGGCGCCACCTAGTCCGGGCGTCCTTTTACTCCCTGCATTGGAAACGGGATTCGGAAGGGACGGCCCCCACCGGCTCCGCTAGCGACAAAACGAAATGCACGGCGTCGTAGAACTTGGCGGCTCAAAGGGAGCGGCGTAAGCACCTTGTGCTGCGTAGCGGTTGGAGCCGTCCTCCACGAGGACGTTGTAGAAGGGCTGGCGGTCCTCGTGGCTCAGGTTGTGCACCCCCATCTGGTAGATCCAGTCCCGGTTGGCCGCACACTTGCCGTCCCAGCCGTAGATCACGCACTGGTAGTGGTACCTGGGACAGAAACACTTTGCACCACACCGGAGTAATAACCCCGACCAAGCCCCTGCTTGCTAAAGAATGGCACCCGCTCCGGACCACTTCAAGGTGTGACCACTTGCAGCACGACCGGCCGCCAAGCTCTCCGAGCACCATGTTTTCCACACTTTGCGTTACTGCTTCTGTACACTGCTGTGTAGAGAGTGGCTCGTTTCACGAGCCAGACCGAAATGAGCGTGCTTATTCTTAGCAATCATGGGGCTGTTACGCGTCAGACCAACCAAGGGCAGCTGGCACACCCCGACCGAGGATCAATTTCGACCATCCGGGAATCTCTCGACGTGCATACACCGGCCCATTAATAATGAAAACATAGCAAATGATAATTCCTATCCTCGATGTATGTAACCTCGCTCGTTCTAATGCCTTATGTTTCCAGACCTGTGGCGGTTACCAAGAGCATTTTTACTGCCCGTACAAATGTCTACAACAGAGAGATTCCTTTGCGGGCAAACGAGCGACTTGTAGGAGTGATTGCCACGCCTGGAATGCACGCCCGAATAGAGGTGCGTTTAGAACTGGTCCGTTCTAAACGCACCTCTATTCGGTCCGTCGATGCACAATGGTGGCACATAGCTGCGATACAACCCTTGGAGTGCCATGCCCGAGTGTACTCCTTGCCCCCTTGTAACTGGGCTTTTTTCTCAAAGGGAAGCTCCAGCTCGTTTTCAATATAAAAAAAACAAAACAATACAGTTCTCTTCAGTGTCGCCCCAAAAGACCACGCGCCAAGTATTTCCATCTAATTCTGCCTAGATGTTGATAAACCTGGCAAACAAAGTTTGAGGTCACCAAACTCTGCTTATCCTAGCGCACGAGGGGTGGCATAGCCAACGGCACAGCACACCCTGTGCTACCTACGTCATGCTTGTGGAGATTTGTTTGTTTGTTTTGTACTTTTTAGAGCAAAGCCTAAGGGTGGCACTAGCTGCGCACTCGTTGTGATTCACAGAATGCATGTCCGCTGAGAGAGCCACTTTGCGACGTTGAGCGCGACATAATTCTCTAAAAATGTCGCAACATATTTATGTGGTTTACTGAACTGTCCTTTCTGCCAATGCTTTCAAAACAAGCCCTTGGGAGGCTTATTTCTAGGCTAAAACGCAAGCTGTGGCTGCGATAGTGCAGGCATCATTGGGTGTGTCAGACTGCCGATCATAGGAGACGACACTTTCGCCGCCAGGTACGTGACGTCACAGTTTGTACCACATGGTTAGAGCATGCAGGCGACGAAGCAGGAGCAACGTTGCCAACCGCAGGTAAGGTTTCGGTTTGGGGTGAGCTTCAAATGAAGATTGTGCAAGAAATATTACACTCTTTTGGAAAGAAATTATGTAGAACCATTTATTACTATCTCGGGATATATAATGAACTCAAATTTCTAGGAATCGATCAAAGTATATATAATGTGTAGCGGAACGCATGAGCAAGTGACAAAGCAACCTTTAATCTTGTAATGTCGCTTTTTGTTGACACATAATTTTTTTTCCTTGTTCTGGCAACTTCTGTTTTGGTATGCTCCTTTGTTGTTAAAGAATGGCAGATCTTTGTTGTTGAACCCCACGCTTTGTGGCAATCACCGAGACCCAGACATTACCAAGAAACTTGACGAGTGTGAAAATGAGAAAATTACAGTACCGAATAAACAAAAACAAAGCCTGAGTAAGGCCGCTCAAAAGACTGACCCCCGGGTGCGAGGTCGAGGTGCCAAAGCGCAGCACCGCATCTCGAAAAGTACAATACAAGAGATATGTTGTAAGTTGGAGACATGCAGACATCGATTAACTTTTTACCTTAAAATAATACATATTTTATAAATAAGCATTTTTCACACAGTACGCTACAGCAATACAGAGGCCAAAATGTGCGTTTCTGCATGCGGGATAAAAAAAACCATCGCTCCAAGAACCTGGCAGCGTAATCTCTGGGCCAAGAAAGGGGCACTCACTTCTTGTGGCGCATGATCATGCCGACTGCGAAGGCCACCTTGGAGTGGGAGCTGGGGCCGGAGCGGAGCTTGCGCGGGTGCCTTTGGACACGAGCCTCCTTGCGCTGTTGCTGGGCCACCATCTGGCTCTGCGCCGTGCGGTACATGTAGGCCACCACGCCGCTCGACGCCGGGTGCGCCGCCTCTATGCCCTTGAGCAGCGTCAGGATCTGGGTGTCATCCATGCATTCGTGTTTATGGTGCCCCAGGGCCTTGGGAATGGAGCACGTACATAAACCAAAAGACACACACACACACACAAAAAAAGAAATGCTTTGTTTGTAATACGCTCCAAACTCCTCAGAATTGCCAGCAAAGGAGATCACGTGAGAATCGTCTATCCTGTGATACAGGGGTTCTCAAACCTTTTGGTCCCACGGGACCCCAGGAAGCCTCACAAGCTGAACCGCCCTCCCCCATATTTGCCGACCGAGAAGCAAGACAAGCACAATCGTAGGCAATTTTGCTTGTGTTGCTTCCCATATATCACCCACCATATAAATCGCGATGTCAGTACAAAGTGAGATGAAGGCGCTTGGCACGGTCCTGGGTGTTTGCGGAACCCATGAGACCAGCTCACGGAACCCAGTTTGAGAACCCCTGCTGTGATACATAAGTTACATGCGTCTCGGTGAAGGGCCAGATTCCAAGTCTGAAAGGTCAAAAAAATTGTAGATCTATTTTGTTGTCGGGAGACGTGAGATTCTACTTAATGGCAGGATCATTAACGCAGTTGAGCAGCTTGTAAACAAACGCCAAACTGCCAACTAGACGTCAATTCGAAAGACCAAGGAATGCTAAACGATGCGCACAATTATAAGAAAACTCTCCGTCTAATGTGGCGATTGTACGTGACTCTTACCAAGTTTCTTTTGCACAAACTCTGACCTACGCATATGACTAATACCTAAGGTATTCCATCCAGTAGAAGAAAATTCCAACCTCTCTAAAACTAGCGAGTGAAACAAGTGCAGAATCTGAGAGTAGCTGTGGAAATTACGAGTAGTGCGTGAAATTATGCCCAGCAAGCAGAAAAAATCGTTCCCAGTTTTCAAAACACGAGAACTAAAAGCCGGCCACGAATCAATCAATGCGGTAAGGTCGCATACAACGGAATACCTTGTAATGTTGGAGCCTTCTCAGGGTACCTAGCGACCAGGAAAACCGGGAATTGTCAGGGAAATTTTAATTACCAGGAAAAATCGGGGAATTTTCAGGGATACTGCCAAAAAATGAAAGCCGTTAACAACTCCCTGTAACGCCAAATTAGAGCGCAGCTCTTGAGGAGGAGGAGGGAAGGGTACTAGGGGGTAGGCGACTCCCTGAGGTCACGTGACTTCAGGGGGGGTCACATGACCTCGCAGTTATGCCGACGGTGACGCCGCTGAAGCCAGAAACTGGCGCCTAAAAGCTGCGCTCTAAAAGCGAGCCCAGTCAAGGAAAATGAGCCGCAAATGCCATTGAGTGCCCTGAGCAAAGACTTGAGAAGTTGGGGCAGAATAATAGGCAATAAATTCTGCCTAGAGTGGAGCACGGGCTCTGCTCACCCGGTGCAGAGTGTGCTACCCGATGGAAAGGGAACAGCCGAAAAATACAGTCCAAGCCTTGAATTGGACGCGACACTAGGCTAGATCCAATTAGAGCTACTAGATTTATAGTAACAAATCGGAAAGCCATAGACCCCAATCCGATCCCAGCCTTAAGCCAAAAGTATCCGAAAGTCATTGTTGGGTTATGGTGCACCGTGCATTCACGAGGGTGCCCATCAAACCACTCTGCCATAGTTGCTGCCATAGTGGCCATAGTTGCATTCGGTTATTGACGTGCATGGTTGAGCATTCTGTTTCCAGAAGTGGCCTCTTCACTGACGATGTCATTGGCAAGAAATAGCTCGTTTAATCCAGACTGGACGAACCCAAATATTTGTGAATATGCAAGTTGGATTAAGCCCGTGCAAAATGATCCCCACAGTGCTCAATGCTCAGAACATTCTGTTGTAATGGTCGTATATATTTAACCGCCTCCACTGTTGGTCAGGGGAATTTCAAAATAATAATTTGCTAGACACCCTGCATCTAATCTCCAAGGATGAACAATGACAGCCATACGCAAAAAAGAAACAACCTTGGTTTTTGCGGGAATCAAAGACTGCAAGTTTGTGCGACACCAAACACTAATTGCATCAATGTTATTTTGCAACAATTGATTCAAGAGACGTGCGGATGCTTCCCCATTAAAGGAAAAAAGACTGGCTATACAGCGAGCAAGTTTGTCCTCTCCTTATGCAGAGGGTATCAAGATGCACCAAGCTCTGATTAAAGCAGGAGTCTCCAAACCCCAGCCCACCGCCTGCGTCTAGCAAGCCCGCTGCTAGTGGCGCAAAAATAAGCGCACGCATAAAGAAATGACGTCGGAACACGGGGACCAACCCCATAAACGAAGATACCAGAAAAAAACTAGAGAAAACTGCTTATCGTAAGGTGCATATCATCGTCATATCATTCATTGGACATTGTCATCACCAGCATCACCATTCTTAGCCCCCCTTTCTTTATCTTTGTAACTGCATGCGTATGGTAAAATCCCTTTGCGTTCTTGCATACAGTATTGTGCTTCATCTAGTGCGTTGTATCTATCACATATTGTCAGCATCAGTTCTATCATTAGTCTTCTGCCCTGTTGGAACATGCCAAAGTTCCATGCACTTTGATTCATGCCTGGTGAGTTTTCTGGGTCCCAATTATTGCATAGTGTCATAATTATCTGAATATTGGATTTATAAATAAAGTAGATGTATTCATCTACCTTATATTCTTATTCTTTAATGTTTTCTCCAACTTTGAATTTTGCATTTAAATGCTTATATCTATATAATGGATTACTCAGTTTTTCCTCATTTATATTTACTTATTTATTTTCTGGCCCTCGAGACAGCTAGAGACCCCCAATGTGGCCCCTTAGTCAAAATGTTTGGAGACCCCTGGATTAGAGGATGTAGAGGGTGCCCAAACGTGCCGTTGTCTGCTAGACGCGGCAATGGTTGCCTCGACTGTTCCACGGATGTCGAAAATCCTCCTGTTCCTTACAATGGAGGACTTGGCCTTCGAAAAAGGAGAGAAAGAATGCCCTCAAAGGGAATGCCATCCCTGCCGACTAACGACTAGCAGACGCAACACAACGAACGAACAACTTGCAGCCGAGTTTTCATTCGCTACCCACCGAGATGGACTGTCTTGGACAAGCGAACACTCCCTCTCCACTCCATCTCTCTCGTGCGTGGAACGACGAGTTTTGGTATGATCGCCGGCTGTGTAATAAGCCCTACATTGCGCAGAGCCACAAAAGTCGCCGAAGATGAAGACCGTAAGTACACTTTTGCTTATCAAGGCTGGGATTGTTCAACACCCCTAGGCGTCCTTCGTTTGCCTCAAAAAGCATCTTGGAGATATCGTCCGGAGGCATCCCGAGACCACTCCGGGGGCCCCACCTGCTCATAGTTGATGCCCAGGTGAAGGTACACGCGTGCCAGCAGCAGACGGTGCTCGATGTCCCCCCGCTGGAAGTCGCTGGGGTGCCGGCCCCGGCCCTCGAAGAGCTCCAGCAGCTCCAGGGCGTAGCGCAGCCCCTGCATGCCCAGGTTGCCCTCGAACTGGCGCCAGGCCTCCACCAGGTTCCAGCACATGCGCACCAGCACCTGCGTGCCATTGCCACCGCATCCACCAGGCACTCACGACTTACGCACACCCTCTTCCTGTTTACCAACAGAAACCGTCTCTCGCTCCTTAAGCAACCTCCTCAGGGGTTCCGAGCTTTTTTTATGCTGCGATTCTTGGGGCGTCTAAGCGCTACAGAAAGGACAAAGCTGGAGATTTGGCGAGGTCCTTCAGCCGCATCCTTAAACATACTCAAAGTGATTGGTTGCCTAATAGGAGATCCCAAGACTCTCCAACGAATTTCCCGCTAACCCATCCTTTAGCTAAGCACCTGGAGAATTGGTGGTGAAATATTTTATGGACAAATATAAATGTTAAGATTGAGTTTGTGGGGACGTAAGATGCAACGGTGCCTCCTTGGGGTATTTTTAGGAGAAGTGTATACACCAGATGTTTGATGTATGGCTAGATAGATTGTGGTGTCCTTAGTTCGTGTTGTGCCACCAACTGTGGCATACGCCCAAAAAATTTCCCGCGATTTTCGGCCGTGCACCAGGCAATGAAAATATGTTTCCCAATGAAATTGAACAGACATAATTGTTTTGTGATACAATTAACCCCTTGCCTACTAATGGTTTGTAATAACATCCATTATTACAAACCATAAAGCCCAACCGTGAGTGTGTTTTGGTTTCGGCACTCGTTCAGCACGCTCTCTGGCAGATGGCAGAACCACCCCTGTAGCTCCACTTACCTTGGGTTGTTTGCTCGTCTGTTTTGCTGTTTGTTGGAAAAAAAAAATGCTCAATTCAAACAAGAAAAAAAAAGCGCTTGTCAGCATTTCCATGAAAACAGCATGGCTTCGAAGCGGAAGTCCTCTTTAGCCGACGAAGAGATACAAGACCTTATTTTTTTAAAGTGATGAATGCTCTGGCATCTGTAGCGTCGCGCCCACAAAGCAAAAAGGCGGGCCTGCAAAGTATGCATAGCCAACAATAAACTGAGTGAAACAAGGGAATGCGGACAGGTGACTCTCCATCTTCCTCAATTCCTCTTGGTGCTCTCACACTGTGCAGAAATACTGGATCAGAAATTGTGATTTAGAATGCACACCTGCAATTCGAGGAAATGTCCTGGACGCACCCATTTCACACAAAGTTTTGCTGTTCCTTGAACAGAAAAATGAGTGGGCCCCCCACCGTCTAAACACAAGTGATTATTGTCTCTGCTGTAGAGGAGAACTGTAGCCAGCGCAGTGTGGCTGGTGGCTCGAGGTCTTTATAAAGTGCGCAGCTGACGGCACGCAGGTACAATGCTCGTCCAGAGCGAAACGGATAGGAATTACGTGCAGTGGGCCACGGAAGGTCAAGCGTCTGCTACCTCCAAACTGCGCATGATAAGATGTGGTGCACCGAAAGCTGTACCGCTAGAATTAGTGGCTGCAAGGCCCAATGGTAACGCTTGCTTTACAAAACAAGCCCCATTTACTCCGCCCGATCCGACACTAACAACGTGAACAATAAAAAATGTATCATAGCCCCGCAATTATGCTACTACGTGAAACATTCTTGGTTTAGCGCTAGTAACCTCCATGCATTTCTTAGTGAGTTGTGCCTCCAAGTCTCTCCAGAACCCTCCACCCCATTGACTCATTGACTTTCCCCATCAGATTGGCCGGCGTCCACTACATAATTTTTGCCGCTAAATTTAGCAGGGAAATTACGCTTTTTGAGGCTTCACTTCACCTGAAAACCCAGCTTATAAACGTTTCACGTTAACAGCGCAAAGAACAGACAAGAAGATGAACAGGCACTTGCTTTACACGAGCTTACTGGTACGCACTACAGGGACGCACATATACTCGTGCGCAACGCCACTGACCAAAGGGCTTCTTCGTGGCCGCCTAATTTAAAAAACAAAGGCCAATGTTTTTTCTCCAGTCCTTCCTTCGCAAAACTTGGATGACGAAGTTGTGGGAATCAGACTGTTGGCGTTGTCAACAACGTGATTCTTGAAATTTTGTCACGGATCTTTGTGATCCCCACGGTGAGAATATTTCAATGCGATCCATACAGTGAAAACGAGCACTGCGCGAGCATTCCATTTGGTCTTGCGACTACCAGTGCCACGACACGCACTGGGGATCTGTTTCGTGCCCAATTGACAACGGCGACAACCAAGCCTTAGCGATGTGTGGAACTCATTGCGTTTCCCGTATGCTTTGCCAACCCCAGCGCGTGGCTACAATAAACGTCGACGGCATATAATCGGCTCTAGATGATGCGACCACACGTCCTGGCTGCGAGTCGAGGGGGTGAACGCCGCTCCTTTTTCTCAATATCTTTTTCCGACTGCCGTTGCATAGAGAAGAAAACTCGCGTTTTATATGTTGCGGCTGTCGAGGAATAATTCTAAGTGGTATTTACTCAAAGTACACAAACCGTAGCATTGCCCTCTTGGTACACTAAACAAACAATGACACCTGGAAAGCCCGCGCCTCGTCTGTCGTAGCTGCGGGCAGCACCGCAATGGGTGTCGCGGGTGGGAAGGTGCACTTCGGTAAAGCACTCCATTCGCGTGAGGAAACCGGTTTCCGAATGCCCTCGAGGGCTGCCCCCTCACCTTGGGTGCCCCGAGCGTCTCGTAGCAGGTGCTCTTGTCCAGCTGCAGGTGGGGACACAGCTGGGGGCACTCGCCTTGCGCCATGAAGCGGCCTCCGTGGTACGCGTCGATGTACGTGTACTGCTGCTCCTCGGGCAACCTGCCAACGTCGGGGCCTCCTTTCAGCACCCGCAGACCCGAGGAGCGTCGCTCGTGTGCCACAGAGAAACGTGCCACGACGGGTCAAGAGGACGTGAGTTGTTTCACGCATCTCGGAGAGATGCACGGCGGCACGTTCCAACAGCATAAAGGCCCGTTCACACTCTTGTGACCTCTTAAACTGGGTTCCTTAAAACTTCTTACAACCAGAGGGCACATTGGAGCCATCTATTGGGTAGCAGCGTAAACTTGGCGGTCCGGCATATTTTCTATTTTTCTCGCGCATTATCCTTTCTTTCTTGGCTCGAAAAACCTTTGTCAACGTTATAAACGCGCCTTTCTTATAGGTATTACGCACATTTGACCTCAGAAATCCCGCAAAACCTTCGCTCTTATGAAATGCAGTTCCAGGGTCACCGCATAGATGGCGCCACTATGCCAGTGTGCTCCCTCGTCCTAAGAAATTTTAAGAAGTTTTAACAGATCTCGTCTCTCTCGGTCGTGCTGGGTTGCAAGAGTGGGAACGGCCCTTAAGATAGAATCTCTTTTCAAAAGTTTGGTTAGGCAAATCCAATAAAATGCGGTAAACATGACTTCCATAGGCTTCCTCAAAACCCGATACAATATAATAACTAGTTTTTTAAGACCATTTCACCTGGATCTTTTGACTTGGGCATTGACTCAAAATTTTAGCATAAATGGTTATTTCTCACCCCCGAGGGACTTCGTAAAATGCATACGAGTAGGAAACTGTGGGATCCTCAACCGGCGTCGTCCCTACGACTGGAGTTTTCTCCGTCCGTGCAAACGGCCATAGCTGATGAGAGAGGGAGGACAAGAGGTTCCACTTACTGGGGGTGCTCGAGCCACTTGAGCAGGAAGTGGGTGGGGAAGTTGACCGGCAGGCAGTGCACCCCCACCCGCCGGGCCACGGCCTCGTACACGACGCACAGGGTCAAGGGAATGCCGCTCTTCTTCTCCAGCACCTGTTAAGAGGTCACAGGGAGTTTCTTCTCCGAAGTGAGGGGGTGTTGCCTCGAGATGCGCTTTGCAATGAGTCTTTACATGGCTGCAGCAGCCTTTATGTGCGCTTCACTTTTGGCTCTTTTTAATCCGCTCTAGCGCAGAACAAGCGAAATTATTGCTTTTCTGGACACCACCGTGTTCTTGTCACCGAGCTTCGTGTGGATTCGTCCAGCTCTTTCAAATGCGGTGGACTGTTGTGAAAGTTTTGAAGCTAACTGTTCCCCATTCTAAATTGCCGCACCTGTTCGCATTGTGGGACGACGTTCGGTACTCTATCCGCAACTACGCAAATGTATCGAGAAAGAGCTAAGGGTTCTTTTTTGAGGTGTTGCAGGGGCCCTCGCGGCCTTTGCAGTCACTCATGCACAAGGGCAAGTGGATGTCGGTACCTTGTCTATGAAGGAGTTTTCCGGAGTGTGGTAGTGGTTGCGGTCACCCGTGAGCCCGTACTCCTGAAACAGCACCTGGTTGACGCACGTCAGCACCGTGCGGCACTCGGCAGGGTTCCACTTGGACGAGGAGAGTCCTGAAATCCCAGCATATACTGTTGCCTGTGCATGCACCGAATGGGTACTTCCAGGCTGCTCAAACTGAAAGCACCTATTTTAGCGTCTAAACGTCAACCATGTTGTGTCCACAAAGACACCCGGCTTTTGTTCAAGAAGACACCGAAGCTTCGTTTAAAACAAATAAACCATCAAATTGCACACGGTGAATGTTCCCAAAACCACCTGAAGTGCGTGTAAGCCGTCGAACTCGGCCAAACCCAGGTTTCCCTTCTCTACCGCGCCTAATCGACTCCCGCGGCTAGGGGATAAAAAGGGAAGACTGGAAGAGGAGGAAGTCACTGAGTTCCAACCAATGTCAAAGCACTTATATTTTTTTCTCCGGGATTAATGCCATCCCTAAGCCAAAGCTGCCTGTTTGGCACATATTTTGGGACAGGGCGGGGGAATCAAACAATCAAATTCAGGGGTGGAACACATGAAATGTACTTGGGAGCAGCCAGGGGAGCAGCTGAAACAGCTGTTTAGGAGCAGGTTGGGAGCAGCTAAAACCGCATTCTGGAGCAGGCTAGGAGGAACTCAGATCAGTGTTCATTGCACTTTAGCTTGTGTCTTAGACGAGCCTGGGAGCAATTTCAATTGTGCTTAGCAGCACAGATGAACATGAGTGGTTAGGAACCTAGATAGATGAGATAACAGTGTAATAGAGGCAAAAAGTTGAAATTTTGGAAACCTTAATGAGAACCAAAAGCAAGTATGATATGTTTCTGAAAAGAGTGTCCTTGATATTTTCTGAGTGGCTTTTAGGTGCTAAAAATGCAAACCAGCACTGCTTGTCGCACAACCCACACGTGCTCGACAGAATAATTATATGGGTGAACCATATGACGTGCGTAAGCAACGGACGTGCAGTTGCGCGGAGGAACAGGGCAACAAATCTCGACTTTATTTTATTGTGCAACTCAATATCGAAGCAGCAGACTATGATTAACGGAGTTATCGTATTCAAAGCAATAAGTAGGAGCAAGGTTAAAGTATGCTGAGCAGATCTACCGCTCGCGTGAGAGCTGCTGGCCGGCAAGGTTTCAGATCGGATTGCGTTTCAGTTCAATCAAATCACGATTTATCTTGTGGGAATGCAATTCAAACTTCTAACGATGAAGTACTAAAATGAATTTTTTTCTCATCATTTGTTTTCAACTGGCTGTTGTCTGGATCCCGGGCCGCACGGCTTCAGGCAATCTGACGCTTAACGACTCGACCTCACCTCGGTTGACTTGCCTAACTGCTCATGGTTGAAAAATAACAAACCTGTCGCAGGTGGTGTAGCACCTGGAATCTGACCCCCGAGTTTTTTCGTGCACTTCCGGCTCGGGATACACAGGGAGAATAAACAGAACAAAGGATTGCAAACCAAGCTAAACGCACTGTTGCCAATCGAGTCAACAGAAACCCAAACCAAGACAAAGTACAACTTTTCTGGCGCACGTTGTGCGATTTGGTGCATAATGGCGCGAAGTATTGCGGCTGTGGCGCAGTGTTCGCAAAATGGCGCAGGATGGTGCAGGCAAATGCGTCTGGTGCAAAATGGCGCAGCCGTTTCATCCCTGCGAATTAAACAATGAGCTGAGGAAACCTAGAAAGACGGTTTCTTGTTTTTAATGGTTCCGGTTATTCAGCGACCATTCGGATAAATTTCTGTCCAACAACATAAATATGTAATGGAATGCCCGACAGGCCCTTCGGGATCCATAAATAAATTAAGTAACTGGAGCGCAGATATTGCCGCAAAAAATTGCTCTTCTTGCTCCCCAGGTAAACCAGGTAAACAAATTAGAGGAGGACACTTCTTATATGTAGGAATGCGAAAGCATTCGTATAGACCGACACGCGGGCTTGACGTCACGGAGCTGCGGCGGCGCTGCGATCGCGCCGGAGCCGGTTGGTGTGGGCAAAAGCGCGCACAGTTCGCATAGCCGTCTAGCATTTCAGCATGCCGCGAAGCTGCTCGGTTGTTAATTGCATCGAAATTTACAAGAAAAGCAGCGGAAAGAGTTCCCACAAGTTCCCGGCAGACTCTGAAAGGCATAGAAGGTGGATAATATCCGTGGATCGAAAAAAAAATGGTCGCCTTGCGCGAACGATTGTTTGTGCGGCAAACACTCTCTTGGAGGCAAGTGAGGCTTCCATTTCAATCTCCGTCCCGAGGCTTGCTCATGTGCAGGGAAACCGTTGTCTGATCGAGACTAATCGAGACCACCCGGATTTTGTTCCGACGGTGCTCGCGCACAAAGCATCGGCCAAGCGCTCGTCAGAAGCTCGCTACGCCCGTGCTACCCACCAGAAGGGGATCGGTGACAGAACGGCAGTGTTGTAGGCGTTACCGAAAAAAAGTAACGAAATACGTTACTCGTTACTTTCAAATAAAAGGTACGCGTTACTGAGCTACGTTACCTAAAAGTAAAACAAACGTTACCGCTACCGATAAAAAGTAACACACATTACTACTGCGTTACTTTTTTAAACTATGATTTAACACATTTTACGGTTTTGACGATACAGTTCATATATCAAGAAACATTATGTTCATGCAGAAACTGAACATAATTACTTTATTTATTTTTACGGTTTCACCTAAATGCTCAAGAGAAAAAACGCAAAGAAAAACATGGCTTGACGCCTAAAACACGGAAAACATTGAAGTGTAATTTTTTTAAGACTTGGGAAGTATAGTAACGAGTAACGTAGCTACGTTACTTGAAATAGTAGCTTAAGTATGTTACGTGTTACTGTGTTGAAAACATAACGAGTAGGTTACTACATTACTGAAAAAAGTAACACGTTACAAGCAACGCTGTTACTTGTAACATGTTACCGCCAAGACTGCAGAACGGACAAAGTGCTACTGCTTGTCATGCCTTGTGGTCATGAGGGTAGGAAGTATATCATACCTTGACTTGAAGACGCTGTGTGTATTTAATCAATTCATGAATACACTCGCAGACCCACAGTCCGCTGATCCCGCCGGCAGTGCGGAAACCGACTTTAAATAATCGTAGGCCTCGAGAGACTTGTACGCCTGCACCGTGTCGGCCGTGAACTGGCTTTGCGAAAAAACTAAATAAACTACGACGTGAGCCGTCGACTTCGGTGGCAGCAACTTTACGTCAGAAGTCCTGCAGGCCTTGTTTACGGCGTACGGATCCTCGTAGGCAACGCCGTCCACGCCCAGTTTGTTTCGATACCGCTGCCGTTCAGGCTGGAGCAGCGAGCTCAAATAGTCGGGCATAGAATACAACATATGTTGTGGGGAAATACGATGCACAAATAAAGATACAAGCGTCCCTACAACGTCAACACCGAGCGCACGCCATAAAACGCAATGGCGAAAACACGGAGAGCCGGGCTGCTTTTGCCCACATAGCTACCGCGCATGCGCGGCCTTCCGGCCGTGTTGGTAAACAGAGTCGCTCCGCGTGTCGGTCTATACGTAGAATACTCTTACAAGCTGCAAAGGCCGGTTGGATGCCGTCCAGCCAGGCTCTGGGTGGCGGCCGGTGTGCACTGCTGTGGCGGTGCGCAGTGGAGTGGCGTTTTTTAAAACTATCCAGCGTGCGGGCAACGTCGCAGTCATTTTAAGAGCCGTTATGGCGCGGAGGGAATTTCTCTTCCATTTTTCGCGGTTAGGGACAACGCTGGCTCCGCTCCATGGGACCAGTTAATGCTTTCGCATTAAAAGGAGGTAATTACTATGTGCCACTGACCATAAAATACCGTGGAAGCGGACCCCAAACTAGGGACATATCCAACTTGAATGTTAATTTAACTACCCAATTTGACCAAACAAGCGCACGTGTTTAGATTAACCCAAGTTTCAGTGAAAGTGGGGTGGCCGCTCCCCGGATGTGTTACGGTGACTACAAGCCACACATAAAAAGAAAATTCGTAAGCAGAATCAGATATAAACACAAACCTACACAGCCAAATTTCTGAGAGAGCTGGGAGCCCTAAAGCCGTGGTCATGCTGCAAATACGTCGTACCAAAGACGGTCTACGGACCCTGTCCGAGGCCTTCCTCGTACGACGGTAACATTGGTTGCAAAAAAACGATGCGTTGGTAGGATATGTAAACGAGCTCGGAAAACGCTCCGAGCGTGTCCGTAGGTAATTTTGTCGTCCGTCTGCTGCAGCGAGTGTCTCTTGTACGGCGTACGAGCACGGTGACCGCGGCTCAAGCGCTGCAGCACGTCCGGCAACGATGGAACGGGACTCACGGGTGGTCGGCGGCAGGGTGGTCCAGTCTGCCCTGACCAGGGGGTGTCCGGGGTGCCGTAAGGCCACCAAAGCCCGCACCCTGTGCGCCAGGTCATCCAGCCTGGCCCCTACAGCTTCCCGGGCCACCTGCCCCAGGGGCTGGCACCACTGGGACAGTAGCAGGGCCCCCTCCTCCAGTGAAGGCTCTCCGTCCTCCGCCCCCAGGTACGCCTCCCACTGCCGCTTCAGGTGCTCGTGGCGCACAAAGCACTGCACGCGCCTCGCGTAGTACTTGAGCGTCAGGTGCTCCTCCCTGCGCCCGGACGTTTCGCCTTAGCCGTAACGTCGCCGCTCCCTAGGCCCCAAAAAAGCTGAGAAAGAGAGCCGGCGAGGCGTTCGGCACGGTTCTTTCGATGCGACGAGGTTGTTCACGAGTAATCGTCGACTTTATTTTTATGCGAGATAAAGTTAAGAAAACACTACACACAGGCCTCGCAAATGATCTCTTTCAGCTTCTTTACGAGCATCAAACGGCCCTCGGCGACTAGGGTTTGTCAAAACCGCCAACGACTGCGTCCGTGCCCTGTCGTTCCGAAGCGGCCGAAATAACCTTTCCCTCTAGATCATTATATTAAAGGGGCCATGATAATAATTTTAAACTTTTTCATTCTTAGCTTTTCTCCTCAAGTCAGAAATTGCGCAGCGTATCAAACAGTCAAAGAAGAGGGATCGAAGGAACTCCCTTCTTGCTTAGACCCTCGTTTGTGTACCCAGACATTGCCATTCTCCTCCGAGAAGATTAGCCCGTCACTCAAAATTCCGACAAGAGTTGCTCTCCCCACGCCTTTTGCCCCTAAGTTGAGAGTGCCGTGGGAGCTACGTGCTCATTGGGCCAGCCACACTTGTCTCTTCTGCCACGTGATCACACTCCCTCGGGCATACCATTGCACAGAGAATGGGGTCAGGTAATGAAGGGGAGGCGGCCGAGAGGTCCAGCAAGCGCGTAGTAGTTCCCACCATAGCTTAGGGGTGAAGGGAACATAATGATGCTGTACTCGTTTGACGTGCTTTGGGGCCGGGTGACGTGCTTTGGGTACCGCACATGTATCACAGTCAAAAGCAGAGAGCTTTTAAAAGGAAGGAGGTAGGAGATAGTCCACTGTTTTAAAATTTTCGTACCGAAAATGAGGTTTTTGACTTTCTACCTTCTTTCTGTTGGCCCACTAAACGATATGTGATTAGTAAGATCCCAATCTAAATTCATTTATCCCAACACAAAATTTGTTTCATAGCCCCTTTAACTCTACGCTCGAACCATTAAACTGCGGAGAGCTCGCAATTTAATGGCGGACATGTCTCCCACAAATTTATTTCCCTGCGTGAGTGCGTCATTGCGCGAGAGGAAGACAACAGGTGGAGAGGCTGAGCAAAGGTCGGAAACGAGTGATGGACGCTCCTTGCACCTGGTATCGCAAAAGCGACCTATAAGCTACGCCAACTGAGCAGCCGTTGAAAACGCTAAAGAGTCTGTGCACTCTTCGGTCCTGGATTTCTGTGCAATGCCAATTCTTTGAAAGGAGACCCATTTCTGCAGGCTGCAGAAAATACAAAATCGCACATTTGCCAGGAAAGAAAGAATGTGCACGAATCCTACATACAAAGCTGGGAAGCGCAGAGTCTGCGACACAAGGTCACGAGTTGTTCCTCTCTCGATGATTGATTAATGATCGATAATCCCTTAGCGGAACCTACTACATTTTGCGACACTTAGCAAAACTTGCATCCCACTAAATTTTGCTGGACGAGAGTCCACGGAATTTGGCGACCGTGCGACGATTTCCCCGAAGCTTTTTTGTAATGTTACGCGCTTCTTGCGTAAACCACCCCTACGATACTCCGCGTTAAAAATAAAAACTACAGCTTGCTTTAAGAGTCCCCGACAAAGCAAAAGTGTCTTTGCACTTTTGCAGCCCGCTCCCTTCTTCCAGCCACTTTAACAAACACCCTGGTGGGCACACTTCGTTCCTCGAAGGGCAAAAGGTGGCCCAATTAGCCGCCCTCGACGCGCCAATAAGGGTTCTCAAAATAAACAAAACATTCGCAAAAGACATCAACTCACGGCTGGTCGTCATTCAAGAGGGCCGCGAGCTCATCGACGTAGAACTGCAGGGCGCGGGGGTGCCTGCTGAGCATAACGACCCCGTCGAAGGCGTCCTCGGAGAGCTCGTCGTGGGCGTAAAAGTCCCGGGACATCTGGGAGACCCACTGGAGCAGCTTGCGCCCGCAGGAGAGCCGCTCCATGCACTCCTCCCGCCAGGCCGTGTGGACTCCGCTCTGCTGCCGGAACAGTTCGGGCCACCTGCGCCAGGAGCGTGTCCGTTGCAGTGCGGGATATCTCCAGCACAACTTTTCTACCTTCGATAACACTCGGGCACGTGGCTAAGGCGTTACAGGACTTGACCAGTCAGAGCTGAAGGCAGATCTCTCGTTATATGGCAGACCGTGGGCTCGTCGGTTCGATCCAATTCGGTCGGTAACCCAGCTTCCCAATCGTGCAATGGGGTGCTCGACTCAAATTCAGCCTACGCTCTGCAGTGGCTGCTTTTGCGGCATCGGTGTCGCGCTACCCGCAAGTAAACTTCTGTCCACACGGCCAATGTGCAAGGTGGAGTGCCGTCTAACATAGACTGCTCCAACCATTAGCTGTAGCCTACCCCCTCGAGACCGCCCCAGAAACAGCCGCACCAAAGACAAAAGTGACGTCATCTTTTCGAAGGCCTTCAATAGCGTTCCCCGCTGTCGCCCGCTTGCTGAACTTTCATGTCTCAAAGTCAACCCTCTCGTGCTCTCCTGGATCCCTGATTTTCTTTCCTCTTGTACTCAAATTACTACTACAGTTGACAGCTGCTCATCCACCCTTGCAGAGGTTACCTTGGGAGTTCCCGAAGAGTCAGTTCTTGGTACCCCACTTTTCCTTATATTTATTGATTGCCTCCCAAAAAAATTTTCCTCAAACATCCGCCTCTTCACTGACGACTGCGTGTTATACCATGAAATAGTTTTGTTGCAAGACCATCTCCAACTCCAAAGTGACCTGGAAAAGTCCATGCATGGTGTACTAGGTGGTTAATGACATCAAACATATCGGAGTGTAAGTTAGTCTAGTTCTCACAGAAATGACAAGTATCATAGTTCTCGTACAAATTAGTAAATAACTTATTACAGGACGCCCCATCTTATAAATACCTTAGTGTGGCCCTAACAAACGACCTCGTATTATATGCTCATATCGAGCTTATTTCTGCAGAGGCGACTCGTTGCCTTGGCTACAGAATACATAACCTAAAATCGGCTCCCTGTTCCTGCGTAAAATGGCATATGAGACATACATTCTATCCAAACTGGAATATGCTGCGGCCATTTGGATCCCTTACCAAATGTATTTATCAAACCATCTCGAGGCAGTCCAGAATCACACTGCTAGGTTTATTCTAAAGAAATAGGATTGGTCATTTAGTGCATCCACCCTCAAAAACGAACTGAACCTTCCTTTACTAAATGTCCGCCGGAAGATAGTGCGCCTTTGCCTCTTTCGCAAGATTTACCGCTACCTTCCTGCGCTTCGAGACTCTCTCATCCTTCCCCCCAGGCGATTCTGTTTGCAGCAAAATCACCCATGACACGTTTCCCCGTATCTCAGGCAGCACAATCTATTTTAACTCCTCCTTTTTGCCCGACACTATAGTAGACTGGAACGACCTTCTTTTACATATTGTAACCAAGGGGAATTCAACAGCCTTTCGCAGCGCCCTTTGCTCTCACGTCTGTTATTTCTTATTGTGGCGCTCTACTTGCCTCGTGCTGTAATGTTTCACCCCCCTAGTCACTGTGCTCCGCATGTACCCAAGCTAATCTGTGTAATTGCCTTCTGCCCGCGGCGATGGTCACGTTCCCCTCCAACACCTCATGTATTCATTTCAGATGTTATTACTGCGCTATGCGCTTGATATAGTACAGTACCCCAATACAAATACCTGGGACTAGTAATAACGTCTGATCTGCATTGGAATTCACATATTGACTTCATTACTCACAAGGCAATGGGCACATTATGGACTTTAAAACGGCAACTAAAAGACTGTTCCAACAATACAAAACTAATCGCGTATAAGACATTCGTCAGGTCTTTGATGGAATACGCTGATGTGGTATGGGATCCACACACAAAGTCAAATATTAATAAGTTGGAAAGAATTCAGAAAAAAGCGCTGCGATTTATTTTTAACACATATGGTAGAAACACATCAATCTCAGAACTTTATGTTCAGAGCGGTGTCCCTTCTTTACAAAAACGTAGAAAAATTAGCCGACTGAAGTTCATTTTCAACCTATTAAATAACAATTTCAACTTGGACTACAGCAATTACCTTCATTTCAATACTAGTAGGCCAACAAGGAACAAGCACTGCAAATCTTTCACTGAAATAAGGTGTAGAACTGACTGCTTCAAATATTCCTGTTTTCCACGTACGATTCATGAATGGAACTTGCTCCCACAAGAAATCGCCTGCACAGATTGCGTATTGTCGTTCACAGCCAAGTTAAAGCAATCGGATGTTGTTTGATATTACATGCATATGAGTTGGTTTGATTGTCTGTGATTGTGCTTTTCTACTAGTCATGCTTTAGATATTTCTTTTTTTTATAGGTTTGTACTGTGTTTTTATGTTTACGTGTGTTTTTGTGACGTGTAGTTGTAAAAGATCCTTTTGTGTAGTCATTCTTTGAATGGGAAGAATCCTATCAAGGGCATCTGTTGGCCCTTTATTCCTCTACGAGTTGTAACGCCGCCACACCTATGTATTTTATTTTCAAGTGCATTTTATTGTGTATATCTCCTGCCTTGGCTGCGTATTAGTGGCTGGCAGTATCAATAAATAAATAAATAAAAAATAAATATTGTACCTCCCCTTATGTAATGCCCACAAACAAGGGTCTTTAAAGGAATTGGAATAAATAAATATCAACTCCTCACCCACAAGCACCGCTCAAACCACCGTTTCTTTTTCATGTAATGTCATTGCATCGTGCATTAGACGCAGTGCCGCAGGCCTTCGTGCTACAGATGACTTGCCTTTCTGCGGCGCCGTGGCTCTCCTGAGCCAAAGTGAATGTCACCGGTCTATAAAATGCTTAACGGGACTTGGTATTAGACTAGCTGGTAAGGTGAGAGAAAAAATGAAAGACGTTTACAATTCTCTGTAATGCGAAATTAGAGCGGAGAATTTAGCATAAATTTCCCTGCTACATTTAGCAAAATATTTTCCCAGTAAATTTAGAGGGAAGTTTTGCGAAAATTTTCCTGCTAAATTTAGTGAGAATTTTAGCAGGAAATTTAGCAAAAATTTTCCTGCTAAATTTTGGTGTGGAAATTTAACCGCTAAATTCAGCGGGTTAAGTTTCCGTAACATAGCAAGAAATTTAGCAAAAATTTTCCCGCTAGGCCAGGAGGAGGGGAGCGTATGCCTCTACTCCCCCTCTGTACCCTCCCCTCCTCCTGGCCTCCCATTTAACAGAAAATTTTCACTAAATTTTCTACTAAATTTAGCGTAAAATTCACTGCTCAATTTAGCAAAATATTTTCCCAGTAAATTTAGAGGGAAGTTTTGCGAAAATTTTCCTGCTAAATTTAGTGAGAATTTTAGCAGAAAATTTAGCAAAAATTTTCCTGCTAAATTTTGGTGTGGAAATTTAACCGCTAAATTCAGCGGGTTAAGTTTCCGTAACATAGCAAGAAATTTAGCAAAAATTTTCCCGCTAGGCCAGGAGGAGGGGAGCGTATGCCTCTACTCCCCCTCTGTACCCTCCCCTCCTCCTGGCCTCCCATTTAACAGAAAATTTTCACTAAATTTTCTACTAAATTTAGCGTAAAATTCACTGCTCAATTTAGCAAAATATTTTCCCAGTACATTTAGAGGGAAGTTTTGCGAAAATTTTCCTGCTAAATTTAGTGAGAATTTTAGCAGGAAATTTAGCAAAAATTTTCCTGCTAAATTTTGGTGTGGAAATTTAACCGCTAAATTCAGCGGGTTAAGTTTCCGTAACATAGCAAGAAATTTAGCAAAAATTTTCCCGCTAGGCCAGGAGGAGGGGAGCGTATGCCTCTACTCCCCCTCTGTACCCTCCCCTCCTCCTGGCCTCCCATTTAACAGAAAATTTTCACTAAATTTTCTACTAAATTTAGCGTAAAATTCACTGCTCAATTTAGCAAACTATTTTCCCAGTACATTTAGAGGGAAGTTTTGCGAAAATTTTCCTGCGAAATTTAGTGAGAATTTTAGCAGAAAATTTAGCAAAAATTTTCCTGCTAAATTTTGGTGTGGAAATTTAACCGCTAAATTCAGCGGGTTAAGTTTCCGTAACATAGCAAGAAATTTAGCAAAAATTTTCCCGCTAGGCCAGGAGGAGGGGAGCGTTTGCCTCTACTCCCCCTCTGTACCCTCCCCTCCTCCTGGCCTCCCATTTAACAGAAAATTTTCACTAAATTTTCTACTAAATTTAGCGTAAAATTCACTGCTCAATTTAGCAAAATATTTTCCCAGTACATTTAGAGGGAAGTTTTGCGAAAATTTTCCTGCTAAATTTAGTGAGAATTTTAGCAGGAAATTTAGCAAAAATTTTCCTGCTAAATTTTGGTGTGGAAATTTAACCGCTAAATTCAGCGGGTTAAGTTTCCGTAACATAGCAAGAAATTTAGCAAAAATTTTCCCGCTAGGCCAGGAGGAGGGGAGCGTATGCCTCTACTACCCCTCTGTACCCTCCCCTCCTCCTTGCCTCCCATTTAACAGAAAATTTTCACTAAATTTTCTACTAAATTTAGCGTAAAATTCACTGCTCAATTTAGCAAAATATTTTCCCAGTACATTTAGAGGGAAGTTTTGCGAAAATTTTCCTGCTAAATTTAGTGAGAATTTTAGCAGGAAATTTAGCAAAAATTTTCCTGCTAAATTTTGGTGTGGAAATTTAACCGCTAAATTCAGCGGGTTAAGTTTCCGTAACATAGCAAGAAATTTAGCAAAAATTTTCCCGCTAGGCCAGGAGGGGAGCGTATGCCTCTACTCCCCCTCTGTACCCTCCCCTCCTCCTGGCCTCCCATTTAACAGAAAATTTTCACTAAATTTTCTACTAAATTTAGCGTAAAATTCACTGCTCAATTTAGCAAAATATTTTCCCAGTAAATTTAGAGGGAAGTTCTGCGAAAATTTTCCTGCTAAATTTAGTGAGAATTTTAGCAGGAAATTTAGCAAAAATTTTCCTGCTAAATTTTGGTGTGGAAATTTAACCGCTAAATTCAGCGGG